TGCTGGCTGCAGGGATAACCAGAAGTTGTCAGACTCCAACTTCTGTCAGGTGTAGCCAGCAAGGCCAGAGATTATTGGGAGCTGGAATCCAACAACATATTGAGGGCGCCCCCTTTCTTGCCACGCGGAAAGGGCACCCATTAAGCACTGGCCTGGCTACAGGATGGAGGTGTGAGGGCCCTGACAGGATCCTAGGACTCAGCTATAGAGTTGCAAATAAAACGTTTTAAGTGTGTTGCAAAGTGCATTATACAAATGTGACACTAGAGGGCGACAGTGAGCTATGGCGAATTCCATGTATTTTTCAAAACTTTTTTTTAAAAAAAGCATTTTCACAGCATTTTTTCTATGCATGTAGATTCCACTCTAGAGCCCTCCTCCCTCTTCCCCAGAGCCCAGTTATTGATCGCTCAACTTTGGAAAGGAGGTGGGAGGGCTCTAGGATCCAGCTGCACCCCTCATGCCGCCTTTCCAAAGCCTAGCACGGCACAGGAGCCAAACTGTGGCTTAGCTCAGGGTACCAACGTCCACCCCTACATCGCTGCCTCCAATTGTGGAGGCAGAGCGTGACCATCATGGCTGTTAGCCATCAATAGCCCTCTTGGAATCCATGGCCGAGCTAGGTCTACTTAAATGGGTCTACTCTGAGTAGTAATAATAATAATAAAAAATAATTTTGTATTTATACCCCGCCCTTCCCGGTTCAGAAAACCAGGCTCAGGGTGGCTAACAACAAATTTAAAACACTTAATTGATGCAACAAAAAACAGCATAAAATACTGTATAAAATGTGGATAACAATAAATTCAGAATTCAAAAATCAATTTAGGGGGGAAATCCATCCAATAAACATTAGATGATCACCAGGGCTAGCTGGCTAAATTAGTCCTGCTTGGGCCAGTGAGGAGACCAGGGGAGCATTAGCTGTGGGATCCCAGAGTGGGTAATCTTCTTAAAAAGGGGAGGGGGAGGGAAGGAAGGGGAATAAAAGATCAGGCTAAGCTCAAATTGAAAGCCAGGCGGAATAGCTCTGTCTTACAGGTCCTGCAGAAGGAAGTTAAATCCTGCAGGGCCCTGGTCTCATGGGACAGAACATTCCACCAGGTTGGAGCCATCACTGAGAAGGCCCTGGCCCTGGTGGAGGATAATCTGACTTCCTTAGGGCCCGGGACCTCTAAACTATGATTATTCATGGACCTTAAGGTCCTCTGCAGGGCGTACCAGCAGAGGCAGTTCCGTAAATACAAGGGCCCTAAGCCACAAGAGTAAAGATTCATCAAAGGCAACCCATGGCCTTTTTGTGTCCCCATTTCCAAAAGAGCAACATTTCCCAAACCTGAGCCGAGAGGACCATCCCAGGCCTGTTTGGAGTCAGCTGGTGATGTGAAGTTAGCCCTTGTCCCAACACAACGCACTCATGACATCAGCCGACCTCCCCACCCAGCTGCCTCCACTTAAACGGGACTATTAAAAGCTTGATGTCATTCTAAGGAAGAGTAGCCAACAACATAAATCTGCAGCCGCAGCAGCCAGGTGCATTTCTGCTTTGCTTCGTTTTACAAGCTTCATTATATAGGGTGTAGTTCTTGTTCGCAGGGTATCTGCCACAAAGGTAATGTGGAGCGGCATCTCTTTGGGCTATTGGCATAGATCAGCAGTCCCACACACCTTTGTTCTCTTTGAGTGCCCGGGTGACGTCTAAAAACCTATGAAACACTGATTATTCTGGCCAGGGGCATAGTAGCTGCTTCGGCTCCCGGACCAGCAGGGGCAGGGCGAGCTGCCACCCGGGGGTGCTGTGGCGATCTGCTCACAGGGGTGCCGCACTGGGGCGGTGCAGAGATATGCCTAGGGGGGCGGCGCAGCGAGCTGCCCGCGGAGTCTGCCTGGCAGACACAAGCCCCACACTGCCATTTCGGCCGGCACAGGGCCCTGAGCATAGCTGTCAACTTTCAGATTTGAAAATAAGGGATCAGCAGCCTCGAAAATAAGAGACCAGCAGCCTCACCTGTCCTGTGGACAGTCTATGGGATATCTAACAATCCGGGATAGCAGCAGGAAATGGCACTGGAATAAGGGAATTTCCCGCAAAAAAGGGAAGGTTGACAGCTATGACCCCGAGCCACTGTGTCACTCCCAGGAGAGACGTCTGGCTCGGACGCGTTGCAGGCCAGGCCTTATGGTAAGTGCCAACCCCCACAGTGCGCCACTTTGTCACCGCCCTCAAGGATGACACCTTGGGCAGACCACACACCCCTGATTCTGGGGCCTTTTCCATGGCAATCTGTGTGTGTGGCACTATTTCTAAATGGCTTTACGTCCAAGAAAGGGCTTCTTCTTCATGAAATCTCTTGGGTTCAGCCAAAAGCTGTCTATCAGGTATGGAGAACTTGTAGGTCTCCCCAGTGTCCAATTGTGAGTCCATTTTGGAAGCATTAGTACGGGGCCAAGTCAAGTATCGTATCTGAGCAGATGGAGGCACCTTGTATTTAAGTCGTTTCCAGCCAGAGCTGTTTATAGCATGTTCATCCTCCTTTGTTTGCACAAAGCTTGTGGGGAGGTGAGACAATGTCCGCTACTCATTGAGCATTCTTTCTGATTTGTTTGCAGGGAGGTAATAATAATAACAACAAAATTATTACTTGTGCCCTGCCCATCATACTTTGTTGCCCCAGCCACTCTGGGCAGCTTCCAACAAAATATAACAGAACACAGCAAAATATCGGACATTGAAAACTTCCTGATACAGAGCTGCCTTCAGATGTCTGTGGAAAGTCATATCTGATGTTCCACAGAGTGGGTGCCACTACCAAGAAGGCCCTCTGCCTGGTTCCCTGTAATTTCACTTCTCGCAAGAAGGCCCTCAGAACTGGACCTCAGCGTCTGGGCTGAATGGTGTTGCCTCAGACATTGCCTTTTACTCTTAAAAGAGCAGGTGGAGAGCACTGAGTTCAGGACATAAACCGCTATATCTGCTATTTTGAGATTCGGAAGAGCACTTCCGCAGGGTAACAGCACAAGTGTGGGCCTTTTTGGTGGTGGCTCCCTGCTTGTGGAATGCTCTCCCCAGGGAGGCTCACCTGGTACCATCATTATATATCTTTAGGCGCCAGGCAAAAGCTCTCCTCCATAACCAGCCTTTAATTATCTGTGGTCTTTCAGAAGTGGATGAGAATGTTTTTAATGAATGTGAGTGGCAAGGTTGCTTTGGGGCGGTTTCTTGGTTGGTTGTTAGTTTTTGGCAAGATAAAGCGAGCAACAAATTTACTAACAAATAATAAGTAATAACTCCACGGGCCCCACAGGCCACCAAATTAAGGCCTACAAAATGGCACTGGCATTCGACAGAGAGGCTCAAATAGCTAAATTATGCGTGTTCTCCTTTCCGTTTCTTTCCCCGTGTGCCCTGAAACTAAAGTCCTCGCAAAAACAACAGCCACCCAAAGCCCCAACAATTATTTCTGCTTTTTTCCATTTCCGGAATGGGCAGCCTGATTTTTTTGTCCCTGCACATGGCAACATGAGACGATGGTTGGCACTCTGAGGTACGCCCATGGGCAGGACATTTTTAATCCCCTTTGATGGATCGGGCCGCAGGAGGTGAGCCTTTGCTGTCAAGAAGCAGTCACTCCCAGAACCTGTATGTGGCAGGCCATTAGTCTGCCTGAATTAAAACTTTAGCAACGACGACCAGCTAGCTGTCAGAGATAGCAATCGCAATGAAGGTGCTTCTTAGCACTGGGGTTGTCAGAACCTCCAGGTCTGACCTGGTGTCTCCATGTTTGTCTGTTCCTCTCCAGGTAGTCTGGGGGGGCCTGAATTTCCAGGGGGGTGAGCGTATATATATATAATAATATATATATTTATTAAAGAAACTATGTGTGCAGCTTGCAAGCTTCAACTTAGCAGAAACTGGCTGCCAATTATTGTCCAGACTCTGGGTGGATCTGCACCTCCATTAACCTCCATCTCCAGGTCTCAGTGCTGTGAGGGAGCACAGAGGAGGAATCCAAATGACTACCCTATGTCATCACCAGGGCCTGTTCCCCAGGACATCATCAGGACCCGCCCCCAGGTCTCACATTTGTACCCTGAAATCTCAAGGTCTGGGATGCTCCTTGTTAAGTTGTGGGTGAACATATCAGACGACACAGCGATTCTTCAAACAGCTCTTGTTTATTCACAGGCCCAGAACAGAACTGAACTGAAGGGTTCAGCTAGCCTGCTTATATAGAGCTCCACTACAACGCAACAGTGACAACTTTTTGTAACTATCCAATCACTGAACATCACTTTCAATTCCTTCTTTGCATATGTGGACCTGAGTGAAAACTATCTACAGTATCCCCCTGCTGGCCCAGGGTGAGAACTTCAGTACAGAACACTCCTGGTCTGGCAACCCCATTTAGCATAAGGTTACCAGATTTTTTCGAATGAATCCGGGGGCACTTTTCAACTTCAATGGATTTTGTATGGGGACTGATTTGCAAATCCGGGGACTCTCCCTGAGAAAAGGGGACGTCTAGTAACTTTAATTTAACACCCTTTGCAAGCATCGCTGGTGCCATTTTGATTTCTCCTGCTCTGGTGTCCTGGGGCACAGTTTGTGCTAACGGAATAGGGGCAGGGCCATAGCTAGGGGGTGGCAAGGTGTGCCCCTTGCCAGGGTGCGGGTGTGTGTGCAAAATCGGCTAAAAAAATATGTCCATAAATATATAACAGGGAGAAATGTAAAGTATTGCACTTGGGCAAAAAAAATGAGAGGCACAAATACAAGATGGGTGACACCTGGCTTGAGAGCAGTACATGTGAAAAGGATCTAGGAGTCTTGGTTGACCACAAACTTGACATGAGCCAACAGTGTGACGCGGCAGCTAAAAAGCCAATGCAATTCTGGGCTGCATCAATAGGAGTATAGCATCTAGATCAAGGGAAGTAATAGTGCCACTGTATTCTGCTCTGGTCAGACCTCACCTGGAGTACTGTGTACAGTTCTGGGCACCACAGTTCAAGAAGGACACTGACAAACTGGAACGTGTCCAGAGGAGGGCAACCAAAATGGCCAAAGGCCTGGAAACGATGCCTTATGAGGAACGGCTAAGGGAGCTGGGCATGTTTAGCCTGGAGAAGAGGAGGTTAAGGGGTGATATGATAGCCATGTTCAAATATATAAAAGGATGTCACATAGAGGAGGGAGAAAGGTTGTTTTCTGCTGCTCCAGAGAAGCGGACACGGAGCAATGGATCCAAACTACAAGAAAGAAGATTCCGCCTAAACATTAGGAAGAACTTCCTGACAGTAAGAGCTGTTCGACAGTGGAATTTGCTGCCAAGGAGTGTGGTGGAGTCTCCTTCTTTGGAGGTCTTTAAGCAGAGGCTTGACAACCATATGTCAGGAGTGCTCTGATGGTGTTTCCTGCTTGGCAGGGGTTTGGACTTGATGGCCCTTGTGGTCTCTTCCAGCTCTATGATTCTATGATTCTATGATTCTATATCAATAAATCAAAATATTGATTATGGCTGAGGACCATCCAATGGAGCAGGGGCGATCCTGCCCTGCGTGCGTAGGGAGGCCTTGCTCCCAGCCCGCAACATCATCTCCCCGGGAACGGGAAATGGCTTTATTTAAATATTTGTCTTCATTGGCATTGCAAGGAGTTTGAGCAGAGGTCAGCAAACTTACTGCACCTTGGGCCAGTGTCTCCAGCGCCGATCGCGTGGCGGGGCGGAGGGCGGGGGAGCGTGTGCCCATACACATGCGCACATGCTATTTCTGGCACACTTCCGGGTCGGCGGAGCAACGGAAATAGCTTGTGCACATGTGCATGGGCCTCCTCCAACCCAGATGTGCACCGGAAATAACGCTTGCACATGCGCACAAGCTATTTCCGGTGCTCCTCTGACCCAGAAGTGGGCAGCCGCGCAGTGCAATGCCAGTAAGAGCGGGCGGTGGCAGTGAGCGGCAGGGGTCACCACTGGCTGGATAAATGAGTCCCTCGGGCCTTATCTGGCCCGCGGGCCTTAGTTTGGGGACCCCTGAGTTTGAGGGTCCAGAGCTTGGTTGCAGTAAGGCTTGTTTGTATGTGTGCCACCAACAGCAAAGCTCATCATCTACACCGTGGACCGAAAGTAGTTCTGGACTCAAATGCTGTGGAGTAAACAGGAAGTAGGACTGGCTGACGGCTCCTGTTCCTCTGTCACACTGTGTAGTTAGACAAGTGTTTTTTTCATTTTCCCTGCCAAGGAGAGCAAACATTCAGCTTCCTGGGCATATTATACAAATAGACCTTCTTTTCATTGTTGATGTTGAACTTGTGACTCGCAGGAGGGACAAAGAAGATCATTAAAGGACCACCCAATATTTGAGCAAGAATCTTATTCAACTCCCCTCTCTGACACCAGCAGTTTTTGAAGTCTCTCTTGAGGGATAGAAACTTGAGGTTCTTCCAGACCATTACAGCTTTGCGGGAGGGATTCAAGTGCATACTGGAAGTTTAGGTTTGTGCCTGTTAAGTTGTGGGTGAATATATCAGACGACACAGTGATTCTTCAAACAGCTCTTGTTTATTCACAGGCCAGAACTGAACTGAAGGGTTCAGCCAGCCTGCTTATATAGAGCTCCACTACAACGCAACAGTAACCATTTTCTGTAACTATCCAATCACTGAACGTCACTTTCGATCCCTTATTTGCATATGTGGACCTGAACTATCTACAGTATCCCCCTGCTGGCCCAGGGTGAGAACTTCAGTACATAACACCGCCATTAAAATGAATTAAAGCATTCTGTTGCCCTGGCACAATAAATCCACTGTAAAAAAACTGGACTTTTTGGGGGGGGTGATGAGGAAATGCACTGAAAAGTGTGTAGGGGGCGGGATCATTAATGGAAGGTATATAACTGCCACATATGCAAGGTACGAATTGTTATGTACTGAAGTTCTCACCCTGGGCCAGCAGGGGGATATTGTAGATAGTTTTCATTCAGGTCCACATATGCAAATAAGGAATTGAAAGTGATGTTCAGTGATTGGATAGTTACAGAAAATGGTTACAGTTGCGTTGTAGTGGAGCTCTATATAAGCAGGCTGGCTGAACCCTTCACAGTTCAGTTCTGTTCCGGCCTGTGAATAAACAAGAGCTGTTGAAGGATTGCTGTGTCGTCTGATATGTTCACCCACAACTTAACACGAATGAACTGTCCTCCACTGCCTTTGCCTGCCTGCTCACCTTTTGCTAACTTTTGTTTTCTGCATCCTGGGCACAGCTATGGAGATCAAGTGCTGCACTTCAAGGTACTGAGAGAAAAGAAAGGGAAGTACCATCTCTGGGACGAGAAGTTCAACTCCATCAACGAACTGGTGGATTTCTACAGAACTACCACCATCGCCAAGAAAGCGGAGGTCTTCCTCAGGGATCATGCGGAAATGCAGGAGAGCGGAAACTCTCCAAATTGGGTGAGCGGGCATAAAAATGGCAAGGGCATTTCAATGGAAGCGAGCATAAAATAATGAACTTTGGAGCAAAACCTCCCTATCTTCACATATGGATGAGCAGGGTCTGAACTGGTGGTGGCTCTCCAGGAAAGAGATATTGACCTGGTGAGCATGTCAACTCGTAGAAAGGCAAGTGACACGATAGGGGTCATTAGAAAAGGGATTGATAATGAAACTGCCAATATCGTAATGCCGTTGTACAAATTTATGGTATAACCACACTTGGAATATGGTGTACTGTTCATTGAGTCGTAGAGTTGGAAAGGAACCAAGGGTCATCTAGTCCAACCCCCTGCAATGCAGGAATCTTTGTAAAGACTGTGGAGAGAATAATTGGGTGCACTCTTCCCACCTTGGATCAAATCTATGCTTCCAGGTGCCATAAGAAAGCTGCAGAGATAGTGCAGGATAGTGCGCACCCCAGAAATGATCTCTTTCAGTTTCTGCCTTCTGGAAGAAGGTACAGGGTTATAAAGACTAGGACTAGCCGCCTGAGAAACAGTTTTTATCCAAATGCGATTTTGGTTTTAAACGCAGGGAGGGAAATCTTCTCCATCTCACCACATCATGTAAACAACACACCTGGCTTGACAGGTGGGCAAGACTAGCTCGTTTGTGTCAGCCAGGCATTTCTTCTCAGCTATCCTCTCATTCTCTTTTTCATGCAGCCCAAAAAGCCAAAATTCGTCCAGGCTCAGTTCAACTTCACAGCCAAAAGCCCATCCCAGCTGAGCTTCTGTCGAGGGGACGTCCTTGAGATCCTGGACTGCTCTGATCCCAACTGGTGGAAAGGGAGGATTGGCGTGAAGACGGGCCTATTCCCCAGGAACTATGTCTTCCCACTGCGCATGTGACCCGCTTCGCCTGCGTTCTCATTGGAGGCTTCTTCTGAAGCAGCCAATCAAAATCTCTCTGAATGGAAGTCCTGTGGAACATCTATGGAATGACCGCCCCACTTGCAACCTTTTTCAGAAGTGGACCAAAAAGTGGACCTCCCATGTGACAAGTGGTGGTCTAAGGGAGTGGTCTTCAACATTTCCTTGCCCACAACCAGGGATGTGGGAGAAACTTGATTTTGTTTGCGTTCAAATGAGAAACCACCTGATTTGTGCTTCTCGAACCAATCTGCAAACCGAAACACAGCCATCCTTGTAAATTCATGCTTCTTCCCATTTTGTGACTCAGTTGTTCAACCAACATATATAAAAGTGGAAAATGTGCCCTTCATTGGTTTTTCTAAGATAAAGAGACAGAAGAACCACAGGGAAAATACAGAATGACAATGACTGGATGACAGTGCCATGTGGATGCCCCGTAATAATTGAGTGAATGAAGGGTGGCAATCCCACACTAAATACTGACAGAGAAAGCACTTCTCCATTGGTTTGGTGCCAGTTGAATCATCACAGTTTCTCCTGAAGAATCCTGGGAATTGTAGTTTTACTGACATCTGTTCTGTAGCCTCGCCCTTAAACAGAACTAGAGTTCCCAGCATTCCGTGGGAATGAAGGAATGACTGTGAAACCAATATCAAGTTCCATTATTGTATGTGCACATCCATGGCAATTCCTTCTCATTTCTTTTGCGTTATATTTTCTCTTCGTCTGTCCCAGGTTGCTGGATGATTCAAACAGGTTGGGTTTGTGTCAGCAAAACCACCAGTGGACATTGGTAGGCCAGGAATAATGAACCCCTGAATCTAATCCAATGGATTGACCCAGAATTTGGGGACCCTGTTTCCGTCTGATGATGGTGTTCCCTTGTGTGGGATCTTCCAGGGACCATACTTCAGTCCTGGATGGGTTCAGAAGCAAAAATGGAGGAATCAATGGATGCAAAATTTACCTTTGTACAGTCGGGTTCATTCCAGCCATGCAAAACCCAGAGGTTTTCCACGCTCTCCTCTCCATCCTGGGTAGCAAAAGGCATTATCACAGTTCAAGAATGCATGCAAACCAGTCAAAAATCACTCAAGAACATGCCCAGGGAGGGGGAACAGCCTAGGGAGGGTCTCAAAAGGCAGGCAGAGGGGCCAGAGGGTCACATTTACCACCTCCACATTTACCGCTTCCTCACCTCTGGCTTAGCCAGTCAAAGAGTTGACTCATGACACATGGGCGGTTTCCAATGTGGGAACAGACGACTGGGTGGGGAATCCCCCTGAGCAAATCTCAGTTCCCTCTTTCATTTGTTTGAAAACACCTCCCCCTCCCCCCCCCCCAAGCTTGTTTCATAAGCATCTTGTGACTAGGCATGCCTTATCTCAGAATGGTGTTTCCCCCCCATCCTGCTCTCTTGGGTCACCAACAGCCAAGGGCAACAGGAAGGAGGAATCTGATACACTTTGCAGCCAGGCAAACATTCTCCCACCTGCCTCCTTGACCCTTCCTCTATTTATAGGCTCTTCACAAAGCCGGGTGTTTGCAAAGAACTCACCGAGCTTTCTGCAAGGCACTGCCTCTCAGTTTCTAGGGAGCATACGAGATAGAGTGCATAGGTATAGTCCACTCTGGCAGAAACCTTGCAGGGAAGGAATTCAGCCCAAGGGCCACATTCCCTTCTGGATAACCTTCCAGGGGCCACATGTGAATGGGGCCAGAGGCAAAAGTGGGCGGAGCAAGGAATGCACACCTTCCAACTTTTTCCAATGCAAAACCGGGATGTCTTCCAGGATGCACTCTCAGGTGATGTGACCTGTGCCTTGCTCTCACCCCCCCCCCAAAAAAAAGCAATTTTGGGTGGGAGGGGGCAGAGCACAGTGCACAAGTGGGATCATGGTATCCAAAATGGCCACTGGGATCTTGCAAGAAAAAAATGGGATGTCCTGTTTTATCCAGGACACTTGGAAGGAGGTGTAGCTGAGGCAGGGAATATTACCTACAGTGGCCTGGGGTACTATATTCGGACCCAGGTTCTGCTCAGGTTTGGGTAATTGCATTGGCAGAGACTGCCTAGTCAAATCAGGACAGCTAGAGGAAAAGCAGAGACCAGCTCCTTTTGTGGTGATTGGCATGTGCCCGCATTGTATACATCAGAAGGGGAACACTAGGTGAGAGGACCGCCAGCGACTCAAGAGTGTGATGTGGAGAGATTTATTGAACCGACGGCCACCCACAACCTCATTATACAAATTGGTTTTCGCTAGGCAATGATTCTGTGCGTGTGAGTGTACAACCTCGAGTTGGGTTTCGCATGTTAGCTACGGTTATGCTAATCATTTTGTATTCCTTTATGTGGTTTAATAAAGTAATTCAGGCAGTCAAGCAGGTGCTTCAGACAAATTTGGAGGCAAAAAGATGGGTGCACAGCTCATTCCATGCCTGAGCAATGACTTGTCCCAACTGAGGAGCAAAAGGCAGAGACTCATCAGCTTCACTGGGCCAGAGCTAGACCTCATTGGTGCCCTGTATCACATGATACATGGGATGCAATGCCGCCATTGGTGCCATGGCCCCGAAGCAGAACTCTTCAAAAGCAGAGTCCTCTGGCAATTGCAACTCTGTAGGAATAACGGAGACGACAGGAGGTTGGATGCAGGTGAGCTGTGCAGAAGCACGCTGGCAAGCATGCTCCAAGCAAGCTGCCGGCTAGCTCTGCCGAGGCTCCTTTTATTAGCAGAAGTCAACAATTGGAAACAGTAGTGAAACCACCCTGAACCTAACGTATTTCCATTTAAGCACATTTCCAGTGTTAGCAAATACACGTGTCAGCAGGTGTTTCCCTCAGATGTTCCCCCCGATACTTGATTACATCTGCGTCCCCGGTCATGCTCCAGCCAAGCGTTACGTCTAACAAACAAATTGTGAGAGGACAAACGGTCAGGGGGGAAACCCTGTTTTCTAGCCAAGAAGGCAAAAGGTCAGGGAAAGCAGGCTCAACACTCCTTGACATACTGTTGTATGTCTGGTGCGAGGTTTGCCTTCGCAAAGCAGAGCGTTACCACTACACAACTCCAAGGAAGGGACGGATCCATGTTCTGCCCATCCTGCATGTGTCTTCAGACTCCGGGGTCCCGCTCCCCAGAGCCCCAAGGAGACAACTCTGCCACCAGACTCTGGTGGCTGGTCCACAAACCCTTGCGGGATCGAGAGAGCCCTGAGAGATCCCTATGGCTGAAAACCCCAGTACCTCCAAAAAAGGCAATGGTTGCAAAATAAAACGCTGGTTCTTTAACCGTCTGTGTGGCAGCACTGAGGAGATGGGCCCTCGAGTCAGTGACTACCTAGCTGTGCTTTAAAACTCTGCCAATAGTTCCAGGACCTTGCTGAGACAACTTAGATGTTTGACCACCGCAATGATCTCTCTCCAAGGCGCTGACCCTTGACTTGTCTTTACTTGGGCCACCACCCTTCCTTAGTGATGCTGCAGCAGAAACCACACGATGCAAGGAGCCAATAGGATGTTTTCTGCGCTAGAAGCTGCAATACCACCCTGTGGCCATCTGCAGTGAAGGTGCTGCAGCAATTTCCTCTGTTTGCCAGTGGGCCAATGTCAAAAGAGAGTTGCGGTGAGTCTTCAGCTCAAATGCCCCGGAGGTAGCAAAACAAGATGGGGGTGTTCCTGTGCCGCTCTCATGCCTAGCCAGAAACAGCTACCATGCCCAACTACAAGTGCACCGTGGAACATGTAAAATGGCCAAGCTGAACTGAGTTCAGTATTTATGGGCCGTTTACAAATCAGGGCCTTTTTCTGCAAACGAAATCTGCCAGTTTCTTTTTAATTATTTTCTAAGAAAGATTCTAGTCCCCTTGGTTGCAAAAAATAAAAAATAAATCTGCATATGCTAGCCCAAAGGTCCAGTGTCATCTCCAGTGGAGTACCATATAAAATCCCAAAGTTTCCAATTTTGTGCATTAATTCCTGGAAGCTGCCTTCTACTGAGTCAGACCATTTGCTCATCTTAGCTCAGTACTGTACACACTGGCTGGCAGCAGCTCTCCAAGGTTTCAGATGGGGGGCATTCCCAGCCCTACCTGGTGATTGAACCTGAGATCTTCTGCATGCAAATCAGCTGCTCTACTCTACTGAGCTACAACTCTTCCTCTTGGTAGCTTAGAACGGCCCCATCAGTAGCTGAAATATAATATTTAAATAAAGCAATCCACTGGTATCAGAGAATACTTCCCATCTTCCACATACACACCAGTTCTCTCTTCCCCTCCCCTCCCCACTCACCCCAAACTCCTTCCCGTCTTCTCTGAGGAACTTTCCAGAAGACATCCCTTAAGCAAAATAAGCATAGAAAAAGACATTGACACAGATCAGGAGAAGGGCGTTTGCACAGCAGATCCGAGCCCAGAAGCAGGATTCTGTCTTTTCCCCAGGGGGCTTCCCTGGGGGGGTTCCAGCCTTCATGACGCAGGGGGCGCAGGCCTTTCCGTTGCCAAAGCAACTCCACAGGGGGCTTTCTGGGAGATCTGTGAGAAAGAGAGAGAGCAAAGGGTTTATTCATGGAAAGAAAAAAAAAAGATTAGACAAAGTCCTAGAGCAGGGATGGGGAACCTAGAGCAGCAACAGCTGGTGCCCATGGAAACTGGTGGGGTGGAAGACAGGAAGCCCAAGAGTAAGGGCAGCCAAAGCCAATGACCGTCAAAGCCAACTAATTCCAGTTTTGTCCCCATCCTCCTCCTCCTCCTCCTCCTCCTCCTCTTCCTCTCTGAGTTCCTAATGGGCAACACTGAGTCTAAGGTGGAGGAGGCTGGCTGATGGCAGACTGAGATTGGTGGGACATTGTCCCCTTCGCCCTCATGCAGGGCTGGCCCACCCATGAGGCAAGGTGAGACAGCCACCTTAGGCAGCAGGATCCACCGGGGCAGCAGATCCTGATGTAGATCTCCATTCCCCACTTCTTTCTGATATAGATCTTGACCAGCACCTTCTTCTCTAGCAGGGAGGAGGGTCACCATTTTATGGTGTGCCTCAGGTGCCAAAATGTATTGGGCTGGCCATAAAGGGTCAGCGCCCACTGACCTGGAGCCCTTCCAATGGGGCTGGGCTCCTATCATCCCCTGACCATTATTGGCCATGCTGGCTGGATCTAATGGCCAACAACTTCTCAATGGTTCCTCAGTTCTGTCCATTTGGTAGCCAAATTTGCACTGCCGGCTTAAAAGCTGCATTCCAGTCATATCAAGAATGATAAAATGCACAGTATTATAAATCTTAACCCAATGTTTCATTACCCACGGAGGTTGGTGCACATGGGTACTAATGGCTGTTCTGTGATTCCGTATCAAGTTTTTAATTTTAATTGGGAGTTTGACATCTTTTATATTGTGAAGTCCTTCGGCTACATTCAGTAAAGTTGACGGACTGATCACAGGATATTTCAGCACCCGCCGTTCACATGAAACCACATATTCCAATGGGCTTTTCTTTTTCCCTGCCCCTCTGAGAGAGGATGTCGTTCAAATCGTGCCTGGGGCCTACCATCGTTCTGTGTGCTGGAAAAGCCGTCCTCAGGCAGCGATTTGGGGTTGGGGAGTTGGGGAGGTAGGGACTCCTCACGAAGAGTCCACCAAGTCACAAACTTTACCTGCAAATATAAAAAAGTAGGGGGAAAGCCAATGAAATACAAAGTTGCATTTGCTTATGAGCGTCATTACCATTGATAGCCAAAGCATGACGTTGTGAGGTAAAATGTGCCGCTGATAGGAAAGCAACACTCCTGACAGAAACACAAGGGATATGTTCACTCAGCAGAGATATTGGAGAGGAACAATGGGTGAAATTTGCACCTTCCATCCTTCAGTGTACAGGAAAGAGTTTGACTCTGAGAGAAGTAGCGCACCCAGGAGAAGTTCTGGAAGGTTCCGCGGTTGCCCTGTACACAGGCAATTCCTAGTTTGAGGCCACAGATAAGGCCCAAGAGACTCTAGTTTCGCTCAAATTAGACTTGTGAAAATTCACAGTTCCAAGTTTTCTGTGTCAGTTAATTTCAATGTCTCTGTTCTGAGTATGTCTAATATTGGATGAAGCCCCTACACTCTGGCGATAGCTTTTGGATGTTGTTGTTATTATTATTATTATTATTATTATTATTATTATTATTGACATGCCTTTTGCATAAGTCTCAAGGCAGTGTAGTCATTAGAGTAAAAACAACTATGATAGGGTTTTTTTTTTAATTAATAAACCCATACAGAAAATAACTAAAGGTCTTTAAAATGGCATTTTATTTCATTTAAACGAATCTGTAAATTTGCTAACGCTTTAAAATCTTCTTTACACTTCATACAAAAATAAAATCTCTAACTCGTGTGCGACAAAAACAATAAACAATTTTATTAAAACAAAAATAGTTGATAAAACGAAACTGCTAAATGGACAAGCCTAGCCAGATGCTTAGAAAATTGAGGCAAATTTAATCTGTTTCGGTGTTTTAACTTTTGTGTGTTTTAAAGTAGGGTAGTGATTCCCCTCCCCCCTTTGATTTACTTGTTTTATCTTTTTGTAAACTGATTGAGGTTGTTGGGGTTTTTTTTAACCATTAGGCGGTATATACATTTTATGAAATAAATAATTAACAAACAAAACAAACAAAACAGATAAAATAAAAAGAGGAATTTGGGGGATTCAAATGAGAGAGAGAGAGAGAGAGAGAGAGAGAGAGAGAGAGAGAGTGTCCAATATTATGGGTCAGAGAAACTCTGTAATATCAGACCCTCCCAAATGCAAATTAACAGTCAAGACGCAAAACAAACCCTAACAGGAAGGCCTGTTCTACTGACCCCTGACCCGCCCCCCATCTTGATGTTTTTCGCTCGTGCCAGCCTCCTGCCCTGAACCCTGTCAGAGGTTCCACCACCTTCCAGGTGCAGAGAGATCCAGGCAACGCCCACCGTGTTTTCTCGTGCCACCCAACCGTCCGTTCTCTCTGGGCACACATCAGAACAAACCACTCCGCTCGGCATGTCTCAATACGTCTGAGAGGGCCCTGGTGCCAAGGAAGGGCAGTCTTCCATAGCTAGGGGTGGTGGTTAGGTGGCACAAGAATGGCTCGGCCTCTCTGGGTGGAGTGGAAAAGACTTCTTTCTTTCTTTCTGTTCCTTCAAAGGTGGTTTAACAGAAAGCATTCTGCCTCGGGCAATTGCTTCGGTCAGAAGCAAAGGGAGCAATCGGTTGGGCCTGTGTCACTATCAGGGCAAGGAAATCCTATCAAGTGCCAATGCCAGGCAGCCATTTTCCCATGCCAAAGCAAAGCAAACGATCCTTGTTTTAAAAAGCTTGTTGCTCTCCCCCTGTTCCAGAAAGAAACGAGGGCTTTATTTCTGAGGGCAAAAACAGTGAGTTTTACCCTCCCAGTGAATTCCAGCTGATTTCATTTCGTACATGGCATTTCCTATTGTAAGGTGCTCGGAAACTACGGTGTTCAGGCGGTACCTAAGCTATGAAAACACATTTAAATAATTGTCATTTAATTAATAATATGAATTATTAAAATAAAATTTGCGGAAGGGCCGTGACTCAGCCGAAGGGCACCTGCTACTTCTCTCCTCAGATGCCATCATTGCTCTGTCACATGGAGGATGGAGCAAACTTATTTTCTCCTGCTCTGGAGGGTAGGAAATGGATTCAAGTTACAAGAAAGGAGAGATTCCGACTAAACGTCAGGAAGAACTTTCTGACCGGAAGCGCTGTTCAACAGTGGAACAGTCTCCCTCAGGAAATGGTGGACTCTCCTTCCTTGGAGGCTTTTAAACAGAGGTTTGGATGGCCATCTGTCATGGATGCTTTAGCTAAGATTCCTGCATTCCAGGGGGTTGAACCCCTCAGGCTACCTTCCAAATACAGTGGATGCTCAGGTTGTGAACGTGATCCATGCGGGATGCACATTCGCAACCAGCAGCAGCGCATCTGCGCACATGTGGGTTGCGATTCGGCACTTCTGCGCATGCATAAAGCGTGATTTAGCACAACTGCCGAAACCCGGAAGTAACCCGTTCTGGTACTTCCAGGTTTCAGCGGGTCTGTAACCCAAAAAAATCAACCTGAAGCACCTGTAACCCGAGGTTTGACTGTATACAGTTCTGTGGTTCTCTTGCTTCTCCTCCTCTACGCCACTGGGGCAGCTCGGCTCACCTGCTTACAAGCTCTACTCACCTGGGATTCAGCGGGGGGCTGAGTCAACAAGCTGATGCCCGCCACCACCATGGCAGTCAGCAGGAAGAGGAGGGTGGCGAAGTGAAGATAGTGGAGGTCCTTCACGAGGGAAGGGCGCCTGTCCGGGACACCACACCGGGGCGTGGGGTGCGCAAACTCCAAGGCCATCCGGCTCAGGCCAATGACCAGCCCCACCATCAGGCCCCAGAAAGCCCCCTGCAGATAAAGACAGGGCCCAAAAGACTGAAATTCTAACCTGCTTGGTCAAGGCCTCGGGAGAAGGGACCAGAAACAAGGAGCAAGTTGTTTTCTTTCCTTTTAATGCCAGACTTAACCACCCTCTTCCTTCATCATACTGAAGTTGTGATTGAGCCCTTCAGGCTTCAACCAAACTTATTTAATTAATTTTATTCATTCCCTGCTATTCAACAGGTTTCCCAGGGTGGCCAAGGAAAAGAAAGCAAATTAAAATTCCCAATGAAAACAGTTAAAATGAGAGCCGTTTATATCCCACATTATTAAAGCACGATTAGAAGCCTGAGCCTCAAACCACTTTCATGCAGGATAAACATAACATCAACATTCACACATGTGTGTAACTCAACCCAACAGAACACAGATTGCATCCACATATCCACAAATAATGCTATATAGCATAGTGACACATGCAAACATCCAGGTCACGCTACATGACAGAACGCCACGTTTGCGTAACAGATGATAACGCCACATCCACAGAACAGAACACCATACCAACATAAGATAACGTAACACCACATCCACAGAGCATCGCAGCACATCCACGCAATGTAACATCATAGAACCACAGCCACACAATCAGTTAAAGTGGTATAGAGCCCACATATACATTTGTAGCAGAGACCTACAATTTACAAACAGGTGCGGCTTTCACAAAAGGAAACAAATGATTGTAATGCAAATTTGGGTGATTCACACTGCACATATTATCATGGGGTTTTCCCATTTGGGGACAGACTTGTAAGGGATAGGAAAAAAGAAAAGGGTAGGAAACAATGAGGCAAGGGTAGACACTGGTGGGTTAGTCCCCTGACCTTAAAAAATGCACCTGTTCTACTATGGGCAACATTGCATACCCACAACATTGCATATCCACCCACCAGTTCCTGGATTTATGTTTTAAATAGTGCTTCTCTCTTTTTTAAAAATAATAATAATACAATGAGGAGAGCCCACGGCTCAGATTCTCTCTTTGGCAGATTCTCTCCACTTAAGGGGCATTTCAAGTTGCAGGCCTAGGAAAGACTGATGCTTAGGGGCAGAACATCTGCCTTGTGCACAGAAGATCTCATGTTCAATCCCTGATAACTCCAGATGGGAATGGGACAAACTCAAGCCCTAGATGAACACTGCCATCCTATGCAGACATTGCTGAGAGGTGGCTCAACAGTCTGACTGAGCTTAAGGCAACTTTCAATGTCCCCCCTTAAGTCATTTATTAAAAACATATACTATATCTTACTATATAATATTATTGCAAGGAAATGTCATCACGCTGCAGTTCACCTGGTCACCAGTAGGGGGCCATGTGAGCAGGATGGTAGTGGAAGCGAGCAAACAAGCAGGCTGGCAGGTGGTCCAGAAAGGGGCTTCCCATTCACCCTGTTGTCATGGCCACCGCCACCCACTTGCTCGCTCGCAGGCACAGCAGGGCAAGGCAAGCCCAGCGTCAGAGGGGGCGAGTGGTCTGGCTGAGCGAGAAAGAGAATGGGCAGGTGGTCCAGCAGAGTAAGCAACTAGGGAGGCAACTAGGTGGGTGGGCCTGGCAGGTCTTTGCATGCTCCTAGTACTCCATCAGTGTCAGAAGGAAGCATGCATTTCAAAATGCATGCTTACTGTCTGCCAGCTGCAGCGCGGAGCGCAAGGGAGAAAGGCCTTTTCCTCCTCTTTCCCCTCTCCCCCGCAAGTGGTAGCAACAGCGGCAGTAGGGGGGTTGTGTTTGGGGCAAGCTGTTGGCAGAGGGAGTTTGGAGTGAATTGTTGGGGGAGTTTGGGCTGAGCTGTGGGCATAACCCTTTTTTCGCAGGAAATTCCCTTATTCCAGCGCCGTTTCCCGCTGCTTCCCGCTGCTATCCCGGATTGTTAGATATCCCGTAGACTGTCCCGGGACAGGTGAGGCTGCTAATCCCTTATTTTCAAATCTGAAAGTTGATAGCTATGGCTGTGGGGAGTAGGGCGGGAATGGCAGGGAGGTGGGGATGGGGACTGAAGGAGCTGTGAGTGGGGGGTCAAGGAGTTGTGAGAGGATAGGGGTGGCTAGGGTGTAGGGAGTTTGATGGACTGGCAAGATGGCTTATGATGGATAGCTCAGTCAGTAGAGCATGAGCCTCTTGATCTCAGGGTCGTGGGTTCAAGCCCCATGCTTGGCAAAAGATTCCTGCGTTGCAGGGGGTTCGACACGATGACCCTCATGGTCCCTTCCAACTCTACAATTCCATGATTCCATGGGGTTGGCGAGCAAAGTGCGCAAGGGCGGCAGTCTCTAGTTTAAATACCCCAAACACTGAGGTCCAGCTCCAAGGGCCTTCTGGTGGTTCCCTCACTGCAAGAAGTGAGGTTACAGGGAGCCGGGCAGATGGCCTTCTTGGTGGTGGCACCCGCCCTCTCATCAGATACCAAGGAAATAAACAACTATTGGGCTTTTAGAAGCCAGTCTCCGTGCAGGGAAGTTTTTAACGTTTGAGGCTTTGTTGTGTTTTTAATATTTTGTTGGGAGCCGCCCAGGGGAACCCAGTCCGATGGGCGGAATATAAATAATAACGATATTGTTATCATTATCAGCTATTATATATGAGCGTACCTGTTCATTGGCTCGCTTCCAGAAAACGGCCAAGAGGAAGACAGCCGTAACCGGCGGGGCAAGGTAGCTAGTGACAGATTGGATGTAGATGTAGAGCTGGCCGCTGTTGGAGCTCTGCAGGATTGGGATCCAAACCACACTGACAGCAACTAGGACAATAGTGACTATCCTGCAAGGTTAGCGATAAAAAAAATCACAAGTGAAACATCATCATCATAAGAGTGGGTTTTCTGGGGGAAAGCAGTGAGGCAAAGGCAAAACCTCTCAGACTTGTGGCTAGGATGCATGGGAAAAGCAGAAATGTGGACAAGCTCCATGAGGACTTCTTATGTTCTAGGTTACAGGAGAAGCACCTTATCCAAAGGCCACCAGAACCCTGGAGGGGCGAGTGAGGTCTTGTTCACACAAATACCAAGCAAATGGCAGTCCAGGGCACGGCGTTTCAAAAACCCTGCCTGTGTCAAAGAAGTCATGCGCAACAGAGGCTGTGTGCAAGACTTCGCTTTCTCCATGCACGGGAAAGTATCAGCCGCCCACACCCTGAGAGGGTCACCGATGCAAGACATAAAATAAGGGAGGGCTTTGCAAGCAAGCAGAATCGAATGCTCCTCAATTGCACCGCAGGCCAGTCTAATCTGTGCATTTTATGCATATCTGGAAGCGGTCCAGTGTCCATGCAGGGTTATATTGCTTTTGCAGGTAACCGAGAAAGGAACTGAGATGAAAAACTTGTTCCCGTGGGCTGGGCTTCACTCAGCACCTCGACTGACGCAACCAGATTTTGCAGCAGACAGGAATGGTGGGATCTGCAACGTGGGATTACTGCAGGTTTGCCAGCGAGTCCTACCAAGGGGCCCCAAGAGCTTCTGGGAAGCCAGCACGAAAGGAGTTGGCAGACACTGAGATGCATGCAATGCCTTGCAAAAGCAAACCTTTGCAAGCGTGAGGGTAATAGGGGATCATATAAGGGAAAACAGGTCTCAGCCTGTTGCGCTTGTGTGTTGCTTTTCGAAAACCGTTTATTTACACCCGAGGCCACAGATGATCTGCTTAATTAAATAAAGAATCCCCGTGCAGTTATTATGTAAATAAAGAAACTAAACAATTTTTGAAACAGGAAGCGGGGAAAATAGTACCCCGGTCAACTCTTGATTATTCCGGCACTTCTCAGCCGAAGCAAACATTTTAATGGCTGCAGATGCAGAAGCAAAACCGTACCGCTGTCCCAGGATGGCACCCCATCAAAGGAGGGTGCTGTCATGGGAAGTACATGTTGCACCACTTCTCTGTGGCAGCAGTAGATCCAGGATTTGTCCATCTCAGGGCAGTATGTCTGAGTCAGGCCTCACACAGAAAGGCAGACACACACCCCTGCCTCTTTTTTCAAAACAAAGCAAGGGCATCAGCCAAATTCTCTCTGCTCAAGTTCTTTCTCAACAGCCAGTTTCAACCTAAGTCATGCTTTGGGCAGACGTGTTCAGGTGGATTCTCAGCCCAGTATGCCTGAAGGAGCGTCTCCACTCCCATCAATCAGCCCGGACACTGAGGTCCAACTCCAAGGGCATTCTGGTGGTTCAATCACTGCAAGAAGTGAGGTTACAGGGAACCAGGCAGAGGGCCTTCTTGGTAGCGGCGCCCGCCATGTGGAACGCCCTCCCATCAGATGTCAAGGAAATAAACAACTATCTGACACCTGAAGGCAGACTTGTTTAGGGAAGTTTTTAATGTTTGATGTTTTATTGCTTATTATTATGATTGATAATATTCTTTTTAGAGCCGCCCAGAGTGGCTGGGAAAACCAGAGTGGGGTATAAACAAACAAACAAACAATATTGTTGTTATATTTTTCAACATCATCATCATCATCATCCAGGCTTGCTTTGCCCCAAAAGTGGCATATAAATAAACCAGGACATATTACAGTCATACCTCGGGTTACAGAGGCTTGGGGTTGCATGATTTCAGGTTGCGCACCGTGCCGAACCCAGAAGGACCGGAACGGGTTACTTCCGGGTTTCAGCGCTTGCGCATGCACAGAAGCACTAAATCGCTCTTTGCACATGCGCAGAAGCACCGAATTGTGACCCACGCATGCACAGAAGTGCGGGCCGCGGGTTACGAGCACTGCATGTCGCGAACGTGCCTCCCACACGGATCACGTTTGCAACCCGAGCAGCCACTGTAGTTCAGAATTTACCCCTGCACCACTGGCCCTGTATAAATTATAAAGGGGGAGGGTGATGTCATATGGAAAATGAGAATGCCTTTCCAAATGCCTGACACACACACGGCCAGCAGGAGCTAAGGTGTGTCAGTTTCCCACCCCCACCCCGCTTCACAAGATAACGCCTGTCATTGATCAAATGAGCAGGGTGAGTCACGCCCACCCATTCACTTCCAAGAATCCCGCTCCATGTGTCAGTCTCCTCCGCCTGCCTTTCCTTAAACGCCCGGCTGTTTGCGCAAGAGATATTGTGCAGAAAAGAGAAAGAGGCGAGGAGAGCTCTTGCATCCTTCATCATCAGGCAGCTGCCAGGGAAAAGGAAGAGTTTACACCCAAGTAAAGAGGGAGGGGGAAACGATATCCTTATAAGGGAAGACTGAAGCCAACTTCCTGCGCGGTGACGTTCCTACATGCTTTATTATTTCCTTTTCTTTCTCTTAGTAGTTCATTCCCCATGGTAATCTGTTGCGTCTCAATGCATTCATCGGCACGTAGGTAAGGAAGTTGGAAGTATAGAGCGAAGTTAGTCAGGCAGGCTGAGAGGCCGAAGCCAGGGTGTCCTGCCTCCCTGCGGTCCTCAGACTCCCAGCTTGGTTTTTGCCAAAGGCTTTAATGCCTAGTAGATCGCTGTGGTAGATAAGTCAGGTTACGAGACAGATAGGTCCTGATTCTCACCCTGTGGCTCCTCCTCACTCCCCTCTGGCCAGCCCTGCCAAGATGTCTCTACAGGGCTCCTGGCACATCCACAGCCCCACCCACTTTTTGCATAACATTTGCATTTTCTCATTTGCATGCGCTGGTGCAAATTGAAGCGGCAAGGCTTACTCCGAACCATGGAGTGCCAAGAGGATTTGCTGGGCCCAGGATACTTTAAGCGGATTGGGCCCTCCACAAACTATGATGGCAGGTGGGGTCTCACTGAGACTGTACTCTGCACCTGCGCCCAGATGCCCTTGAAAGCAAATCTCTTTAAGTTTAAAGGAAGGAGGTAGCAGCTACAGACATTAGGACCAGTGCTGTATTTACGTATAAGCTAAACAAGCTATAGCTTAGGGCCCCACTTTCTTGGGGGCCACAAAAAAATTTAAAGGGGGAAAAAACTGAATGTACATTTCCAAAATATAAGATAAAAAGCAAATAAAATAAAACCTACATACAGCAACAGTGTTTTGTTTTGTGTGGGCTCCTATGATGTAAGTCATGGGCCCCACCTGCTAGCCTGTCCCATAAAATATCACTGGTTTGCTGATTTCTATATATAGGGTGCCTACATTCTGCACGGACTGGTTGCATGACAATGTGCAAATGGCTTTAGAATGATACCTATTAGGTTCATAAATTACCATATAGCATGTATTCAACACAAAAAACAGCAACCATTTGTTGTTGACAAAGGACAGCTGGACATAGGAAGCCCCCATTACCTTCAGTAGCTTAGGGCCTCATCAAACCTAAATCTGGCCCTGGTTAGCACCCCAGTGCAAAAGACCCAGGGTGACCCCTGATAACAGCCCTGTACAACGCAATGCTATAAATGCCACGTCTCTTATCATACTTCGCTCTGCCAGAAGAAAACCGTGCCAGTTCCATCGTTTTTGTAACATCTGGCTTGATGTTTAATAATTGTGTTCTGTGGTTTCTTTTGGCTGCTAGCTGTCTTGTGGGGCTTGTCGTTTGAAGAAGTATTTTCAGTGAACAAACACGCCGACATCCAGTAATAATGAATGGCTTTGTTTTCGCTGAGAGATCTCAGCATCCTGATAAAGTTGCCACACAGTCCCACCCCAAAGAGGAGCCACCCTCTTTCACAAATGGGTAAAGTGAGATAAGAGAGCATCATTATGTCCCCATGAATCTAAGTCAGGGACACAGAAATGACTCCTCTCTCCAATTAACCATCAACGTTTCTGAAGATCCCCTTTAAGCAGAGAAGCAGCGGCATATCAGAACCACGGCATTTAGTTATCTGGGGGCCCATCTGCCCTATACATTTAAAGCAGCGCCGTACCAGTTTAAATTGCCATGGCTTCCCCCAAAGAATCCTGGGAGATGTAGTTTGTTAAGGGTGCTGAGAATTGGCAGGAGACCCCTGATTCTGATTCCTGGAGCGGTTTAGCGATCAATCCCTCTTCCTAGGGAACTCTGGGAAATGAAGCTCTGTGAGGGGAATGGGGGAGTCTCCCAATGACTCACAGCACTCTTAACAAACTACAGCTCCCAGGATTCTTTGGGGCAGGCCATGACTGTTTAAAGTGGTATACCTGCTTTCCACATATGGAGCCAAAGGGGCCTGGGAAGCTGATGATTTGCTGCTTAAACAAAATCACCGGCCTAGTAGCTGGATTTATTACTGACAAATGAAGCATTGCGAAATCGCTGAAGAATTAGGTTAGAGTTTGGGAGGGCTCATTCCTGCAAGCTCCCTTGTTGTTGTTGTTAATTGCTTCGTTGCAGCTCATTTGGCAGGTTACCTCTCCCTCTTGCTCTCTCTCATTCCGTGTTCACACATCGAAGCAAATCGATTAAGCCCAAAGAGACAAAAGGAGGAAAACAATTAAGTCAAGGCGTGTCCCGCCTTGCCAAATGCCATCTAAGGCTGGCTGGCTGGAATCATCAGGGGAGTGTCCCCAAATTGCTACTCTACGGCAATTGAAATTGCACAATCGAACGCAGGGACCAGACACGTCACATAAATTAGCAGCAAGAGGCTGCATTCCAGATTTAGCTGTGGATAAATATGTGCATGGGGGATGCAGGTGGCACTATGGTCTAAACCACTGAGACTCTTGGGCTTGCCATTCGGAAGGTCGGCGGTTCGAATCCCCACGACGGGGTGAGCTCCTGTTGCTCGGTTCCAGCTCCTGCCAACCTAGCAGTTCAAAAGCACGTCAAAGTGCAAGTAGATAAATAGGTACCGCTCCAGCAGGAAGGTAAACGGCGTTTCTGTGCGCTGCTCTGGTTTCGCCAGAAGCAGCTTAGTCATGCTGGCCACATGACCCGGAAAAACTGTCTGCGGACAAATGCTGGCTCCCTCGGCCAGTAAAGCGAGACGAGAACCACAACCCCAAAGTCATTCACGACTGGACTTAACTGTCAGGGGTCCTTTACCTTTAAATATGTGTATATTATCAGGCGTGCTCTGGCGTGCTCTGGTCCATGGGGTCACGAAGAGTCGGACACGACTAAACAACAACAATATTATCAAGAAAGAAGAAGAAAAAGCCCTGGCAGCCATTAGCTGCCTCCAGTCTCCTACATTGGTTGAGCTACTGTGACATCACAAAATCCACACATTCTTAATTGTCACGGGAGAGGCAAGGACCAGCAAAGGAAAGTTGACTTCATGAACAGTCTCAGTGTTGCTGGGAGAGGGAAGGACCAGTATACGAATGTTGATCACTGGCACATTTGGTGTGAAGAAACAATATTTTGATTTTGTTCTGTGAACCACCCTGAGACTTCCGGGTATAGGGCAGTATATAAATTCAATAAAGAATAAAAGAATAAAAAGAAAGTGGAAGGTCAATTGTTTGGGCTTCAAAATGAGGGATGGGGTTAGAACTTAATTATCCTTCCCTTCTATATCTCCACCATTACTCAGCAGACCCTGCCTTATTTATAGGGTAACCAGCCTCATATAACCAACATGCTTAAGTCTAATTAATGCATGAAGGGGTTAATACCATGGAGCAAGCTGTCCTGCTACATTTAGCTATGTTCATGTCCCTTACCTTGGGAGGAAATAGGTAATCAGGTCTAATGTTATCCCCCTGTCTACCTGAGAAGATTGGCGTGTAAAGGGCCTCTCTTGAGTCCCTATATCAATAACCTAGGAACTTTTGCCACTTCTTAACTAAGCCAAGTTTTACTGCCTGTGCATCTTTCTAAAGCACATGAATCTGACCTCAGGAGAGTTTGTAAGTAAACCATTTTTAACTTCCCAAATGTGTGGTGTTTTTCTATGCTAGGGGAAGTGGGAAACTTTGGAAAGAAACTTTTTAAGGGGACATTTCAGAACTCACTTTAAAGGGCACCTTTTTAGGTTTTACAGACTGTATTTTCATGCTTTACTCTGCTACATGTTTTGTGATTTTAAATCTCCGCTGGGGTTCTCTCAGCAAAGAGTACTTCCCCCAAATTGAGTTTACACATATGGAACCGGGCAAGATGATTGTGCCTTTTGCCTCGGGCAGCAAAATGCCTTGAACCAGCCGCACTGACCCACATGGCCAAATATGTCAATAAGGCAGGGTGAGTGAGGAATTCCCTCCAGGCAACCTGCTGCCACTGTGAGCAACAAAAGGAATGCAGGCTAGCATTTTCGTGAGGGGCAGGGGCAAGTCATTCTGCAGAGCTTTTAGCAATACGGTTAAAGGCACAGCAGAGGACAAGGGAGACTGCGTTGAAGGTCAAGCAGGATACACAGCAACTTTTACAGGGCATTCCTTGGGCTGTTCAGAAATGCAACCCAATAAATTGGCAGATCACTCGGTTAATTAATGATCTGGATCACCCATATGAAATTCAAGTTGCTGGCCATCAGTCCTCTCTCAGCTACACAAACATGCTCATTAATTGAAATGTGGAGACGCTTGCAAGCAGGATTTCTGCATCATTAGGTCTGTTGTGCAGGCAGATAAACTGAGTTGCTGGTGACGGCGGGAAATGATTCAGAAAGCAGGACTACCGAGGCATAAACAGGGGAAGTTAATCTCCGTGCCTGGCTGGTGCAAGGAAAAGATCTGACAGGGTGTCCATTATTATTATTATTATTATTATTATTAATTATTATTATTATTATTTAGAAACAGCAGCACACAGAGAGCCTTTGACCCTCCAGATGTGGCTGAACTGCAACCCCCATTTATCCCTGCTCATTGGCCATACTGGCTGAGGATCATGGGAGTTGTAGTCCAGCAACATACAGCTAGCCAGCAGCACCTGCACTATGGGTTTATAAAATGCATTTTTTTAAAAAGCCTTTTGAAAGATTGTCAGCATTTTAGTGTTCACGTCTCATTTTTGCAAGCAAATCCTCTTAATATGATGCATTTTTGCATGTCCTTTGCAAAAAAATAATGTGCATTTTTATGGATGCTTTCACCTAATCCAGGGTGGTTGAACCCTTTGTTAGCAGCCCTTGGCCACATTCAAGAAAAAAACATTTTAAAGCTTTAAATTTTTATTTTCTGTGTGTGTCTTGTGTTGTTAACGAAAGCACATACACCTGTTTGTCTATTAAAGCTATTAACAATTAAAGCTATTAAATCTGTATTTAATTATATATATTTAATCAAATATATAATTTGTGTACATTAAATAACATTAAATATATTGCGAACACTTTAATTTAAGACATGGGAATTGAATTCGGCGTGTGGCCCGCAGGTTCCCTGTCAAGGTACTCTTGCAGCCCACTTGGTGTGAGAGGTTGGACCACTCTAATCCATGCAGTTTGCACATAATTTTGAAAAGTGTGAAATGGGTGGCCCCTTATTCGAATTCATCTTGAACCGAATTTCTCTCCCGTTCATCCCCATCCCCTAGTCATGGCGCATAGCATCCAGGGGCAACAAAGGTTCCTGAGCCAGAATAATCCCACAAGTTCTTGTAAAGATGGCCAAGTAATGGATCCTAAAATAATGAATCAAATAACTAATCGCCAGCACTGCCCTTTCACGACACACGAAAACTGCCTTTGCATTGTCTAACGGTAGAGCCGGCCCCAGGGATACTGCCCCGCCCCAGGCTGGTACCTTCCAACCAGAAGCAGCTCTTTCTCGCTGGGCTCCTTCCGCACCTTCTGCCAGATGTCCATGGTGAAGAGGGTGCTGCTGCTGTTGAAGATGGAGGTCAGGGATGACATCAGAGCAGCCATCATGACGGCGATCATTAACCCTCGCAGACCTGGAGGGAGGAACCAGAAAAGCCAATGGCTTTTAATGTTTAACAGACTATTGTATTTTAATATTTTGTTGGAAGCCGCCCAGAGTGGCTGGGGAAACCCAGCCAGATGGGCGGTGTATAAATAATAAGTTGTTGTTGTTGTTGTATAGCAAAGCTTCCTCGTCTTGCCTCTCATTGCGCCTCCCTCTTCATTTCTCTGTGTGTTCTGGGAGACCAGTGGGGAGAGAAGCAGGAGGGGGAGACCCCCTGAGTCTGGACTGCTCCCCCCGCCGCCGCTCTAGCAGTGCCAACTGTGTCCTGAGCACACCTAGCTCAAGGATGACAAACAGCCAGCCAGTAGTTTAATTCTTTATTGACAAAGCACATGCTTACAGCAGTAAGTTCTGACGACCAATTAGCTGGCATCTCCTGCCCAGGATTGTACTCTGAGCTGGACTGTTGGATCAACAACATGGCCCTGTCTTCACCCAGCAGTGAGTAACACCGTACAAATTGGAGTTAACTCTTTATTAGCAAAAATATGATTGGCGCGGGAGTGTCAGGCCTAAAGAGCGCAGCAACTCATCTCTAGCAGGTCCTGCCCCCGTGAAGCAGTTGCTGAGACTGAAGGTCCCTGCCTCCCCACAACTGCTGGTCCCCTCCAGCATCCATCCTCCAACTTGCTGGGGAGGGAACCAGGGGAGAACCCTAGAGAGCGGTGGGAAGGACCTTCAGTCCTCGCAACAGCTTCATTGGGGAACGACCCACTGGAAAGGGTTGTCGCGACCACTCGGACTGAGCTTCCTCCCCCTTTGAATAAAGAGTTAACTTTACTGACATTTGGTGCTTTGTTGTTTCATTGCTGACCAATGCCTGACTCCAGCTCCTGATGCTACCATTCTACCCTCCACTGTCAGAGGCAAGATGCTTCTGAATTCCGGCTGCTGGAAACGACAAGAAGAGGAGAGTGCCATTGCTGCGTCCGGTCAGCTGCTGTGAGAACAGAATGCTGGACTAGATGGGCCACTGGCTTCACCCAGTATAATAATAATAATAATAATAATAATAATAATAATAATAATAATAATTTATTATTTATACCCCGCCCATCTGGCTGGGTTTCCCCAGCCACTCTGGGCAGCTTCCAACGAATATTAAAAACAATACAGCATCAGACATTAAAAACTTCCCTAAACAAGGAAGTTGTCTTTTAAAAGTAAAATAGTTGTTTATTGCCTTATAAGCTCTCCTTATACAAGAGTCTCCAAGTTGAGGAGCAGGATTTAGCAGGCCTGGTTCAAAGCATCTTGCCTCTTTCCTGAGGTCACTTTTCTAGGGCACCCTGAGGCTTATCTGAATGTGATCAGGGATTCCTCAGCAAATGGCAGACAAACGTCTCTGAAAGGCAGCTCCCCCCACCCAAAGAATATGTCTCTTTCCCCTGTAACGCACCTTCTGCAAGAGGGACTGTTTGGTACAATCTCAAAACACGTTCTTACGTCATGCAGGGCAACAATATGACCCCACAGGACTGGTCCACATGCGTTCCTCCGGAAACTCCCAGAATCGTCCCCCAATCAGGAGTATCCCAGCAGATGCTGAAGGCAGAAAATTTGAAAATCCTTGCGCAAGACCCAGCCTCTGAAGCTGAAACTTTTGTAGAACCACAGAGAGTTGGGAGGGACCCAAGGGTCATCTAGTCCAACCCCCTGCAATGGAAGAATCTCATCACACGGTCCCCCATCCAATTGGAAAACATACCAGACCCTGCTTAGCTCTGCAAATGCGCTAGCGGTTTTATCAGCACTGGAGAAAAGTACGGTGGGGAAACTGTGGACCTCCAGTGTTGCTGGACATCAGCTCCCACCATTGCTGACCATTGCCCTTACTGGCCAGGGCTGAGGGGCTGCTGGATAATATGAAGTCCTGATTACACCCCAGCCTCACCCCCACGGGGTTCCGAACAAGGAAGTTAAGATGTGGGTGGCGCTGTGGGTTAAACCATAGAGCCTAGGACTTGCCGATCAGAAGGTCGGCAGTTCGAATCCCCGTGACAGGATGAGCTCCCGTTGCTCGGTCCCTGCTCCTGCCCACCTAGCAGTTCGAAAGCACATCAAAGTGCAAGTAGATAAATAGGTACCGCTCCGGCGGGAAGGTAAACAGCGTTTCCGTGCACTGCTCTGGTTCGCCAGAAGCGGCTTAGTCATGCTGGCCACATGACCCGGAAGCTGTACGCCGGCTCCCTCAGCCAATAAAGCGAGATGAGTGCCGCAACCCCAGAGTCGGTCACGACTGGACCTAATGGTCAGGGGTCCCTTTACCTTTACCTAAGCCTCAAAAAGCACAGTCATTCCCCTTTAAGAAAAAACATCCGGGGGGGGGGGGGCAAAGAACACAGCAGCGCCCATAATCACATTTGTACCCAGAGACACCTGTGCTAATTCTCCCATTAGTAATGGTTTGTGGTTCCTTGTTCAGATGGCAGGGTGGAATTCTTGGGAAATGCCAGGATAAATCCAAGCGGTTTTTGTTTACTTTCTGGCTTTGCCAACATGGGTGCCCTAGGTAAACTAGTTGCTAATCTCCCTTTCCTGAGGAAGGTTCTAGAATGAGTGGTCGCAGACCAGATCCAGGCGCTTTTGGAAGAAATTGATTTAACCTGGATCCATTTCAGTCGGAGTTCCGGCCCAGTTTTGGCACAGAAACCGCATTGGTCGCCCTGTATGATGACCTCTGTCGAGAGAGACACAGACAAGGGAAACACATCCCTGTTAATTCTCCTCGACCTCTCAGCGGCTTTTGATACCATCAACCATGGTATCCTTCTGGAGCGGCTGTCTGAAACAGCCACGAGGGCACCAGGTTGCCAAAGGCTGGCCTAAATGAATGTAAGCAGAAAGAGGAAGCGGTTGCCTGTTAGGGAGTAAGGCAGGACTAGAGGAACACCCAACCGGCCAATAGGAAGGCAGCACTGCCTCGGCTTAGCTTACCACTGGGCATGAGCTCAATCACAAGTTTGGGGTAAGCGATGTTGGAGCAGCCCACCTCGGACCCACACACTCGGAAACATTCTTCGGGGTCGACGCAGCCAACGGCATCTGAAACAGACACAAAATGCGAGTGGTTGGGGAGCAACCATTGACTTTCTGGGTGCCTGTGTTTGTTTGTTTGCTTGCTTGCTTGCAATGTATTTTGTCTTCTCTCAGTGCTGGATTTACGTATAAGCTAAACAACCTATGGCTTAAGGCCCTACTCTCTTGGGGGCCCCCCAAAAAAATTAAAGGGGAAAAAACCTGGATGTACATTTCCAAAATGGGATGCGGGTGGCGCTGTGGGTTAAACCACAGAGCCTAGGGCTTGCCGATCAGAAGGTCGGTGGTTCGAATCCCCGTGACGGGGTGAGCTCCCGTTGCTCAGTCCCTGCTCCTGCCAACCTAGCAGTTCCAAAGCACCTCAAAGTTCAAGTAGATAAATAGGTACCGCTCTGGCAGGAAGGTAAATGGCGTTTGCGTGCACTGCTCTGGTTCACCAGAAGCAGCTTAGTCATGCTGGCCACATGACGCGGAAGCTGTACACCGGCTCCCTCGGCCAATAAAGCGAGATGTGCTCCACAACCCCAGAGTTGGTCACGACTGGACTTTACCTTTACCTTTACATTTCCAAAATATAAGATAAAAATAAAATAAAATTGACATCGTTTTAAGTTAGAGCTTAATAATGTGCTTCTTCCTAATTGTATTTCACTATTAATATACTTCTTAATTGTATTTCTGTCCAACAATTACTTTGATAAAATACATATTTTGTTATGTGCAAATGGCTTTAGATACCTATTAGGTCCATAAATTACCACATAGCATATATTCAACACAAAAAACAGTGACAATTTGTTGTTGACAAAGGACAGCTGGACATATAAAGGGCCCCCATTACCTTCAGTAGCTTAGGGCCTCATCAAAACTAAATCCGGCCCTGGTTCTCATTTTGAATTTTTATGCTGCAAACAGCACTGTGCTGTTTGGATGAAGGGTGGCATATAAATTTAAGAAATGAAATAAACCAATAAATAAAATATAAAACACAAATGTTCTTATACAGACATCTGAAACTCATTCATACGCGCACACACACACACACACACCCCTCTGTAATGACCACAGGAAGTTTTGGCAGCAGAACAAAATCCAGTCTAAACCTGGAGAGGGGAGGAGAAAGGTCAAGTCTTGACCTGTCGCCGAAAAAATGGCAGTGAAGGCAACAGGCAGACCTCACGGGGGGGGGAGGAGTTCCACAGATAGGAAACCCCCCTGGAATTTGCTACAGAAGGACCCCAAAGGTACCATGTTATGTACTGAGTTGAATAGGATCCAAAATGCAGCAGTCTGATTGGTCCTAGAACAATAGGATCCAAAATGCAGCAGTCTGATTGGTCCTAGAACAATAAGATTCAGAATGCAGCAGTCTGATTGGTCCTAGAACAATAGGACCCAGAATACAGCAGTCTGATTGGTCCACAGGAGCCACCCAATCCAGCTCCAGGTGGATGTGAATCCGCAACCTGATTGGCCTACAGGAGAATCCCGGAATTAGCCAATCACATGCGACCCATTGTGTAAATAATGTATATAAAGCAGACATCCTGGGGGAACGTCCATTCTTCCTCACCACTATCAGCTGAATAAAGAGCATGAAATCCACTCTCGACTCCGAGTATATTTTATACCACCTCCCTCTTTTTCTTCAGACTCCATCTCAAAAACTCACCCTTCCCCGGGCTTAACATCTAAGCCAAGGGTGGCTAACTTCTGGTCAGAGGGCCTGACCCGGCCCCCAAGCAATTGTTTCCGGCCCTTGAAGATTCCACTGATTTTGACGGTGTCGGCGAAAAGAGGCAAAATTAAAGCAGACTCCATGCTGGGTAGGGATGTGGGGGAGTAATGTGATTCAGCTTGTGTTTAAAAGGCATGGCTCCCTAACTCGCAATTTCCCAAACGACGAGGGAAACTGAAACGCAGGCCATCCTTCAAAAGTCACGCTTTCCCGAATTTTACAATGCGGTTCTCCACTCGGGCAAGCAGAGTGGTGTGTGTGTGTGCAAAAGTGCATGCACTAGAGGAAAGTGTGCATAGCAATTTATCCATGAGGGAAAATAACATACAGTAACACCTTGCATTAGGGAAAATGGCCTTGTAAAAAAGCCACTTCTGCCCTTCTAAGGAGGTGGAGTTATGGGCTTCACAGCCCAGCCCTGTGTGATTGGGGGGGATTCCTGACCGCGTCATCCCCTGGCCAGCCAATCGCCTGGCTCTGGGGGCGTGGCCTGCCCTACTTAAGGCAGGATGCGGCCAGGGATCTCCCTCTTTCCCCACCTGCCAGCCATTCCTGCTTTTCCCACTCTCCCGCCCTTTAAGGTTTTTGTTCCTTGACCTTGCTATGGACCTTGGCTGGTCGCCATTGAGGGGCCTGGTAGGAATTTTTCCACTTGGCAAATTGGCACCAGCCACTTGGTTTTCGCCTACCTCGTAGCAAATCGTCACAACTTTCTGAGTATTGGCGGTTAGGCATTGGTATTGCTCTGTAGATGGAAGAGGGGAGGTAGCTCCATCACCTGCCCCGCATATTGAAGGGTAGTCCGGTAAAGGATTCTGGGGGGCGTGGCCCTGTCCGAAGCCTGGGGAGGTGAGGGCCTAAGGCATGCCCCCTAGCGGTGAACCCAGGGGAGTTCCTAGTTGATGTGCATCAGCAGGACTTCCCCTACAGGTGGTTAACCCTTCCCGGACTTCAAGCAGACAGGCTGAAGTCGGATATAGTCGGTTAGGACCAATGCCTAAGCCAATACCGCTCATCACCTGTAACCAATAAAGTTTTGGCCTTATTTATCCCATTAACCTTAATAATTGTGTCATGTGTCATTATTTCCACTGGGGGGGCGGGAAATCGCCACGCAAATGCGTATATTAGGGGGAAATTCCACACGTGTGTATGCGTGTGTCAGAAGAAATTCACCCAAAAATGCTAATAAATTTTCACGAAGGCTTAAAAAACAACCAGTGAGGTGAAAATGTGGAGAGCGGAAAGGAAAAATGAGGAACGTGAGAGAAGCCAAAAATTCACCTGTCCTTCGAGCTGGGCTGGGTGGGCAGAGAGGTTTAAAGCCTCTTATTGACTCTGGCGCCACCTACCGATCTGCCCTACCAGCACCAATGGGCACCAGCTACCACTGATGGTGATGATATTAACAATGACTTAAAAAAATGAATAAATGGCATTCATGTCAACCCAGAGCTTCACAAGATTCTGGAAAGCTCATGGGTATCCACACAAGCAATAGGGCTTCTTTGCTCTTTCCAACTCCAGGGAAGTTTCACACACGGGTGCACATAGTGGAACCTCCATATACAGAGGCAGTGTATCTCTGAGTCCCAGTTGCTGGACTCAAGCTGCATGGGAAAGCTGTTGCCTTCCAGCCCTGCTTAAGCATCTGACTGGCCACAGGTGCTTTCCAAGACTGACCTTTGACCCGAGCAAGAAGACAAAAGGTACTGCGGCAAGGGAAAGAAGGAAACCAGGCCCTGGACTCCCAGCGGATGATGCCGAGAAGCTGCCCTCCGAAACCTACTCGCGAGGAGAGCAAGCCCTAAAGCACACAGTGTGGGGCTTCCTTCCAAGATAAGAGTGGGAGAGAATCAGACAAGTTCCACCAGCTCTGCTCCACTGGGAAGGCAAATACAGGAGCTGGAGGCATTTTTTTGAAGGAAAAAAAACACACACCGCAAACAAAACGTCAAACTTAAAGCTCAGCCAGGCCAGGACTTCCCTCTCTCTGTCTCCCTCCTTCCCTCCCTCAGCCTGATAAGGAAATCTAGGGACACCGGCTTCTCACGGGTGAGTCAATTTCCGGCCTTCCACGCATGCAATAGATCTGGGCAGAAGCAGCACGCATTTGCGATGCAGCTGAAGGAGTTAATGGACAGGTAGGAACAGGGACTCTCCGAAGGCGGGGAGACATGTGACGGCAGGTGGTGCAGGGAGGAGCAAATTACTCAAGCTGTTGCTTTTCTCTCTTTTTCTCTCTCCTCTGCTCTGCTCACACTCTCCAGGTTTCCATTTCTGGCTGAGACCTGCTGAGCTGCCAGGCTGCCAACCAGCAAAAAATAAATAAATACACCCTCGAACGAAACCTACTCTCCCCTTCCACCTGAGAGAGTAATCTACGAGCTGGAAAGAATGAGAAACTACCCCTTCTGAATCCTGTCCGGCGAAAAGGAAAAATTCCTGGTTCCAACTCCTGCTGTTTGTTTGATTCTGGGGAGCGTCTCGCTTGCTCCTATTTATTTTCTTATGGAAATTTGGAAGGTCAAGGGCAGAGGTGAAGGAAGCCGGGTGTCCAAAGGCTAGAGGGAAAGCATCAGCCAAGCCGGGATTTCAAAGCCGCCGGAACATTTAAGCATTTAAGCTTGAATGCCACTGTCTGCTGCTCCCCGCCTGTTTCTGAAAGTTCGGGGAAGGAAAGAAACTTGAGCAAACTTTCTTCATCCTATCCAGGAATATATTTTTTTTTACTCCACTGAGATGAGCTGATGGGTACGCTGGGAAACTGAATGCCGGTGTTTAAAGACAGTTAAGGCCAAAGGACTCTTGGGTGGTGGTTGTTGTCTCTTTAAGTCGCAAAGGGAAACTGTTCACGAGGAATTGAGAAGAAGCTAGGAAGGGCCTTATTTGCTGCTAGTTTTTCCTTAAACTCAGGGATACACCTCACTAAATTATTTCATTAAATTATCCACCTTTTTTATTTATTTTGGGCGGACATTCCCCTCCTCCTCGGACCAGGGATCATGGCTTTCTCTCAGGTCCAGTGCCTCGATGACAGTCATGTCAACTGGCGCTCCAGCGAATCCAAGCCGGAGTTCTTCTACAGCGAAGAGCAGAGGCTGGCGCTGGAGGCGCTGGCGTCGAAAGGGCCAGATGCCTTCTACGAGGTCCTCAAGAAGGAGAACATCAGGGACTTCCTTTCGGAGCTGGAGCTCAAGAAGATTTTGGATACACTGGAGACCTACGACCCCGGCTCGGAGTTCATCCCCCGAGGGGATGATGGTGGGGTCGACCTCAGCAGCCAGAACGGCGAGCAGGACCAAGTGCCTTCTTTGGAATACTGGCCGCAGAGATCCGACCGGTCCATTCCACAGCTGGACCTCGGGTGGCCGGAGACCATCGCTTACCGTGGGGTGACCAGAGCTACTGTCTACATGCAGCCGCCTATTGACTGCCAGCCTCACATCAAGGAAGTCGTCCGCAAGATGATCTTCCAGGCTCAGAAGGTGAGAGTTGCCCTTTGAATGCTGCGTTTGGGGGTGGGTGGTTAGAGAGCTCCCCTCTTGCCCAACCGAAACATCCCTTTTGTCTCCTCCAGAGGTTTGCCTAGAGGATGGTGCACAGGCAAGTCTGGTCTGTTCCAGAATGAGCTCATCCTGTCTGTACTTATTGCTGGTGTTGGTGGCAGATAAGGTCTGCGGCACTGATCCAATCTCCCCAAGGAATGAGAGGGGGAGCAAGTCACTTGGGGCAGTTGCTGCTGGTTCAAAGTGACGGGAAAATGGGGACAAAGATGATCAGGAGCTCACTATGCCGGGGGGTTTTCCCCCTCCTCTCACATGTTGGTCATTGAGGCCACCGAAAGCCGTAGGCTCTTATTCTCAGGGCCGTGGGTTTGAGCCCCGCTTTGGGCAAAAGATTCCTACACCCTTGTGGTCCCACCCAACTCTACAGTTTTATGATTCTATGAAATGGGGTGGAGAGGTGGGATGGATGGCAGAGAGAAGACTCAGTCTTGCTTCTGGTACTTTGACCATCTGATGAGCTCCCCAGAAAGTAATTTACGTAGCCTTTACCATTCTGCTCAGTGATCAGCACTCTGGGGTACAAACCTATCAGGAAAGGAGCAGCTTCTGATCTGTAAACGTGGCTCCCCAACTGCAGATACGCGTGGTTATTCGGTGGTGAAAGGCACTCTGTATGTCAAGCACGTGCAAAGTCCAGCCCGGGGGCCTAATCCGGCCCCCACCAGTCGGTTTAACCCTAAAATCCTTTGGGGTAAAATTGGGGGGGAAGTTAACAACTTTGGTCAGCCCTCACGCATGTCCCTCTTTGAAAAAAGTTTGGACACCCCTGTTGTATGTGCCCAGTGGCACTCTTTTCATCACTAGTACAGTGGTACCTCAGGTTACAGACACTTCAGGTTTCAGACTCTGCTAACCCAGAAATAGTACCTCGGGTTAAGAACTTTGCTTCAGGATGAGAACAGAAATCGTGCTCCGGTGGCGCGGCAGCAGCAGGAGGCCCCATTAGCTAAAATGGTGCCTCAGGTTAAGAACAGTTTCAGGTTAAGAACGGACCTACAGAACGAATTAAGTTCTTAGCCCGAGGTACCACTGTACTCTCTTCACACAGTCCTAGCCAGAACCCCAGCCACAGTTCCAAGCTTAAACAATGGTTGAAATCAAACCGTCCTTTCCTTCTTAGAACACAGAACAGAAGCAGCCCGATTAGTTGCAATTAGAAAATCTGGCGTGTGAAGCCTGGAAGAGGAGGAAAGGCAGCCTTTCATCCCAGGCCTTTTCTGCATCAGTATGCAGCCGAAGAGCGCCAGTGTGGCTCAGTGTCCTGGGGCCGCTTGAATCTCAGTTTCCCCATCTGTAAAATGGGAGTAACAGTGACCTACTTCTCAGGCTGCTGCAAGCACGGGCAAGATGAACGGCTGCTCATGTAAAATCCGACATCAACCGCGAACAGTTTCAATCCATGCTGCAACCCACAGAAAACAGAAACAGTCTCGTCGTGCCTAAGCTTTACTGATATCACACTCCAAAAGCTCCTCCTGTTTTTGCTTGATCAGTTTCAGCTTGGATAGTAGCAGTGGGGGTGGAATAACCTCCGTGCCTGAAATCCATCTTCAAACTTTAGGGAAGACTGGCTCTCAGTAACCTAGCCAAATCTAGCTGGAATAAAACTATATTTCCGTTGCAACAGGGGTAATAAGCCTGGTGCCTTCCATAGGTTAAGAGAATAAGAGGAGCCTGCTAAATCAGGCCAGTGGCCCGTCTAGTGCAGAATCCTGTTCTCACAGTCGCCAACCAGATGCCTATGGGGAAACCCACAAGTGGGACCCGAGCGCAAAAGCATCATTTTCCCCTCCCGTGGTTTCCAGCAACCACATTTCAGAAGCATTACTGCCTCCAACCATGGAGGCAGATACTGTTGGACTCCACCTCTCACCATCCCTTCCCATTGGACAGGCTGGCTAGGGCTAATGGGAGTCGAGAGTGCATTGCAGAGGGTTGGACTAAATGACCCTCAGGGGTCCCTTTCCAGCTCTACAGTTCTATGATTCTAACCTCTAGAGAGCACCGCCACTGGCTGCTACTCCAGCGGCATTTTGTAAAGGGATGGGGCAGCGAGGATAACTGTTAGGAAACCAAGATCGGTGGTTAAGGGTGTTTTAACTCATGGCAGAGAAGGCTGGTTCAGGGCTTAGACACATTTAAATTTCACCTGCTCATTCCAGACACAATCTGCACTTCAAAGCTCCGTGTATGAGCACTCTTTGTTTTTCCCCTCCAGAGATTTCCCCCATGAGAACCCGGTCTTTAAAGCTCCATTGGAGCAAATGGCTATCTGTGGGAAACCCCAATTGATGTTTGTTCTGAATGAGCGCTAAGGAACGAGATTCCACAGGGCAAAAATAAAACCAAACACTCAGAACACAGAGCTTTCGAGGGCAGACCTATGCTTGGGCAAAATGTAAGGGTGGAGAAGCCCTCTCACATGTACACCCCTCACACTTGGTGACTGGAGCGTCAAAGGGCTGCTTGCGCATGAAAATGAAGCATCCCAGGTCACCTCACACATTCTGCTTTGGCACAATGGTCACTTCACACATTCAGCTGCCAGTCATCTGGTGCTGATGAGAAACTAAATTATAGAGCCCTGGTTTATTTTCTGCAGAAACATCATGCATATTATTACTGTGCTTGGCTTGTTAGAATACATACCAAGGGACGGGTGTCATGTGGCCCTCCAGATGTAGCTTGTCTGTCTCCTATGATGCCTGAGCACTAGACACTCTGGCTGGCGACGATAGGAATTTGAGTCCCACAGCAACTAGAAGGCCACAGGTTCCCCATCCCTGATATAGACCATAACAGAATATAACCACAAAGGATAGCTCGGTCTGTAAGTATTTGCCATGCTTACACACTATCCATGTTCGGGGCAGCATATATCAGAGCACCAGATGCTGCAAACAGCTAGCATGTGATGACCTTTTGACAAAGTGGACTCTGGCCCATGAAAGAGTATTCCACAATTAATTTACTGGTCTTTAAAGGTGCTAGCAAGGGACGCAGGTGGCGCTGTGGGTTAAACCAAGGAGCCTAGGACTTGCCAATCAGAAGGTCGGCGGTTCGAATCCCCGCGACGGGGTGAGCTCCCGTTGTTGGGTCCCTGCTTCTGCCAACCTAGCAGTTCGAAAGCACGTCAAAGTGCAAGTAGATAAATAGGTACCGCTCCGGCGGGAAGGTAAACGGTATTTCCATGCGCTGCTCTGGTTTGCCAGAAGTGGCTTAGTCATGCTGGCCACATGACCCAGAAGCTGTACGCCGGCTCCCTCGGCCAATAAAGCAAGATGAGCGCCGCAACCCCAGAGTTGTCTGGGACTGGACTTAACAGTCAGGGGTCCCTTTACCTTTACCTTACCACAGGGCCTGCAGTGTGCCCAAGCCCTGGGTCCATGCTGCCCAAATGGTCTTCCCACTGCCTCTCCCCAGCTATAGGGTGGCTGAGTGGGAGGAGGCAGGCAGACTCAAGAGGCCCTCAGTGCACCCTGCTCCAGAGTCGGTCACGACTGGACCTAATTGTCAGGGGTCCCTTTACATTTACCTTTAAAGGTGCTAGCAGGACTCTCCCTTGCAATTTGACACTCTCAGTTACATTTGCTTTGGAAACTGAAGGAGATGGATCCTTGCTCCCATCCAGCAAGGAGTTCCTAGCAAGCTTGTGCTCAGAATTAAAGCTATGCTGTGTCAAATAATAAGGAAAGATAATGAGCGTTAGGCACAGTCAACCCATGATCAAATCTGTGGTCACAGAAAGGCGCTTTGAAGTCCTCCTTCGATTGCACCATCAAAGGGATGGGTGGCTCCATAATTTGCTCAGTTAAAAAAGAGAGAGTCAGAGCCAATAATGCTCCATGAAAGGACCAGGCTGACTCCGCTAAGGGCTGGCTGGACAAACTAGACCAGGGCTAGCAGGATACCAAGCTGGCCTCCAAAGGTTGCACTCCTATCTTAGGTCACCACCGTCTCACCTAGTGTGCAGAAGCGACTCCACTTTGTTTGCAAGCCAGCTCTCCTCAACCTGGTGCCCTCCAGATGTTGTTGGACCTGGGAATGTTGGAAGAATGCCAGCTGAAATACGAGTGGAAATTGCTGTTGCTCAGAATGGAAACCAACCCAGCAGATACGCTTGGCGTTTGTAGCTGCCAATGTTGTTTTCAGCCCGCAAATAATATGCAATTGATGGCTTTCCTCAAAACCAGCACCTATTTGTTTCCTTTGCACTGAAATGGATGGTGCACAGTAATGTCATGATAATGTAGTTCCTTCTGTAAAATTCCACCACAGCAGGCCACAAGATGAATAGCCCAGTTTTGATCGGAAGCCAAACTGCAGCAGAAGAGAAACAGCGCTGCATGCGACCGGGTTGGAACAGAAATCAATGCTTTCTTACATCCTCCCCGTTGGACTCCAGTTCCCATCAGTCCCAACCCTCGGCCATTCTAGCTGGGGCTGATGGGAGTTGTGGTCCAAGCTATCCAGAGGGCACCAGGTTAGGGAGGCTGGTTTAAGCTCCAGGAAGCCTTTCCAGAGGGATTCATTGGGAAGCAAATGCCAGAAAGCAGGCGTCAATGAGAATGGGCAAAATAACTCTTACGGTCACCAGGTAGGAAAGATATTGTGGCTCTGATGTAGGACGTGTTGTACTTAAGGCCTCTCTGCCCAAACTTTTCTTTAACGAGATCAAAAAAAGAAAAATAGAGGAGGATCTGACTCCTCCTAGGGCAACTTGTTCTGGAGCTGGGAATAATTTTGGGGGGATTTAGCATTTCCCGAATGTCCAATGAGCTCCCAGCTTCAACTCGCTTTGTGTCTCCGTTGGCCAAAAACGGACCTGCGGAAGGATGTTTGTTCCCCTTCTGAAACATTCATAACACCTGAAGTGTCCGCTTTAGAGGCTTCGCTGTGACCCAGCAGTGGTGTGTCAGGTGGACAAAGCGTCCTCTGGAGATGCAGCGACATGGGTGGCCATGCATGTGTGGCTGAATGGCTTACGAAGCATGACTGTGGAACAATTACACCATCCTTGGTCCATACTGTCATTTGCTAGCTTGGAACATTCATCAGATGGAGGCAGGATGGTCACCATTAGTCACCATGGCTATATGGAAGCTCCAGGTTCAGAGGAAGTCCACCTCTGGGCTGTTGGAAGGAGGAGACTTCATGCCCTGCTTCAGGGCTTACCAGGCTGGCTAGTGCAAGTCTTGTGTGGCACCTTGAGGGCCAACAAATTTATTAGGAGCACAGGAAGTTGTCCAGCTAGCTCAGTATTGTCCACACTGTCTGGCAGAGACTATCCAGGGTTTCCGTCCTACCCAGAGATGTTGGGACTGAACCCAGGACCTTCTACATGCAAAGCAGATGTTCTACCATTGAGCTACAGCCCTTGCTTATGACACAAGCTTTTGTGGACTGTCCACATTCTCCGTGGCGAATGTGCACAATGGCAGGTCATTATGCATATTAACTGATGAGTTCCACACAACTCATAATGTATATTCCAAATTTAATTGTTTCTGGGTGATGTGGAGGAACCCCAATGCTTCTGATAACTGGATCTATCCTTCTGAGATCCACCTCCAGCTGGCTTGACATCTTCCTTTCCTCTCTTAGCCATGAGTGTTTGCTGTTGCCCCCACTTCATTTCCCCATCTTTCAAGACTGGCAATCACCTTGACGGCTACGTCAGAGCCATTTCTCCATCAGCAAGCACGTTCAAGGCCTTCTCCCACGTAGCAGAGGTGGGAAACTGTGAATGGCAGGTCTGGAGCATTATCTGAAGAGGTGTTTGGGAAACGTAACCCATTTTGAGCATGCACCAGCGGCTACAGACAAGCATTGCCTGGGCTCATTCCATGCGTTCCTTCACAGCAGCCAAGCCATATTCCAATAAGATTTACAGTGCATCTGCACAAGCTTATTTTTGCAGGGCATTTTCATATATCTGTATTTCATTATATACCCCTAGTGACTCCTTCAGGAGCATTCAAAATCCTAGCCAGTTTTCTCTTTCTTTCTTTCTTTCTTTCTTTCTTTCTTTTTCTTCTTCACTAATCTCTGCATGCATAGAATCATAGAATCATAGAATCATAGAATCATAGAGTTGGAAGAGACCACAAGGGCCATCGAGTCCAACCCCCTGCCAAGCAGGAAACACCATCAGAGCACTCCTGACATATGGTTGTCAAGCCTCTGCTTAAAGACCTCCAAAGAAGGAGACTCCACCACACTCCTTGGCAGCAAATTCCACTGTCGAACAGCTCTTACTGTCAGGAAGCATGCAACAGCCTAAACAGCCCATGTCTCAAGACAAGCGATGGGAGGATCTGCCCATTGCTGTTCTCTCAGTTTCTCAGTTTCCTAATCTTTGGTTCAGCTTTTCACATTTCTGCAGCAATCTGAGATTCCCCACCCCCCAAAAAAATCTCCATTGGTTAATTTTCCAGCATTTTGGTTCAAATTTCTCCAATTTTTGTGCACAGTTTTGACTAAGGTACAAGTTTCTCAAAGCAATTTCTCCTCATATGTATGTATGTTATTTTCATGATGAGGTTCATTTTCATGGACTCTCTCACCTGTTATAAGTGCTTTGGTAAGCACTGTGTGCTTGGAGAAAATGCACTGCAAAATTTGTAGAGGTTTGAATTTTGAAGAACGGCTGTGTTTCAGTCTGCACATTTCAGAAAGTGCACATTTGATAGAGTCGTCCTTAAATGTGAACTGAATAGAATTTCCCCTCCCCTCCCTACTTCCATCTCTTAATTTCTGTTGTTATGTGGTTTATCTACAACTCCTGTTTCGAAACATGGCTGGAAATGATGAGGCCTTAAGCTACTGAAGGTAACAGGGCCCTTTATATGTCCAGCTGTCCTTTGTCAGGGACGCGGGTGGTGCTATGGTCTAAACCACAGAGCCTAGGGCTTGCCGATCGGAAGGTCGGCGGTTCGAATCCCCGCGACGGGGTGAGCGCCCATTGCTCGGTCCCTGCTCCTGCCCACCTAGCAGTTCGAAAGCACGTCAAAGTGCAAGTAGATAAATAGGTACCGCTCCAGTGGGAAGGTAAACGGCATTTCTGTGTGCTGCTCTGGTTTGCCAGAAGCGGCTTAGTCATGCTGGCCACATGACCCGGAAAAACTGTCTGTGGACAAATGCCGGCTTCCTTGGCCAGCAAAGCGAGATGAGCGCCACAACCCCAGAGTCATCTGCGACTGGACCTAATGGGCAGGGGTCCTTTGTCAACTATAAATTGTCACTGTTTTTTGTGTTGAATATATGCTATATGGTAATTTATGGACCTAATAGGTATCTAAAGCCATTTGCACATGCAGAATGGAGGCACCCTATATATAGAAATGAGCAAACCAGTGATATTTGAGGGAGCAGGCTAGCAGGCAGGGCCCATTACTTACATCATAGGAGCCTACACAACACAAAACACTGTTGCTGTATGTAGGTTTATTTGCTTTTTGTCTTATATTTTGGAAATGTACATCCAGGTGTTTTTTTCCTTTAATTTTTTTTGGGGGGGCCCCAAGAGAGTGGGGCCCTAAGCTGCAGCTTGTTTAGCTTATACGTAAATCTGGCACTGGGCTGCAAGCCTGTTACCTCACATTCTGTGAAAGCAGCACATTCCCCTCACACTGATTCAACCTGGCCTGTGTGGGAGTGGACCTTGGTCAGAGCAGGGATCGAGGGAGGATCACGCTGAGTTGAGCGCATGGTGTAGAAGGACAATAAAGTAGAGCAGAGCAGCAAACACAAGGGCAAAGTTCTTTGGAGATACCTTCCCTCAGCGTAATCACCTCTCACATCTGCCCAGATGACATAAGGGCTCTGTGGCAAAACAGTTGTGTTGAGGAGAAAGACTCAACGAAATCGTATTTGATTGTGCGAAAGAAGCTTCTAGATGGAACTCTGGGTGACAACAGATCTGCACAAGCTCTGTTGGGTGTCAGCCATGTCATAAGGTCCCAGAAACGAGAAGTAATCGACTAGAAATATTATCTTGTGGAAATCAACTAAATATTAAGAATCAAAAAGCTTAAGGAAAAGTTTTTTTTCAAAGCCTTAATGGGATGCCGGCTACAAACCTCGTTTCACTGAACTATTCAGTTTCCTCAGAAGGAAACTGAAAAATCATAAACTTTAAATGACCAAAATTCAAAGAAGGGTAGAACCCCAACAATTCTGACGTATTATAATCCTTGCCCGACCTAGGTAAAGCAAACAAGCAAAGCGCAGTAATAAAGGACTGAAGACTCAAAAGTACAGTTTCTAATACTGAATTTACAAAAAAGGTTTGAAAAACTAAATAGCAAGTTTTAAACAAACCCAAACTTGAAGATGGCAAAGCACAATGATAAGGGATTGAAGACCTCAACTGTAAAAATTCTAGTGCTACTTTTACGAAAAGGTATAAAAACCTAAATGGCACAAATTCAAAGAAAGGAATACAAGATAAAGCTGCTTTAGATTTTGAACAAATTCAAGAACAGGGCCGAAACGCTCCCATGGTCTAGATGTTACTGCTGATGTTAAAGACTGATCACAGCTTCTGACTTGAAATCGGCCGTCCCAGTTTTTTAGGCTTGGCCCCACCCTTCCCCCCTCACAGCGCTGCCCCAGCAGCGGATCCTGCCTCTCTGCCCCTCGCAACATGGCGGCCAGTTCTGAGCTTGGCGGCGCGGTTTGATGTTGTCACTTGCCAGGGCACTGCCGGGAGCCGGAGGCAGAGAAACATACAGACAGGGAGGCTTAAAAGACTCCCAGTGCAAACTGGAGCTGATAGTGGCAAGTCTTGAGCAGCTGCAGTCCATCAGGCCGCGGATACTAAATTGGGCCACAGATCCAATTTGGATCGTGATCCTGCCACACGGGATCAAGTGAGCCCACTTTGCAATCCAAGTGGGATGGAATCATTCCTAGCCATCTACAATTCTATGAGCTACAAAAATGTTTTTGCCAAACTTCGTCAGAGGAAAAAATCCAGGATTGTCACATTCTGACACGAAGGAGGATAAGCTACAGGATCCACAGATTTATCCAGTAGTTTGGCCAGTGCAAAGCAACCTCCAGAAACTTGAAACCTCCATTCCTAGTGCTGGGAGCCATGAGCGTGAAACAGAGCCTCCACCTGCAGGGGTAGTGTACCTGGGAGTCATAATGTTGAGGGCAAACAACAGGCAGGGCAGTTGCCTTCCTATTTTGCTTTGGGGCTTCCCAACTGGCTTCTGGTTGGCCGCCGTGGGAAAGGGGATATTGTGCTAAGATGGGCCTTTGGTCTGATCCCGTTGAAGGACTGTCCTGATGTTCTCAATAGCGTAAAGGTAAAGGTAAAGGGACCCCTGACCATTAGGTCCAGTCGTGGCCGACTCTGGGGTTGTGGCGCTCATCTCGCTTTATTGGCCAAGGGAGCTGGCTTACAGCTTCCGGGTCACGTGGCCAGCATGACTAAGCCGCTTCTGGCGAACCAGAGCAGCGCATGGAAACGCCGTTTACCTTCCTGCAGGAGCAGTACCTATTTATCTACTTGCACTTTGACGTGCTTTCAAGCTGCTAGGTTGGAAGGAGCAGGGACCGAGCAACAGGAGCTCACCCCGTCGCGGGGATTCGAACCGCCGACCTTCTGTTCGGCAAGTCCTAGGCTCTGTGGTTTAACCCACAGAACCACCCCTCAATAGCCTGTGCTGAAAGGGGTTCTGAGATTTCAAAGGCAACAATTCACACCAATTCAACCTAAAACCTGCAACTTAAAACCAGCTTCCTAAAATATGCTTTTGCAATCTGACCTCTGATGGGTTCCTTTCTCTACGGCACAATCCCATTCTCCCCCACACTCGCACCTCCCCCCAAAACCGTGAATCTCGCTAGTAATTGCAGGATGCAAAATGATTGGCGTCCTGGAGATGAAAGGAGAGGGAGAATAAACAGGTGTGCTTAGCAAAATTCACTTTGTTCCTACCTCTGGCTTTCCCAACAGTTAACCGTCCGACTCTTAATTGTGTGTTTCTGGACGCAGACCAGCAGCCACCTTTGAGAAGGTGGGAAAACAGGTGAATTAATAATGCCCCTGTTTTTCTCCAGTACCGAAATGACCTGACATTTTATAGGCGCTAATTAAAAGAGGAAAGTAAGGGCCACACAGCCTCTCCACTTCCATAAACAGCCTGGAAGGAATCTGAACCACAGTGACATTAATGCCCCTTTGTTTCTAATCCATTCAGAAATGCAGACCGACAACATATTCTGAATACCCAGCTGGTGTGTTCAAATCTAAGGGAAAAGAAGCAGAAGACAATGAGAGAGAGGGGTGGGGTGGGGGCTGGAATCTATGCTTAAGACAGATCAGTATGGAAAAAATAATATCTGGCAGTGGGAAATAGGTAGACATCTTTTCTTACTAAGGAAACAGAAAGGGGTTTGTGGAACCATAGCAGGATGCAAGCTAAACCTTTCGTGGAAACCTTCTCGGTGTTGGCCCCACAATTCTGGAACACTCTCCCTGGTGAGGTCCAACACGCTCCCTCTTTGCCCAGTTTTTAGACAGAATACATTTTATAATTGATCCCTGACATTTGATGTGAGGATTTGTGAATTCTCCATCCTTGGAGGGGGTTTTTTAGCAGAGGTTGGGTGGCCGATGCTTTAGCTGAGATTCCTGCATTGCGGGGGGTTGGACTAGATGACCTTTGGGTTCCTTCCAGCTCCACAATTCTACAAAATTGCTGCAGCACAGGATTTACAGAGCTCTGCATGTTTTCCACGTTAGGCGGAGAAATGCTGCAAAACAACCCTGACTCAGAAAAGAAAAAAATATAAACCGAGAAATCTTCAAAGATGCCTTTGGAGCTTGCACAAAGGCAACTTAGCTTCCAGCCAGGCAGCAGATACCTACCGGTGCCTCCAAGCAAACAGAACTGCCTTAGCAAGCAGACGCAGGGTGCTGTTTATCTAACTGCGTTTGTTTAGCCCTGCCTCCAGGTTAATCCTCTTTTTGACATCGGTTGCCACTTTCCAAACTGTTTGTGTGCTGTAGCAGTTTTCCAGCGAAGCTGCCACCCACCTCTTGCCAGCATGGACGCAAACATTTCCTTATAGCAACCCAGGTTAAACAGCGCTATAAGAAAATTTAACGTCATATATATATATATATATATATATATATATATATAATAAATGTACCAACCAAGCACGTACATAGATCAGCACAGGAAGACCGACCTGAAACCGTTTTGATTCCAAACTGACCAAATGTTTTCTCTGCAAGGAGGGAGGGGGTCAGGGACCTTTCCATTGTTACAGGAATTTAGTAATCACCATTTCAAAGGGGGACAGACTACCAGGAAGGCAGATAAGGCATTATCAGATAACCTGGCAGACAGGAAAAACAACAACATTCAAATTTCTGTTGTAGACCGCCTTTTCTGTGATGTAGGTATGATGTATGGAGGAGTGGTCTTGAGCTCCAGGGCAGGGAATTAAAAATGTCTATATAAAGGCAGACACACCTTTGTTCTGGGTCTTCCTCCTTTCCTGCTTGTGAGGGGAGCACCCTGTTGCAACAGATCAATAAAGATCAGGCTTACTAGCTGCGAGCCTGTGACCTGGATCAGGAACTAAGTATTTATCATTACAAAAGACTGGCCAGGCTCCCCAAGCAATTCAATCAAGTGACCATTAAACAGGTAACCTGGCAGATAGGAGGTAAACAAAGCACTCAGATTTCAGCCCTTCTGTGATGTAGGTATGATGTATGGGGGGGGGGGGAGGTCTTAATCTACAGGGTGGAAATTTCAAAAGTCTATATAAGGGCTTGCACACCATTGTTCTGGGTTCCTCCTCTCTCCTGCGTGTGGTGAATGAGGACCTTGTTGCAACAGATCAATAAAGATCAGGCTTACTAGCTGCTTTGCTTCTCAATATTCCCGGGTTGGCCTCTGTTATTTTCTCCTACCAATAGGGAACCCACGTAAGGACTCTATACGGGCTCTTGGATACCCCATAAGGGAAGAAGGGCAGATTTTGTTTACAACAACAGGGAGCCTCTGTGAGCTGGGGCCAATCACTGCTTCCCAGCTGAACCTACCTACCAAGGCTGTTGTGAGGATAAAATGGGGCTGGGGAGAAGCCATGCGTGGCACCTCGAGCTGCTTGGAGGATAGGTGCAATGTAAATAGAATAAGGAAGTCAATAAACTGTGCACGAAGTGCGTCACACATTTGCAATGGGCAGTAGAAAGGCTATAAAGGTAAAGATACCCCTGACCATTAGGTCCAGTCGTGGCTGACTCTGGGGTTGCGGTGCACTTCTCGCTCTACTGCCCAAGGGAGCCGGCGTACAGCTTCCGGGTCATGTGGCCAGCATGAATAAGCTGCTTCTGGAGAACCAGAGCAGCGCACAGAAACGCTGTTTACCTTCCCGCCGGAGCGGTACCTATTTATCTACTTGCACTTTGACGTGCTTTCTTTTTTAAAAAAAATAATATTTATTAATAATTTCAAAATTGCAGAAAAGAATGAAAAAAATTAAAAACAACACTACAATACATAGAAAAAAAACAAGAGGGGAAAAAACAAGACATAAAAACCAATGCAACAATACAGCAAAAAGATAAAAAAAGAAAAGAAAAAAAGACACAAATCCCATATTACATATCTTTAACTTCCATTTGCTTGTTTCATTGACCTCCTCAAACCTCCCTTTTTGTATTCTAGTTTAATTGATTATTTCAGCAAATTCTTTCCATCTTTCTCAATTTTTACTAAATAATTTATCTTAACCATTTACCTATTAATTAACTCAACAAATCCTTTCCATCCTTTCCCCATATTCTGTTATTCAAATTACCTTAAGTTATTTAACCTTATCTTACCAAAAAATACTTTAGAGCTTAACACTTAATACTCGATTATATATAACTCCTGATATCTTTTCTACTAGAGTCATATAGTTTCATTCCAACATTTTCCCTAATGTTCATTAATTTTAGGCTAATTCCCTAGGGAAAAAAATTTTCTTTATAAATTTTCTTCCAATCTTCATCCAACGTCTCTTCTTCCTGGTCTCGGGTCATGTCAGTCCTTACTGTCCATTCCATCTAGTCCATCAACCTGGTAATCTAATGTCCGAGGCCCTTAAGTCTCTTCCATGTCCCTTCTTGATGTGCTTTCGAACTGCTAGGTTGGCAGGAGCAGGGACCGAGCAACGGGAGCTCACCCCGTTGCGGGGATTCGAACCGCTGACCTTCTGATCGGCAAGTTCTAGGCTCCATGGTTTAACCCACAGCGCCACCCGCATCCCGTAGAAAGGCTATAGATTAATAATAATTACAAAGCGCTTTGTACAATTGCAATAAGCTTTATAAAGAAAACAGCGACAGATCATTATTCAGTGATAAGGAAGATGATGAGAGGGCTGTGACGTCAGGCAGCCAGCAAATTGGCCGGCTGCACAGAGGGAAGCTTAAGTAGGTCAGGACGAGAGGCACTGCCTGATCGATAGATCTGCATTTAGTGGACTGAGTTGATGGCATACGCATGCCACTTAGCTATGTGTGCCTCAGCTTCCCAATCTGTGTAATGGGTCAGGTGAGAGCATCCTTACCTCCCATAGAGAGAAAGCAATTAGAGGAAGTAAGGAGATGCAATGAGGTCGAGGGTATGTTCTTTCATATGTGGTGGACCTGTAAAAGGGTAGAAGAGTATTGGGAAATAATTTATAACGAATTGAAAAAAATGTTTAAAAGGACCTTTCCAAAAAAAGGGATTTTTGCTGGGGATAATTCAGATGGAAATTCCCAGGTGTTAGCCCCAAAATGGAAAACGAGTGAGGTCCCAACCAAAGAAGAATGGCAACTTAAACTGTTGGAATATGCACAGCTTGCGGAACTAACTTATAGAATAAGAGAACAAGAAGAACATTCGTTTAAAGAAGATTGGAAAGTGTTCATTGAAAATGTAAAAACGTTAGCAGCATTAAGATAAATTCAACAGTGTAAATAAATTTTGATGGACGTAATAATGGAATACTGAATGGTTTGGTTTATATAAAATATGCAGGGATTTATGCTTTGCAAAATGAACCATGGAAAGAGAAGAAGGAAAGTCATTGATATCTAAAGGATGTATAAATGAATATTCTAAATTGTAAAACAGAAATATATATATATATGAAAGCAATGCTAAATTAATGAATGGTTTACACAAGGAACCCTACTAATATGCTGGAATGAAAGGCTCTGAACGCAATATAATCAGGATGATTAATTTTTTAAGCCAAAGAAGGAATATGCAAAACAAAGTGGATGGGGGGTACAATCTGCTTTCTACCAAGAAGGAAGGGCTACTCCAACAGAGAGCAAACTGAGGCAGAGAAGGCCTTTGTTACCAAGCTAAATCCCCAACACAATTCACGTATTATTCTAAGCTCACCCTAGCCTGCCAGTGGAAGTTTGCTTCCTAACACCATCAAGTTTCTAGCCTTCATGAATGCAAAGATACTCTTGAAAGTGTGTGATCAAGTACTCTGGCTCTCTCCACAGGTTGTCGCTGTGGTCATGGACATGTTCACGGATGTAGACATCTTCAAAGATCTCCTGGACGCGGGTTTCAAGCGGAAGGTGGGCATCTACATCATCTTGGACGAGACCAACTTGAAATATTTCCTCCAGATGTGCGAACGAGCCCAGATGCACTCCGGACACCTCAAGGTAAGGCTAGCCCTGATCCCTAAGAGTCGTCCTGTTAGATTTCTGTAGAAAAAAGGGACCTCTGGCAGCGCCTTAAACACAAAGCAATCTCTTTGAGCCAAAGGTGTAATCAGTAGCTTCTCCCATTACTAGCTTCTCATTACTGAAATTGCAACTTTCCCAAATTCCATTCCCTTTGCTTTAAAGAAGATGGAAGAACTCACCATCCATTTATATATCCAGGTAGGAAGGTCCTGGGTTTGCATGCAGTCACCATGGCACCAGTTCTGCCAGCACCTCTGTCAGTAAGAGCACATGACTCTTAATCTCAGGGTCATGGGTTCGAGTCCTACCCTGGGCAAAAGATTCCTGCGTTTGCAGGGGGTTGGCGTAGATGACCCCCCGTGGTCCCAGCTCTATGATTCTATGAATGGACTGTTTCCAACCAAATTCAACTGTTCTACCCGGAGTAAATGAATGGTAAAGATAAAGGAACCCTGGATGGTTAAGTCCAGTCAAAGGCGACTATGGGGTTGCAGCGTTCATCTCACTTTCGGCCAAGGGAGCTGGTGTTTGTCCGCAGACAGCTTTCCGGGTCATGTGGCCAGCAGGACTAAACAGCTTCTGGCGCAACGGGACACTGTGATGGAAGCCAGAGTGCACGGAAACACTGTTTACCTTCCCACCACAGTGGTACCCATTTATGTACTTGAACTGGCGTGCTTTCGAACTGCTAGGTAGGGTTAGGAGATGGGACAGAGCAAGAGGAGCTCACCCCGTTGCGGGGATTTGAACTGCCAACCTTCTGATTGGGAAGCCCAAGAAGCTCAGTGGTTTAGACCGCAGCGCCACCCGCATCCCTAGTCACACCCATCAATTGCAATGGGTCTAATTCGGAGAAGGACCAGCCTTCTCCCAATATGAGAAGGTACAACCCAATATGTATTTATTGTTAGTAAAGTCTTTGATGAGTTTCACATCACGCTCTCTCAACAATCCTTTCAACAATCCCAGAAAGTGGGCTGAAGGTTTGTGTGTGTGTCACACAGGCCCGGGAAACCTGCAAAATTTGGTATCAAATTCAACTTCCTGAGAATTATTTTTTAAAAAAACAACAACACAAAGTTTCTAGGACTGATGAATGTAAAGATATGCTTGAAAGAGTAAGATCTCAGATGCCAGAGAGGTAGGTAAAATAAATTCCCAGGAGTCAGTACAAACACTTCAGTCTGTGACCTGAGCAGCTACTTGTCCTTTCTTGTGAGTAGCAAAGCCAGCATAATTTGTAGAAAACAGTCAAGATGGCAGAATAAATTATGTGAAGAGAATATATGCATTTTAAAAAAAAATACAACATTCGGGGAATACTACAGTCCTTGGCACATAATTCCAATTTGCTTAGCCGAGAGCGTATGCATCTCTGAAAATTATTATCCCCATTTTGCAGAGGGGGAAACTGAGGCAAAGAGAGAATGGCTACACAGTGAGATTTGAACCATCATTCTGAAGGTGTGTCACTCAGAAGATGGAGTGGGCTCGTTCTCTGTTGCTCCAGAGGAAAGATCTAGAACCGCATGTGTGGAAACAGTAGAGAAGCAGATTTAGGAGAAAATTCCTAACCGTGCGAAGGTGTTCAACAGGAGAACAGCCTGCCTCAGGAGGTGGCAGGCTCACTTTCACTGGAAGTGTTTAAGTGGAGACTGAATGCCCAACTGTAAGGGATTGTGCCCTCGAAAGATCCTGCACTACAAATCCTGGATGAGAGGGTTGGACTACATGGCCTCTGAGGTCCCTTGCAACATGATGAAGAGTATGGCCTTTTCTGTGGTGGCTCCCCAGTTGTGGAATGCTCTCCCCAGAGAGGCTCATTACATGTATTTCAGCACCAGGCAAAAAACATTCCTCTTTACCCAGGCCTATGGCTATTAAATAACCCGTGCCTTTAAAAGTGTGGGGGAGAGGATTATTATTATTATGAATGTTTTACTATTAGGCTGTCTGTCCGTATGCTTTTTTATTATGTTTTTATCACTGAAGTTCTGTAATGTGTTTTTAATGTTGTGCACTGCCCTGGGATCTTTTGATAAAGGGTGGTATATAAATTGAAATAATAATAATAATAATAATAAAGTCAGAGACTTCCTGGCTCTGAACTCACATTCTCAGCCACAGTGCTGACTCAACCCACAATGCCAGAAATCTTATGCTGGCGTAGCCATGATCATGGTGCATAAGGGTATTAAAAACAGAGGAAGAACCCTCTTGGTGTTCTCCATCACAGCTGAAAAGGCCATGTGTGGTGGGGGAAGGCTGTTAAAGAGCAGCCACGGGGAAACTCAGGGACTCAGCTGGTGAATCAGAGCCACACATTTTGCCCTTTTGGATGTCAAACGTCAGCTGTGCCAAAGTCAAGAGTTTGTGGTTTCGTTTTCAAGCCCGCAATCGTACTTTAACCCGTGGGTCTCATAAACACCACAGCCTCTGACCTAGACTCGGCTGGTTCAAGGAAAAAGGAGGCATACTTGACATTCCCAGTTCAGCTGTTTTATTCTGCAATCCATATCTATTGCGCTGCTCAGGAAATGGCACACCTCTCCCAGGAATTACTTTAGGATGCAGCCAGTTCTGAGGAAGTGATCGCAGTGGGGAGAACAGGCTCAGCGACTGACAAACTCAAAGAAGGGTTGGAGATATGAATGGCTGTAAAAGTCACACCTTTCCGAGGAAATTATTTCTGATGAATACAGCTAGCTAAATGAATACAAGAAACTCCCCATTTACACACGTATCTTTGCGAACCTGGAAGTGGCACAGAAAGGGGCAAAAGCAGCCGCAAAAGAGCACGAAAATGGAGCGAAAATAGCGGCTAGCAGTCCCACAAGCCTTTGCACTGACCTTTGAAGCCTTTGGAGCAGCGGTTCTCAACCTGTGGGTCCCCAGATGTTGTTGGACTACAACTCCCATCATCCCTGAGCTCTGGCCTTTGCTAGCTAGGGGTGATGGGGGTTGTAGTGTCTTTATCCCCATCCTACCCAGAGATGCCAGGGATAAAACTTGGGATCAAACAGCCTCGGTCCAGTATATCTAAAGGACACTGAGGTCCAGCGCTGAGGGCCTTCTGGCGGTTCCCTCACTGCGAGAAGCCAAGTTACAGGGAACCAGGCAGAGGGCCTTCTCGGTAGTGGCACCTGCCCTGTGGAACGCCCTCCCACCAGATGTCAAAGAGAAGAACAACTACCAGACTTTTAGAAGACATCTGAAGGCAGCCCTGTTTAGGGAAGCTTTCAATGTTTGATGCATTACTGTGTTTTGATATTTTGTTGGGGGCTGCCCAGAGTGGCTGGGGAAGCCCAGGCAGATGGGCGGGGTATAAATAATATATGATGATGATGATGATGATGATGATGATGATGATGACATCGGTTGGAAAGCAGAAGGTGGACTGCATAGGCCTTTGGTCTGAGCCAGCGGCCTTCTTACTTATCGCGTGCTTGCATTCTTAGTTCCGCAAACCTTTGCCTGTTAAAGCAAGGTGGAAGCAATGCTATCCCTGAGCCACCCTGACATTGATTTCTGCAGTAGGCAAGCTTTGACTAGCTAGTGCAATGGGTCAACACACAGCACCTCAGGAAACCCTATCAAATGAGAAACCCTATCAAACGAGAGAGTGTTTGCCAAGTGAGTCACCCCTTTGCAGAAGCGGAGATTGTGTTGTTCCCGGGTCACTCATTCATCTGCGGGTGTTTGCTTCTGTTGTTCTTCCTACTGGGTGCTTAAACAAACAGGCCTTCCTTAACGATGATGCCATCCCTGAGAGGAGGAAGCTGGGCATTTTGGGCTGCTGCAAGAGCGCTTGGCGATTTTTCTCCCTTCTTCTTTTCTTAGATGGGTGTTGCCCAAAGAACGCCTTTTCCCCTTTTGTGCTTTTCTGAAAAGGGAAGGCCCAGACAGAGAAAACGGATGACGCATGCTGGCCGGTCCTCACTTTGGGGTCAGACAACTCTTCTTCCAAGTAGAGATGTGTTGGCCAAATGGCATCCGGCTGCGGCAGAAACCAGGGAATGTCAGAAACCTCAACAAAGAGGAGCCCTCCTTGCTTTGTTTTGTGGAAGACAAAAACACAGCCAAAACCAAAAACAAGCCTAACCTATTAGTCAGGAGACTGTCTGCCTTAAAACTGCTTTGGGGGCAATGAGTAGGATAGAGGTGTCAGGGAATGGCAGGACGAAGGGGGTGGGGTGGGAGGCAACAGCTGGGAAACCCCCTAGGGAAACCCCAGAGGAAGAAGGCTCAGAGCCAGGGGTTTGGTGGTGGGACACCGAGGAGAGGTCAGAGGGAGATTAGGAGGAGGTGCTGGATGCTGAAGGGGCAACAGGCTTTAGTGAGCAGGAAGAGCTGGTGACAGAGAGCAGTTCAGACTCTGAGGCTGAAGCAGAGGAGGGGGGGGTCAAGAGGCTGCTGAAGACTCCAGGGAGTCTCCCTCTCCTGCTGCGACAAGTTCCCCTCCTCACTGGTCTCCAAGAACATGCAGAATAATCAGGAGCGCAGAACAGAGGCCAGAGGGGCAGAGGCACAGTTTGAGATTGCTTGGGAAACATCCAGGCGAAAGGTGGGAAGATCTTAAGTCCCAGCAACTGCTCCACAGGAGGAACTGGGAAGTGTTGCTGAGTTGTATGCCGTTTCCTTGACTAAAGAGTTAACTTCACTGACAACGGAGCCCTGCGTCTTTCATGCTGACCTGTTTCTGACTCTAGCCCTGACAGCAGAACTTGTGGAACAACTGGAGAAGAAAGACCAGGGCTGTCCGAAACCTGTCGCTTTAAGCTCAGTAGAGCTTTCTGCTTTCTCACATGCTGACACTGCATGTTTGGTGCAACTATTCATAAAGGCAAATGCGTGGTTTTGCAACGCAGATTCAAATAATTGTTTCAGAGGAGGTACATATTATTATTGCCAGCAAGTAGCCTGATTGGATGTCATGCTTCCCGTTCAAAAGTAGAGGCATTGCTCAAAGCGGTATAACTCAGATCTAAATCATTGTTAATCATCATCCACCAGAGCTATCAGCTTCCTCATTAAAAACATAATCCTGTGCATGTTTACTCAAGAACAAGCAACATCATTTTCAGTGGTGCTTGCTCCTAGGTAAGTGTGCATAGGGTTACAGCCTTAGTCACATTTTTCTTTCTGGACGATCTGGCTGCATTTTGAAACCTCCTGCTGTCTTGACACACATATCTGCAACAGCCAATGCAATGCTGTCAATTGCTAGGACTGCTACCAATACCATATTACAGTGGTACCTCGGGTTAAGTACTTAATTCGTTCCGGAGGTCTGTACTTAACCTGAAACTGTTCTTAACCTGAAGCACCACTTCAGCTAATGGGGCTTCCTGCTGCTGCCGCGCCGCCGGAGCACGATTTCTGTTCTCATCCTGAAGCAAAGTTCTTAACCTGAAGCACTATTTCTGGGTTAGCGGAGTCTGTAACCTGAAGCGTATGTAACCCGAGGTACCACTGTACTGGGAGGAGAACAGCCATACAGTTTCTACCACTTGCCGGCTTCTGATCAAAAAGTCAAGTTCAGCAAAAGAGACAATCAGCCTGAGTCAGAAGAATGAAAACACTTTTGGAACAAGGGCAATGAGGAAATAACCGAGCCAAGCCCCACACTTTCCATTCACAACTTTGCAGCTCCCCCTCAAGCCAATGTTTGCCAAGCTGTCAAAAGGTGTAAAATGTCATGTTCTTAGTTGCCCCGGTGATGTATTTTTACAATCCATAAATCCATCACTCTCCTCAAATCTGGGACTTACAAAATTAAAAGTGGCTGTTTTAGGAGTTAAGAAATCCAACTGGGAAACGCTTAAGACAGGAAAGGCAGGAAAATCCAGAGGTCTGTTTGACTCTCCCGGAGATTCTATCTATAGCCTTTGGCATGTCATATGTTGTGACAATGATTGCCTCGGCTGGCTTGTTCCTTAACCTTTCTTTTGATTCCCCAGTTGTTGTGTTGCATTGTATCAGTGTCGTTCTATTTCACCTATGCATTTAGTGTCATGATGCTTTGAAAAGAGCCCCTCTGCCCCAAGGGGCTTGTAATCGAAAACAAACACTCTTGATTTTGCGGGAAATGTATTGCTTGGAGTTGTTTTGATATAAAATAAATGTGCTTATTGAAAATAAAAAATATACACAAGGAAACGACAGAGGGAGGGGGAAATGGAGGAGTGGGTGGACAAGGGGAGAATGGGCATATATTCTAAAGCTCATCCAGTTCACATTTAAAGCACAAGGCTTCCCACACAGAAACCTGGGGGGCTGTAGCTTCCCCAAGATGTTCGTTCATTCATTTCCTTGCTCCTCTTCATTTACAGAATCTCAGAGTCCGCACAACCGGAGGCACGGAGTTTTTCACCCGCTCGGCCACAAAGTTTAAGGGTGCTTTGGCACAGAAGTTCATGTTTGTGGATGGAGACAAAGCCATGAGTGGCTCCTACAGGTACGTGGACTTCCTAGACACCGCCCTTTAGAGACCAGCCGAGAATCTGCTGCTCTGCCTGCAGTTTTTGATAAGGAATTCCATGCCGTGTGAAACCAGACAGCTCAGTTGGCAGAGTGTGAGACTCTTAATCTCAGGGTCAATTCCTGCATTGAAGGGGGTTGGACTAGATGACCCGCATGGTCCCTTCCAACTCTACATTTCTACAGCGGACACGAATGCAAAAATTCACACAGCCTCTTTCATTCTGGCAGGGCTTTCAATCATTTAAGCAGAAATGGTTTATGGGGGTGGAGGCAGAGCTTGGGACCAGTTTACTGGGGGGGGTCGCCTTACCCCAAATAGGCCCACTCAACTGCTTCGACCTGAAGAACAGACAAGTCACAGGCACCACACACTTTTGTTAGGACGCGGCAACCCTTTGCAACATTTTGCTGCACATCCCACTTGTATTCCACTGCTTCCACTGATGCAGTGTATTGACCCCTGCAGCCAATACACCAATCCCCATCTTCATCTCAGTCCTATTTGCATGGCCAGCAACTAACATCAAAATTCCGCTTTGGCTATTGCTTTCAATAGGCAAGTGGCCTAGAAATATTTGTAATGTGTTAGAATAAACACACACACACACACACACACACACACACACACACAGTGCCACATCACTGACTGTTATGCTTTCCATACCAGAAAACAAAACGTCAAGACCAAAAGTGGGCATCTATAGGCGAGCAATAATTAGCATAAGTGCTCCATCCATGTTATTATCTGGTTGACATTTTGATTACATTTTTTCCATTGTTATGGCAAATGTGATTGCAATTTTTATTCAGTTTTGATGATTATATCAGTTCTTTGTTTATTATCATGAAATTCTTTGGGCCTCAGATGGTTGGAAGGAGACAGGCAGGTGAAGAGTTTTAGAAATTAATTAAGGGGGGAGGTCTGTTTTCAGGACAGAGCAGGATTTGATGAGCCTACAAATTCACACACCTATTGTAAGATTTTTATTCTTCAGAATTATGCCTTTACTACGGCTGCATTCACATGCAATGCTAAGCCATAGTTTGCTTTAACCATGGTTTGTTCCACAAACCACGAATAATCTCACAGACTGGGTATAACTTCTACAAAGCTTGGTTTGTTTCCCAGCTGCTCTTGTCTTGAGCCTCTGTAGCTCAGTGAGCATCTGAGACAAGGTGTCTCAGATATTAGGAGATAATATCAAATCCGATTTAAAGCCATGGTTTGTAGGACAGCTTCACACCATGGTTTATTGCCATGAAAACAAACCATCGTTGGTCTGCTGGGCTTGTGCATTCCAGCAAACCCACAGTTCCCATAGTTAGATGAAAACAAACCATGGTTTGCCATTGAGTGCAAACTAGGCCATTGGGAGGCAGATTTTAGCAGATCTTTTGTTTTCATCTAAATACAGGAAGGGGCAGGGACCAAGTCATTAATAACTCCTGTATCTGTTCCTACCCAGCTTCACCTGGTCCGCTGCAAGAACCGACAGGAACATCATCTCGGTCCTCACAGGACAGGTGGTCGAGGCATTTGACAAGCAGTTCCAGGAGCTGTACCTCATGTCTCGGGGGGTCAGCCTGAAATCTATCCCCATGGAAGAGGAGCCGGAACCAGAGCCTCTCATATTACCAACTCTCGCCCCCGTGAACCCAGCCGTGGTGAAGAAAATGTTCAACCCCAAGTACGCCCTCGTCAAGGCAAAGAGCGCCGAGCAGATTAACAACAGCAAGGCCAGCAGCGACAAGAACGTCGCCGAGCAGCAGAAGGCCGAAGCGAAGAAGAAAGCCATCCCGGAGGCTCGGGTATCCGAGAGGCCCAGCGACATCGTCGAGACGGCGCCGCCTATTCACCCAGGACTGCTTAACCTGGAGAAAGCCAACATGTTTGAATACCTGCCAACTTGGGTTGAACCTGACCCAGAACCCGGGAGCGAGATATTGGGCTACATCAACATTATCGATCCCAAAATCAAGAACATCCAGCTGTCGCAGATGAACCGCATCAAGGTGTGCGACGTCTCAAAAGCCAACGCCCAGCACAAGAAGATGCTCAGGCAAAAATCCCAAGAGGCTAAAAGAGGCCACGACAACCAGCCTGCCGTGACGCCTTGCCAACAGCTCAATGCTGCCGCTGCCCCGGCGCAAACCCAGGAGGCCCGTCCGAACCCCACAGCCAGCCCCACGGAAAAGACTCCAGGGAACTCGAGGAACGGAGAGACATTCGCCACTCTGGCCAACAGTCAGCACTTGAAGCAGCCACTGGACGCACAAACTCAAGGCCAAGGGGACAGCAAGGGCGCTGTGCCCCCAGTCCCCAAACCACGGACAGTCCACGTGACGGACTTGATCTCCACGAAAGCTGTATGTGCCGAGGACGGAGCTGCTTCGGCAGAGGACACCCAAACGCAGCATCCGGGGACCGGGGCCACAAACGCAACACAGAATGAGAATCCCGAACAGGGTCCGGATGCAAGGAGCAGCTGCAAACTCAGTCGGCAGGCGTCCGTCTATGAGGAAGTAGCCCCCTTCCCCGTGAATGGGGTTCAAGGGGGCGAGGCCGAGGAGGAAGAGGAAGAGGAGGACTATGTGACATTAAGCGACCACGAGAGCCTGTCGGGCAGTTCCGCCACCAACCACAGCCACCTCCACTCCGACGCGTCCTCCGTCTCCGATGAATACTGCAAGGGGAGGCGGCCCTGCGGGCCTCTGCGGAGGACCAATTCCGACTTCCTCCCCAACGGAGGCGGCCACAGCCCTCAGCACCACCCAGACTTTCAGAGGAAGCTGAGCGAGCCCTACATGAGTCGGGGCACCTTCCCCAGTCCTCTGGGGAGCCCCCAGCCGATGCTAAGCCTGGGGGTGGCCAGCCAGATGAGGAGGAGAAGCGACAGTGTGGAGGAGATTAGGTGTGTTTTGGGAAGGGACCGTAATCCGCATGCTTTGCCCGACGGCTACAATACCTGTCTGAGCAATGCTCCACAGGTAGGATTATCTGTTGTACCCTTTTACACTTAGCTTGTTGTAAAGTTCTGTAACGTAACAAGAGACGGCACACGAAGCACAGCTGAGAGCTAATATAGGTCAAACCTATATAGGATCAAACCTGTAATAATATAGCTTTGATCCCAATGCATGATTGCTGTGCTAATGACTGCGACTGTCACCTGATAATCTGTATTTTCCACTGGGTGGGGCAGATGGGAGGAAGGTTCTGGAGGTGGGAAGTCTGGCGTAAGAGATGCCAAGACAGTCATCAAAAGAACTTGGCCAAAAAGCTGGTTTGGTTGTGCATTCCAAAATGGTAGACGACTCAGAGAACTATGGTCACATTCACACAATACATTTAAAACTTTAAACAGTTGTGGCTTCCCCCAAAGAATTCTGGGAGCTGCAGGTGGTTTTTTTAAAGAGTGCTGCAACTTGTTCGGAAACTCCTGTTCCCTTCCTCACAGAGCTACAATTCCCAGAGTTCTCTAAGGAGAAGCCTTGGCCTGTTAACCCCTCTGGTAGTTCTGCTGGGGAGGAATACAAGAGGTGCCCTAAAAACTCCCAGCATCCTTAAACGACACTTCCCATGATTCTTCAAAGGAAACCACAATTGTTTAAAGTGAAAGGATACTGCTTCAAACGGATAGAGCACATTGGGGCTAACACTGGGTGCAAGTGAGAGCGATCTCAGTTCTCCAAACGCTGGTTCTTATACAGCCGTAACAAAACTACGCACTGACGAGAGAGATATCAGCACCCTGACAAATAAATACTTAGAAAAACAAGTCTTCGGGGGTGAGGGGAGAGAGGGGGTGCCCACCAAAGGACTGAGCGCCCACTTTCAGTAGCTGTTGCTGGGTAGAGCTGGAACGAGACAGAACACCGGGTGGAAGAGAAAATGGGATGGAGCTCTTTAAGAAGGAGGACTCACCGCTGCAACATTTTGTTGCAGGCCCCACACGTAATCATTTAATTTCATATCGCCAGAGGCGATACGTCTGCCAGACTCTGACACTTTAACATGGCCTCCGCTCCTCCCAATCCGCTGCATTTTGAGGGGAAGCCGATCCGCGTTAGGAAATTGGAGGAACAGCCCCAGGCCTGCGGGATTTCGGGCCTCTGCCGTCCCAAATCACGGCAGCCTCTTTGGCACCTGAGCGAGAGCAGTGTGTGTGGATTTTGCCACCTATGCAAAGCGGAGCGAGGCATGGCCCGGCCTGCCCACGAAAACACACCCTTCTTAAGCTGCGTTGCTGTCTCTCCTTGTTCCAAACGCGGTCATCAAAAGCATAAATGCCTGGACGCATTCTCACACGAGAGGAGCGTCACAAACACGCTATAAAACAGGGAGGGCGGCGTCTGTTCGTCAACATTGCAATGGCTGGCTTTGTGGGATTTGCAAACAGGCTAAGTAGGCTGCAGCTTAGAGCCTCAGATAACAAGGGGCCTCTCAATAAATTTTATTTGGCTAAATTTCAGGTTTTGCCCAGCCGGCAAGGAATAAATAGGCTCATGGCAAGTTACATATTTTTGCCGAGTTGTACATTTCCAGTTGCATCCTCGCCTACGTATGTGTATAAATGGAAATATAAAACTTCATTATTTCTATTTTCATTGTTCTTCCTGTTAGAATAATACACATTTGGTGGGAGGGGGTAACGCTATGGGGTCTTTTACATTTGGCGTAGCTTAACAAGGAAGATGCTTGTAAAAAAATAAGTCCATATTGTTCAAAACTGCATACAAAAATGTGTTTATTAAGAAAAACTCGCACTAAAATGTTGATTGGTTTTCATGAGAATTCTAATTTTTTTCCCCCCTTAACGAAATAGTAATTGCGGACTGTTGCGGAAATATGTGGGAACTGATTTTAAGACTGGGGAAACGAGAAACTGAGAGCGCCTAAATTGCCAGATCTATCCATCCTTATATAGGTTGCACCCTTACTTCTGAGTAGCTGTGCTTAGGAGGCTTGCAAGCCATGGGTGATGTAAGAACATAGTTCTGTGGATGAAAGAAAACTTTATCTGAGCCAAGCACAACACATTATCTGCCTGCGCTTGGCCACTTAAGATGCTGATGATACTTTCAACTCGCCTTCCCTCTCCCAGGGGCCGGTCGACTTTTGCAAGGCTGGGCGTGCCGATGCCTTTGAAGTCTTGACGCAGCCGCGTCCCCTGACCTGGCATGCTATTATTGACTGGGTCAGGCTGGTTTCTGTTACGCTTGCAAGATGCTTAAACAGGCCAGGTGTTTCGGGCTGCTCTGAGGAGCTGCCTGTTGCCACTGAGAGCTCAGAGGCTCTTTCAAAGTCGCCTCTGATGCAAACCCTACCAAGTAGGGTTGCCAGTTCTCCAGGACTGGCCGAAAGCCCCCCAGGTTTGCCTGGCCCACTTCCAGGTGGCAAGGGAAGGGCTTGAAACTCCAGGCGAGCAAGGGTCCCTCTAATACTGAAAAATGATTAAGATGACAATGTGTGTGGCATGCAAGCTTCTTCAGCCTGGAAAGACCTGGCTGCAAATTATTGTATGAACTCTCGGGGAGTCCTCTCCCCTGCCAATTAACTTCCATCTCCAGGGCTCAGTGGTGCAAGGATAACCAGGATCTGCCCCATGACATCACCAGCACCCACCCCCTATGTGTCAGGTTTGAGGTCTGAAATTCTAGAGTCTGGGGTGCTCCTGACCTGCCAACGCTACTATGAAATCATTTCCCTTTCATTGTCTGCTTTCTTCATTGCTTCCATTTCTTTGCATTATAATCTTCTTGCCGCCGTCATCAAATACGAAGTTATCACCTCATGTTCCACTGAACCCTCCCTATTACTTAAGAGGAAGAACACAAGGCCAACACGTGCCCCCACCCCTTTACATATTTCTTAAAAGTATAATAAAACTTGTTGCTGTTGAACTACCAACAAATATGCTTCCCCCACACCTGCTTTTAAAAAGGAGACTGGGCAAGCTCACGGAGGGTGGATTTATCCATGGCTACTAGTCATGGTGGCTAAATGGAACCTCCAAGTCCAGGGAAAGTCTACCTCAGAGTAACACTTGATGGTTAAAGGCAAGAGAAGAAGAGGCCTGTTGCCTCCGTGACAGCTCCTCCGTGCCTCAAGAGTATTAGAAAACTGTAAGGATTGGGTCCCTGAGTTTCCTTCTTGGAGGTTATTGCAGCTTACCTGGATACAGGATCCGGCTTATCATTCCGGGCATGATTATGACAACCATGGGAAGCATTTTCAAATAGCTGGCTAGGATGGACCCGGCCTTGGCATGATTGAGGTTCTTTGCTGAGAGAGACCTCTGGACAATGACCTGTGAGAAAGAGAGAGAGAGAAAAGGATGTACCGTATTTTTCGCTCTATAGGACGCACCCGACCATGGGACGCACCTTGTTTTAGAGGGGGAGAACAAGAAGAAAAAAAATCTCCCCCTCTCTGCTCAGCGCCCCTTCAGCGAAGCAACAGGAGAAACGGAGCCCCTTCCATTTCTCCTCCTGCTTGGCTGAAGGGGCGCTGAGCAGCTCTCCCTCTCTGCTGAAGCCAGGAGAGTCTTGCTCTCCCGGCTTCAGCAAAAGGAACCCGAAGCCTGCGGAGCGCAGCGGGAACTCATGCTGCGCTCTGAAGGCTTCAGGCGGCTATCCCTGAAGCCTGGAGAGTGAGAGGAATCAGTGCGCACTGACCCCTCTCGCTCTCCAGGCTTCAGCGAAAGCAACGCGTAGCCTCCGGAGCGCGGAGGGAGCGCTCCCTCTGCGCTTTGGAGGCTTCGCATTGCTATCGCTGAAGCCAAGGAGCCTGCATTCACTCCATAGGACGCACACACATTTCCCTTTAATTTTTGGAGGGGGAAAAGTGCGTCCTATAGAGCGACAAATACGGTACCTCATGGATTGGGAATCCTTTCCAGCATAAGGGCCACATTCCCTTCTCTGCAGCCTTCTGAGGGCCACTTGCCAGTGGCGCCCAAAGCAACACATGTTGATTTTCCCTTTCAACAGCAGGCTAGGTTCTATACATTTTAAGATGGTGCCCATCGACTGCAGTTACTATTAATTCTTCCATTAAAAAATCTATTACCAAATCAAGGAGGACACCTGCTTTAATCAAAAGGCTGTTTGATAAAAATCAACGCATCTAGCCAATTGCACACTGCAGCCTTAATTCATTGTCATCAAAGCTGCGGATCTTGTATGCAAGTAGCTACCTACGGTCGATTCCCTTAATTCTTTTCCACAAAGGTGGCTGGCATTGTAGGCAAGAGAGACTTAACCATAGCATCCTATTATTTATTCAATAGGGCTGATTGTATGTTTTATAAAACCAATATAGGCAGGGCTAGATGACACTTGGCACAAAGCATTTTAAATTATGCTCTAGTACAATAAAAAAAAAAGCTAGAAAATTGATTTTTTGAAATGTACCCAATGGAAGTTCGTATTTTCAGGAAGCTGAATCCTGCGGTTTTTGACAACTGATTCTAGCTTTTGGGGGGGGTTGGTTGTTTGTTTTTGCTGCGCTTCAATAGAATTGCAGGATGCACACAATCCTGAACAAAGATGGATGAGCTCTCCCAAGCTCATCTCGCATTAATTCAGAAAGGGCTGAGATTTGGGGAACCCCCAGACCATTGTTTACAAGCCAACGTCCAGAAAAACGATTCAAATTTCAGCCTCTAAAATATTCCACTATTCAATGTGATAGAGCAACGTTGCTCTGTTTCATTGCGTACAGAGAGAATTTAAAAGGCTGCAAGGACAAAAATCAGTGGTGCTAGGTGTGGAGGACTGCTTCCACCGCCAGGTCCATTATCGGGCTTGAGCTTTGCAGCTGCTCTCCCAACAGCTGGCTGGAAGTTGGACGTTGTAGCCCAAAACATCTGGAGAACATCAAGTTGGGGAGAAGCAGGATAAGGGGAGAAACCAGAAATCCTTCTCTGGCTCAGATTCTGGCCCCAGAAAATAACTCTGGGGTTTGTTAAAGCTCATCTCTCCTTTGAGTCAGGCATGGACAAACTCGCAAAGTATTTTTCCTGAACCTGACTTGGGAGAACTTCAAATCCAGCGTCCCAAATCCTGCCAGGGTGCAAAGAGTTGCTTCTGATGCAACCAGGAGCTTGAGGTTGGTTGGTTGGTTGTTGCTGTTTTCAACATTCTCTCCTTTGAACAGCGCCTCCACCCCAAATCCTTATCAAAATCTGCTTCAAGAGCAGACCATCCGTGGAGAGGGAAGCTGTCGCTTGAGAAAGAAATATCCTCGTTTGCCCTAAAAATAAAACTTTGTGCTTATGATCCACTGAAGCCCAGTACTGAACTGTGTTCTAAAGCAATAAATCCCCAATCAAATTGTGCCTCTGCTGTGAACTTGGGACCAGACTACATGTGATGGCAGCAAATTCCCTATGGGAAAAGGGGGTCACTTTTAATTAAATTGCCCCCCATCCTCCTTTGCCACCTGGAGCTCGTTAGAGAATGGTTCAGTTCAGCTCTGATTCATCCATTTGTGTCCAGTCATCAGACCACGACAAAAAAAAACCAGTATCAAAATAGAATGAAGTTAGTTCTTAACTTAGGTGAACTGCAACATAAACATTCTTAGAATGCCAACCATCCTTGGCAGATCACAACATGCTCCATTAAAACGGAAATATTGTTCCACTGTTACAAAATATTAAAATGAAATAAAACAAAATGATGCCAATCCGAATAAACCTCTGTGAAACCTAAGTGAAGATTGGCATAAAACAAGTAGAAGATTCTGAAATATCTTCCTGGCAAGATACAACATAATAATTTTCTCCTCTCCTTGCTTACTACAGACAGAAAATGCACGGCCTCCGCAGTTACATATTTATCTTGTCCATCCAGCAGATAAATTACAGGCTCGCGGTCAGGCCTCTCCCCACCTCTCCCTAAAATTTGCCCCAAAGTGTTGCTCTCTCAACACACTTCAATATATAATAATATGTACAAAGCCTACAGCCCATTTTAAACCACAAGGACAGGTATGTCCAGAATACGGCATATTTCTTAACTTTCTTCCTAGGGTAGCTAAAGGCTGGTTCAGGTGCAAAAAGCAATTGCCTGGTGATTAATATTAAGGGGGGGAGGATTTAAATTGCACGATGCCCCGTGAGTAAAGCCTGGGAGGGTTTGTTTTAATAGACAATGAGTGCATGCATCCTGCTTTGAAGGTGACGTGGGTGTCTGAGCATGCTGCTTACAAAAGCCTGTCTTGTCCATATTTTCCCACTTCGCTGTTGATGGGCAGGACTAAGCATGCTGGTGACCTTCTCAGATTCATCAGAGAGCTGAAGGCTGCAGTCTTTGGGACCATTACAAGGGAGAATGCTCCACTAGGCATGGTGGGACTCCATTCCACATAGGAATGGAGGGGGGATTCAATTCAGTTGACATTTAAAGGCAAACTACCCTAAGTTCGGGACACGGGTGGTGCTGTGGGTTAAACCACAGAGCCTAGGGCTTGCCGATCAGAAGGTCGGCGGTTCGAATCCCCTCGATGGGGTGAGCTCCCGTTGCTCGGTCCCTGCTCCTGCCAACCTAGCAGTTCAAAAGCACGTAAAAAGTGCAAGTAGATAAATAGGTACCGCTCCGGCGGGAAGATAAACGGCATTTCCATGTGCTGCTCCGGTTCGCCACAGAGCCTAGGACTTGCCGATCAGAAGGTCGGCGGTTCGAATCCCTGCAACGGGGTGAGCTCCCGTTGCTCGGTCCCTGCTCCTGAATTCCCAAATTCCCAGCCATGCTCCAGCCAAGCGTTATGTCTAGTAATCAAATCTGTGAGAGGACAAACGGTCAGGGGGGAAACCCTGTTTTCTAGCCAAGAAGGCAAAAAATCAGGGGAAGCTCCTTCGGCCAATAAAGCAAGATGAGCGCCGCAACCCCAGAGTCAGCCACGACTGGACCTAATGGTCAGGGGTCCCTTTACCTTTACCTTTATTCCTAGTCTCCTGTCCTAGAAATGAAATTCAGCCAGCGATGCTCCTAGCATGAATCACAGGAGCATAGAAAGCTGAGTTAGACCAGCGATCTGTCCCTTTCCACTAAGGCAGCCTTTCTCAACCTGTGGGTCCCCAGATGTTGTTGAACTACAACTCCCATCACCCCTAGCTAGCAAGGCCAGAGCTCAGGGATGATGGGAGTTGTAGTCCAACAACATCTGGGGACCCACAGGTTGACAACCGCTGCACTAAGCGCTCTTCCACACTTCCGTTTGTCCCAGATTTCTAAGCATGGGACCAAGAGGTTTTTCCTTTCATACTGCCCCAGGAAAACCTGCCGTTTTCTGCTGAATCGGAAGAAACGTCTATCAGGTTTGCTGCAGGAAAGCAACGGTGCAAAAGAAAAACTTCTCACACCCATGCCTAGAAACCGGGGTACAAAGGAAGTGTGCCTGAATGCACATGGAATTTCCTGTGCCTTCTTTGGTTGGAGAACTCCATCACCAAATCGGGAGAAGCGAAAATTGCAACTAGAGTTATGTTTCACACTCTGGGGAGGGTTAATTTGGTAGGTTGCCATTAAATGCGAAAGGAATGAATTTCTCCCCTGCACTAGTCCAGAGCAATTAACATGGGCAGGCACTGGACTTCTCTGGGGAACAAGCAAAGAGAAGATGCACAGGTAAGACAAGTCTAGTTTGGGCCTCTTATTTGGAACAATAAAAATAGACTGAGGAGGACAGGATCCCTCCTCTCCTCTGGTTCATCCCCATCTCTCTCCTCGATTCCAGCTGGCTTCTCAGTTTCGCAAACTATTTTTTTAATCCCTGATTCTTATCAGCATGTGGATTTCATTTCTGGCACAGGAGACCCTGCAGAATAACAGGGCAGAACTTTTCTTCCTATGAGATCTCAGTGGCAGCCTTAAAGCCCTAGCCTGTGCAAGTTTACCCAGAAGTTAAACTCCTCTCACTCTCTTCCAGACAACTGCAGTTTTGAAAGTCGCAGGCGTCATAAGTTAGGTTTTTTAACTGGATTTAGCTTTGCTGCATTTGTTGAGCTTGGTGCACCCCACTTGGAGACAATTGCGATGAAGCGGTATATAGATTTTAGTGTGCTGAATAATAACAGCAAACACCAGGAAGGCTGACTCCCAACATCAAAAAAGGACATCAAAAAAGCAACAGCAGCAGCAGCAGCAGCAGCAGCAGGGAGGCAATGTTCAAACGTAGGTGAAAATTCAGCTTTTGCAAGCTGAAGAAAAAAAATAGGGATGCTCCAGCAGGCTCATCATCTTCAAAGCAGAACGTAACTATTCATTATCTATTAAAGTCAACCCGCCCAGGCCTTATTCACAGGGCTGTTGTGCTATTGTTCCCATTGCACAGAAGAGGAAAACTAAGTCTTCCGCTTTCCTTTGCTTGCATCCGATAAGCGGGGGAAATGCAGAATGACTTTTGATGGCACTCCTGTGACTCAACGGAAGTGCATGATTCACCTTGGCTTGGTGCAAGATCAGGCAACAGCCAGCCCTGCCTTCGCCTTTTTCCTGGCAATGAAGCATATCTCAGATGATTCACAGCTGAGGATGTAAGAAGGCATCGCTTTTCATTCCTCCCTGTATTTGTCTCATGCAGGGTTGTTTCCGTACTGCTGCAGTTTGCCTTTTGCCAAAAAACTATGTTATTCACCTCGCTGCCTGCTGTGGTGAAATTATGCGGCTTACGTAATTTATGCAATGACATAAGTTACCTTGTCATTACGATATTCCACCCCATTCATTTCAATGCAAAGGAGATGCAATGCAAGGACCGTGGGAGGGGAACATAATCAATGATATTTCATTGGTGGACTGAAAGCAACAGCAGGAAATAACCATTGTGTTCATTGGATCAATTTCCATTCTGAACATAGAAAACTCTACTCCTGTTTTCAGTAGAATTCTCCGATATTTGTATTTGCTGCATGCCATGTTGGCTGAGAGAGAGAGAGAGAGAGAAATGGGAATCTTTGCAGCCGTTGATAAGTCCCAGTGTTAAAGAAATAAGGGGCGCCCACTAATTTCATAATGCACTTTTGCTAATCTATGTTGCTGCCGAATTTGGAAGAAAGGTGCACCATTCTGACTGTCTCAAAAAGGGGGGAAACGACATTGCGGTTCTTGGAAATGATGATAATAATATTTTATTTCTTGTACCCTGCCCATCTGACTGGGTTGCCCCAGCCAATCTGAGCAGCTTCCAACAGAATACAGTCATACCTCGGGTTACAGATGCTTCAGGTTGCGTTTTTTCGGGTTACGGACCTGCCAAAATCCAGAATTACCGGAACGGGTTACTTCCGGGTTTCGGGGTCGCGCATGCGCAGAAACACCGAATCACAACCCGCGTGTGTGCAGACGCACCCCTGAGAGTTGCAAATGTGCATCCTGCACAGATCACGTTCGCAACCCGAGCGTCCGCGGGATAAAAGAACACAACAAAACATCAAACATTAAAAGCTTCCTGATACTGGGCTGCCTTCAGATGTCTCCTAAAGATTGTATAGTTACTTATCTTCTTGACATCTGATAGGAGGGCGTTCCACAGGGCGGGCGCCACTACCGAGAAGGCCCTCTGCCTGGTTCCCTATTGTTTCATTTCTCACAGTGAAGAAGCCCCCAGAAGGCCCTCGGAGCTAAATTTCAGTGTCTGGGCTGAATGATGAGGGTCAGGGGCACCAACATTGGCCCCAGATTACGGGTGCCCAACGGCACCCACAATGTAACGTGATGTCATGTAACATCGCGTGCGTCGCAGCGGCGCCTGGGAGGCCTCCCATACGACTTCTGAGGTCACATGAGAGGCCTCACAAGGTCTCCCATGCAACTTCCAGTTTCTTCCGAGGTCTCAACTCTTGTTTCAAAACATGGCTGGAAATGACCATGGGAAATCACCTGTGGAATGCTTGAGTCCCGTAGTGTGAAATTGACGATGGGCTCCAAGAGGGCCGGATTTAGGTTTGATGAGGCCCTAAGCTACTGAAGGTAATGGGGCCCTTTATATGTCCAGCTGTCCTTTGTCAGGGACACGGGTGGTGCTGTGGTCTAAACCACAGAGCCTAGGGCTTGCCGATCGGAAGGTCGGCGGTTCGAATCCCCGCGACAGACGGAGTGAGCTCCCGTTGCTCAGTCCCTGCTCCTGCCAACCTATCAGTTCAAAAGCACGTCAAGTGCAAGTAGATAAATAGGTACCGCTCCGGTGGGAAGGTAAACAGCATTTCCGTGCGCTGCTCTGGTTTGCCAGAAGCGGCTTAGTCATGCTGGCTACATGACACGGAAAAATTATCTGTGGACAAATGCCGGCTCCCTCGGCCTATAGAGTGAGATGAGCACACAACCCCAGAGTCGTCTGCGACTAGACCTCACGGTCAGGGGTACCTTTACCTTTTTATGCAGCACTCCAACTAGAAATGTACACAAATACATACATACATACATACATACATACATGAAAGTGCACACTGAAATGCAAATGTTGGTGAAATTAGCATGCTAAAATGCATCATAGGGGAAATTACTTTTAAAAATGTAAACGGAAAAACTGCATACAAAAAAATGTGCATATTTGGAGAAAGTACATTTGTCTCACTTCAGAGAAGCCGCACTCTGTTGCCAAGGTTTGATTGGCTTTACAGACTATGGTTTGTTGGAGAGAAACAAACGATAGTATTCAGTTCAGACATAATGCTAAGCCAGGGCTGAGGAGCCTTATATTGGGCCACAATCCCTCATGGGGTAATTTCCAGGGGCCTGTTGCAAAAGTGGGTGGAGCAACATATGCAACTCTTGGCTTTGCAAAGTAGGTTGCTTTCCAGTTGTGCAAAAGTCAAAGCTTTCTACATTCTCACATGTTGCATCTCTCCATGCTCCATTCAGGCAAGCAGACGGCGTTATTACACTTCATGGATATGTTCCAACTGTGGGAATGTTCAGGGAGGCAGGAGAGGGTATATTGTTTAATGATATGCTTCCTAACCTGCGTTAGCAAATTCTATATCTTAGCAGAGTTTAAACATTCCCCTTTAAACGCACAGCGGTTTGCTTGTTGCAGGTTAGCTTTAGGCTCTAAATATAGGATTCCTGGTAAGATCCCTTCTTGTCCCTCTTGAAAAGAATAAACACGACAATCTTATTAAAGTGAATATAAAAGCAGTTTACTCACATTCATTCAGTTCACAGTTAGATCCCTGAAGGCAGACTTAGGTTACAAAAGTATATATACATGTGGAACTATCCCATAAGGGAGTTAGTACCCAAGTGACTTCTCCTCACACATAAAGAAAAACAAAATGGAGGAGAGGAGCAAAAGAAGATGGTGTGCTCCTCTTCCCCAGATTAGGCCACACACACAGTAGTTACATGTAGAGGAAGTCTGTCCCAGCTCAAGAGGAAACAGGAAGTTTTCTCCTAGCTGGTACAAAGCATCTCCTAGCATGTCCATTCTAGGAATGTTGTACTTGACTGCTATGTATCTGGAGAAGTGTGCATGCACACAAAAGCTTATACCCAGAACAAACATAGTTGGTCTCCAAGGTGCTGCTGGACAATTTGTTTATTTTTTTATTTATTTCGACCGCGTCAGACCAACACGGCTACCCACCTGAATCTTGACTGCTATGTGTTTCACATCCCACATCAGCCAGGCGAAAAACGCTCAAGGAGGGTTTGGCCAAGGGAGGGTCCCCAAACAGAGGGCAATATACAGAAATCTAGAAAGCTGCCTTTGGTGCAATAGCCTGAGGTTCCCCACCTGTGGGCTAAGCCAAGAATCGTGGTGAGGAAGAGCAAGAATGGCCCAGATCGCTGCATTCGCAGAAACCCATTAATTAGGCTTTGCTGTGCTGTGTCAACAAGGCCCAATATAAGAAAGCTTCTTAGCAATATCCCAGCCTCTCCAGGTCATCTGTCATGGATCCTGTTTGCTGATCAGGTGTGGCACCCTAATAAGTCTGTGTCGCTGTCTAAATATTTGCAATTTTGCCTGGTTGTTTCAACATGTTGAAAAGTCTCTCTGGCTCAAAGGTTTTGGCAGCCAGCAAGACTCCTTGATCCAGGATAAAGTGCGGCAGTACCTGGTTACAGAATCATAGAATTGTATCGTTGGAAGGAACCCTGGGGGTCATTAGTCCAACCCCCAGCAATGCAGGAATCTCAGTTAAAGCGTCCATGACAGATGGCCACCCAGGGTTAACTATTTTCATTTCCTTTTATTTATATGCAAAAATTTCTGAACCACCAGCAATAAGAAAAAGATATCATGCTGCTAAACATGTTATCACCCATAGTCCTGGCTATAAAATAACTACAGTGATGGATTATGGTGGTTATCGATATTATTACTACACAGGGCTTGTAGCATATTCGGCATATTTCACCTGCTTTATTTGAGCCATCCTTACAAGATATAAGGTAGGATATGATTATTCACCCCCATGAAGTAGGGGAAAGAGGCAAGGAGAATAGAGGACTGCCAGCTACTCAGAAGAGAGGCTCCTGGTGTGCTTGTAATATGTTAAGAGTTTCTACAGTGCTTTGAAAACATGTCGTTGTGACTTACAAGCTGTCTTGCTAGGATTTATGTCCTGAAAGATGTGACGTACCGTATTTTTCTGTGTATAAGACGCCCCCCCATGTATAAGACGAGCCATTTGCAGCACGGTGGGATCACTTTAGGCTTCCCCCAAAGAATCCTGGCAGCTGTGGTTTGTTAAGGGGGCTGAGAGTCGTTAGGAAGACCCCTCCCCAAACTACAATTGCCAGAGTTCCTTGTGAAGAGAGACTGGTGATGGTTAAACCGCTTTGGGAAGCGTTTGGCATTCGACCTTTGGTCCCCATTCTGTAGTGTATCTAAGCAGACGGAACTGAAGTCGGGATGGAAGGATCCGACCATTTTGATTTCTCTCCGTTTCTCATTCTTCCCATCTTAAATTCAGTTCTCTGCATTTCTGCCACAATTTGCAGGTTTTCTTTTTCAAATCCTTGCGAAAAGTCTTCGGCTTTTTCGTGCAGACTTCTCCCAATAAACCCACTTTTGTGTGCAGTTTTCGACTAATGTATACCTTTTTGCAAGCAAATTCTCCTAACACGGGGCTTTTTTGCATGTACTTTTCACTAATATACTCCTGCACATTTTTAACTAACCCATGCATTTTTGGAAACGTCGGTTGGCTGAAGGCTTGGTGTATTTCAGTTATCATGTAGGGCTCATCCAACACTTCCACTTGTCCCATTTCTAGGAAGCAGGGGTCCGATGAGTTTTCCCCTTGCCCTGCTGAATTGCCCCTTTAATGCTAAATTGGAGCAAACGTCAATCTGGAGATAACCTGAATTGCCACTTGCTCAAATTGTGCACCAAAGAGCTGGAGAAAATAGCTGCGGGTCACAAGGAAGTTTGGATAAGCCCATAGTTTCAGAAACAGAATCAAATTTCTCCCTCATTCCTAACATTGAAATGTTTGCTTGTTTGTTTCATATACTGCCCTTCACCTGAGGATCACAGAGTAGTTTACAGAAATACATTTAAATACATTCTCTCTTTGTTTTGCCTGTCGCCTCCCCTTGTTTGCATTATGGACTGTAAGTTCATTGCGGCAGGAACTTGTCCTGTTTTTGAAGCTGTCGTGACATCACTGCCATGACATGACTGACAACATCATTGGCCGTGGCTGCTGCAAGTTGTGGACTAAAACATCTGGAGAGGTTTTGGGTTCCTACACACACTTGCACACCCCTCTGTATCCTCTATCCGGGCAAACAAGAGACAGAGTCCAGGGATGCAGTCCAGCCACACAAAAACACTCTGGAAGAGTACACCACAGGGTCAGTAATGTGGGGCTTAGGGTGGAGTCCTGGGGACCAGAGAGAGTGGCCTGGAGGGGGACATTTAGCCCCTGAACCTGAGGTTCCCCTCCCCCTGATGTAAATAATACCAGATACCAGTTGCTAACAACTTTCTTCCCCTTTTCGTGCTTCACAAACAGGGACCACAACTGCTCTGCTACGGGTCCAGGGTGCAAATGTCTGTGGGAAGAGGCAAAAGTGGTTCCCCGCAGCAAGACGGACGCCAGGCCAAAAAGCAACCCCCAGGCCCAGCCGGCCAGCCGTACTGGCAGAGCAAAGGTTTCGGCACCTCCAAGAACACACAAGCCGGCCGCTTCTCCCAAGGAAGGAGCAGCCCCTCACGAGCAATCTCCACCACAGAAGCCCAGAGGGCGGCGGAAGAAATAAGGACACCCTTTGGCATCCCGCTGTCCAAACTGTCGGAATCCAAGCACCTAAAGAACAAGGTGTCTCCGTGGTCCGATGCCAAGCGGAGGCAGCCAGGAGCCAGCAACCACAAAGAGCAATAGGACAGGAGATGGTCGCCCTGGGACGCTGAGAAAGAGCCCTGCCGGGGTCCGGGGAGGGACCCCCCACAAAAGTGGGGTTGCTTTGCAACAGTGCGCTCGCCCGGCGGGGAGAGGGGGGTTTACCTGGTCTGTGCACCAGTACCATGTGGCCACGACCGAGAGCCCAAAGGTCATTCCGGTCCAGGGCAAGTCTCCGGAGACGGGATCCCGGAAGAGGTGCATCGCATCGAGCCTGGGCACGTGGCAGGTTGTGTTGGGGATGATCTTAGACGGCATGGCCTTTAAGTAAGCTTCTTCCAGGTTCTGGTAGCCGCCGATCTCGCCGAAAGCTTTGCAGGGGATAGAGGGGGTGGGGAGAAGCAATGATTTGAAATAGATATACCAAAACGGGAACAAAGGCTCACCTCTTCCTTCGCTTCCCACCGCGACTTTTAGCAATGCAAGGAAAAAACCCGCCTTGGGGATTTGGTAGGGGAACTCGCAAGCACGATGGGTTTGCTGCGTTTCCTGAAATCTCTAGCTCCCTTCGGTGGAGCAGGGGCTGCGTTGCAGGCAGAGGCTTGCAGGCTTGGTCCCTGCCATTGCCGGTTAGACTGGCCGGAGCTAGAAGTAATTGATGGGAAAATCCTTGGCCTGAAGCCCTGGGGATTAGCCAGTGTAGGCAACACTCTAGCCTGGATGGATTTGGTATCAGGCATGGAGAGGGAAGCTTTTAGCCCCCAAGGGCCATGCATAGTACAGCTGTGTGTGTGTGTGCGTAGGTACCAACTCTAAGGGGCCCAGATCACTTCGGGGGCCCCCCCCCAAAATATGGAGGGCCAGCTAGACCCCCAATGGTGAGAACAATCAGTTGTGGAGGAGGCCGATCTCGAAGCCAGGCACAGCGTGGTTTCAGTGGCTATTGGCTTCTCCTGCTGCCATGGAAGGGAAGGGGGGGGGGAGCAGCCCCCAGCTGTGGCAGCAGCAGCAGGAGGAGACTGAGTGCCAGAGTAGAGCCTTCAGCCACTGAAGCCGCGCTGCCGTCCTGTTCGGCTCCACCCCTGGCACGTCCTGGCATCCCACACGTCATGCATGCATCACCGGCCCTCCAATCTTCTACTCAAGTTGGCGCCTCTCGCTGCAAGCCTGTGGGTGTGGCTAGAGTCAGTGGTGGGTGGGGCCATTCACACACACACCCCCTCTGCACACTGGCCCTCATCTTCATCAGAGGTGGCCGTCTCCTCCCATGCCATCCTCCCCATCGCAACTGTGTCAGCCCACCCAGCGGTCGGGGAGCAATAATAATAACAATTTATTATTTATGCCCCGCCCATCTGGCTGGGTTTCCCCAGCCACTCTGGGCAGCTCCCAACAGAATATTAAAAACACAATAAAAACATCAAACATTAAAAACTTCCCTAGACAGGGCTGCCTTCAGATGTCTTCTAAAAGTCAGAGAGTTGTTTATTTCCTTGACATCTGACAGGAAGGGCATTCCACAGGGCAGGCGCCACCACCGAGAAGGCCCTGTGCCTGGTTCCCTGTAACCTCACTTCTCACAGGGAGGGAACAGCCAGAAGACCCTCGGAGCTGGACCTCAGTGTCTGGGCTGAACGATAGGGGTGGAGACGCTCCTTCAGGTATACTGGGCTGAGGCTGTTTAGGACTTTAAATGCTGCACTGGGGGGGTCTCTGAGGCCCACTGGGCACAGGCAGCCCACACAGCAATGCAAGGCAATTCCTAAACCATTTAAGCAGGAGTTTCTGGGTTTATTTTGGCCAGAGAGGTACAGCCACTTAGGGTCAGAGACTAGGAGTCGGATTCCTCTTCAATCAGATGATGGAGCTGAGGACTCTGAACCTAAAGAGGACGGGCGTATGATTCTATATAGGGCCAGCCCCAGAAGTGCTGCTACCCACTTAACCTGTGGGATGTGTTCTGACTCAGAGGACTCTGCTGTAGGAGAAGACCTGGAAGACCTGAACCTTCCCTGCTCCGTCACAGTAGGACAGGCACCCCCAAACCCGACCCTCCAGATGTTTTGGGACTACAATTCCCATCATCCCTGACCACTGGTCCTGTTAGCTAGGGATGATGTGAGTTGTAGTCCCAAAACTTCTGGAGGGCCGAGTTTGGGGGTGCCTGCAGTAGGAGATGGTTGGGAAAGGCTGTGTCCCTTTAAGTCAAGCAGGGTGTTGAATTAAAGTTGGTGAGAAGACTCAGGCTACACCTGGTTCCATTATGGGCTGGGTTGCAACTTGTTCCTTGCTGGGCCAAATTCAGAGGCAGAACCTGCCTTGTGTCCTGCCTGAATTTTGTCCCACCTTGTCCTGTAACCATCCAGGATCTCACCTTCTCCTACAGCCTCTTGGGCCTTGGCACAAGACAAGCGGGTAAACGTATTCTTCATATGTACAAGTTTTGAGATTCACACCTTTACAGTTAAAGGGATCACAGGTAGCAGGTGATGGGAAAGAGACCCACTCGTCCCTGAGACGGTGGAGAGCAACTGCAAGTCGGGCTATGCAGTCCTGGGCAAAGGGAATCAATTGCCTGAGTCAGCATTCTGCTTCGGATGTTGCCTGATCATCAAGGGAGGTTAGCAAAGGCTGAATCAGATTTCTCCCCCAAAAGTTGCAATAATGGTGATGAGGATTGAGTCACCCCGGGGTTTGCAACCCTTCCAGGGTGAGCCAACAGCTTCCCCAGACGAAAGCCCGCTTTTGCAAAGACACCGTGTCCTGAACCAAAACAAGCGCCCACAAATACCGCAGATTAAGACCGCTCTCTTGGGAAAGTTAATGATTTGAAGCAGTTTGCAAAAGGGGCAGGATTTGCAGCCTTTGTTTTGAGCGTCAACAGGAATTAGTGGCCGGGTTCTTTTCAAAGCCTTGTCATGGCAACCACGCAGCGAGCCACCCAACCAGGGCGTGGGCAGGATTACCACATGATCCGTCCCCCTTCAATGGTGGCTTTAGATGTAAGCTCCAGAGTATCGGCTGATTTAATGGGCTGCGGGGGCCGGTTCAAGGCGTCGGGGTGACTGGGGTCAGAAAGCCAAAATGGCGCCCACACCCATTAACTGACCTGGGACACAAGAAGTTTCTCTGCACAAGCTTTTCACTAAAACGATCATTACAAACAAAAGCAACGGTGCACGCTGGTTTACTCAGAACCTTCTTAATTTATTCTGCTCAAACCCACTCGGATCACATCCACATACCACACGTTTCAAGCACGTTTAGACCCCTTTGGCAGTCGTGGATTTCTGCCCCGCAAAAATTCCAGGAACTGTAGTCTATCCCTCACTGAGGTACAATTTCCAGCAGCCTACACAAACTGCAAGGGACACGGGTGGCGCTGTGGGTTAAACCACAGAGCCTAGGACTTGCCGAACAGAAGGTCGGCGGTTCGAATCCCCGCGACGGGGTGAGCTCCCGTTGCTCGGTCCCTGCTCCTTCCAACCTAGCAGTTTGAAAGCACGTCAAAGTGCAAGTAGATAAATAGGTACTGCTCCTGCGGGAAGGTAAATGGCGTTTCCGTGCGCTGCTCTGGTTCTCCAGAAGCGGCTTAGTCACCCTGGCCACATGACCCGGAAGCTGTACGCCGGCTCCCTCGGCCAATAAAGCGAGATGAGCACCGCAACCCCAGAGTCGACCACGACTGGACCTAATGGTCAGGCGTCCCTTTACCTTTTTACACAAACTGCAAGCAAACTACAGTTCCCATTATTCTTGGCGGGGGGGGAGCTGTGTGCTTTACTTGTGTGGCATGGATTTGAATTCAGATAGTATATACTAAACATCATGAGGTTTTCTTTCTTGGGGGGGGGGGGTTGGAGAGAGAGAAAGCCATGCACGACAGCCCATTCGCCATCGGTTCTTCCTCATTAGGGGTTTAGCGTGAAAACTCCCTGTTTCCTTTCTTTCTATATACAGGGCACCCACAGGACAATGTCATCCATTTCCCCTTCGATTCTTTCTCCCCACCCCCCACCCCCAGAAAGATAGAAGAGGAACTCTGTCTCCACAGGGGCAAATGACTTTAGCCCTTCTCTTTTCTTTCTTTCTTTCTTTCTTTCTCTTTCTTTCTTTCTTTCTTTCTTTCTCCTCATTTTTAACTTGGGCAGTGACGTATCGCGGTAGTGAACTTACAACTGCATTATTTGTGGTTGTATTGTGCATTTAGCATGAACTCTGGAAATGTATACACGATTCTGAACAAACTAAGCCAGAGGTATACACTCGAGTATACACATTCAGAGTTCATGCTAAATATATTACTTCTGGTAAATGAGCCACCATGAAACCAAAGGGGGCGCATTGGTTGCCAGGTGTGAAACATCTTGGCGTTATTTTCAGATCTCCTACCCCAGTAACACACTAAACCACTCTGACTCCATAGGGGAAATAGAGAAGCTAAAGAACTGCCCTTGCGGAATCAGGACATTAGGGGCGTATATGTGTAAATGCAATTTCCTTTGCACCTATAAGGAACAGGAAATAGCCAAACTTCCTCCAAGGTTAAAGATGTGCTGCTGTTCTCAAGACTTCTTTTAAAAATCTAACTAGATACGCACTCCAGCACGACTGGTTCATGCAGTTGCTACAGGAGTTTGCCTCATTGTACAGCCTCCAAAGAAATTGTTTACAAATGTAAAAAGATAAAATAAAAACTATAATGTTCCAGAAATGGTGGAAAGTTGCAGTTGTGTTCATTCTGTCTATTTCTTTGTCTATTTAGTGCTGTGCCGTATATATATAAAGAGTCAGAAGACAAGTCCTTGCCCCAAGGAGATTACAATTTAGAAAACAGGCAACAGAGGAAGTGGGAGATGCATAACCCCTCAACCATCCTGATTTGAGCGGAGCATCCCGGAACTACGGAAGCCATCCCGGCTTCTGATTGCATCCCGGAATGTCCTGTATTTTGGTGCACCACTCTGGTGCAAGTCAGAAGAGATCCTATGACCTTTTCGTGGGCGGGGGGGGGAGCAGAGTCAGACCCCCACAGGCAGGCCTTACCTGTTACTGTCAGAATTGTGGCTCCAATGACCATGATGACAGTCTGCAGAGCATCTGTATAGATGACAGCCGCCAGCCCACCTGCGGACAGTAGAGCGGGGAGAACAGATCTGAATTCCTGAGCTGAGTTTCGATCAGCACAATTTGGGGTGCTTCCAGTTCCTCCCCATGTTTCTAACAGAGGGAGCCCTTCAGAACTTGCGGGGGCAAAATTTGGGGTCAGTTCACATTAGTGCAAATTTACCTAATTTGCAGTTCCCAAAGCAACATGCATCCTGGCACACACACCCATCCCAAATTTGCACTGCACCGAAAAATAGGTGTCTGCAAAATGCATATATTAAGGAAATATTTACATGAGTGTAACATGAAAAAAATGAATTCTGTCAGGGGAGATTGTGTGCAAAATATAATAATAATAATAATAATAATAATAATGATTTTATTTATACCCCGCCCTTCCCGGTTCAGAAACCTAGGCTCAGAGTGGCTAACAGCAAATTTAAAACACTTAATTGATGCAACAAAAAACAGCATAAAATACAGTATAAAATGTGAATAACAATAAATTCAGATATATTCAGATAAATATTCAGATAAATCCACAATATGTGAATTATTAGGAAAAAACGGCATGCAAATCATTTTGACGCCATTTGCACAAGGCTCTCCCCAAAAGACAAAGGGGGAGACCAGAAAAGAGATGGTGCCTTGGAAATAGGGGGGAACTGGAGAGCACATGACAGGGAGGAGAGACCTACGACCTTCCAGGTGTTCATTTGCTTATTTCTTTTCAGATTTCTAATCCGCACATCCGTTAAAAAAAAAAGAGCAAAGTGGAATATGACATATAAAAACCAACCAAGATATCCATAAAAACATCAATAAAACATCAGCAAATACCGATTAGATTAAGAAAAGAAGATCCATGTTACAAGGGCCTGCAGAACCAGAAAGGGTTTAAAAAGTTGTCTGAAGGGAACGAGGGATGGTTCTTGCCAAACCAGAGTTTTTGCCCGCAGCTTTCTTGGTACCTGGGACCATGTTTCATGTGTGAAGCATCTTCCACCAGACCCTCCAGGCGTCCCTATTTTCCAGGGACGTCCCTGATTTAGAGAAGCCGTCCCGGTTTCTGATTTGATCCCAGAATGCCCCTCTTTTCCCCAGGATGTCCCTGTTTTCCCCAGGATGTCCCTCTTTTCCCCAGGATGTCCCTCTTTTCCCCAGGATGTCCCTCTTTTCCCCAGGATGTCCCTGTTTTCATGGGAGAAATCTTGGAGGGTATGGGGTTATCCAACCCCCGAGCTGTCTGGAGGCAATCCTCTATAGGGAAGTTTTTTAATGTTTAATGTTTTATTATGTTTTTCTATACGTTGGAAGGGACACGGATGGCGCTGTGGGTTAAACCTCAGAGCCTCTTGGGCTTGCCGATCAGAAGGTCGGCGGTTCGAATCCCCGCGACGGGGTGAGCTCCCGTTGCTTGGTCCCAGCTCCTGCCAACCTAGCAGTTCGAAATCACATCAAAGTGCAAGTAGATAAATAGGTACCGCTCCGGCAGGAAGGTAAACAGTGTTTCCATGCGCTGCTCTGGTTCACCAGAAGTGGCTTTGTCATGCTGGCCACATGACCCGGAAGCTCCCTCGGCCAATAAAGCAAGATGAGCGCCGCAACCCCAGAGTCGTCCGCGACTGGACCTAATGGTCAGGGGTCCCTTTACCTTTACCTATATGTTGGAAGCCACCCAGAGTGGCTGGGGCAACCCAGTCAGATGGGCAGCGTATAAATAATAGAATTATCATGAAGGAATGGGACGTCCCTATTTTCATGGGAGAAATGTTGGAGGGTTATGATCCACCATGCATCTTACCTGCAATGGTGTAAATGGCAGTGACGACCAGCATCAGGACGGTGGAAAGGTAGAGATTCCAGCCTAGGCACACTTGAACAAACAGGGCTCCTGAATACAGGTCTGTCTGCAGGGGTAAAGAGAGACAACATCAGGTTTTTTGGGGGGGAGAATGCTCAGCTAGGACAGGCAAAAGCCGCTTCAGAGCTTTGCCATGCTTTAAACCAGAGGTCAGCAAACTTTTTCAGCAGGGAGCCAGTCCACTGTCCCTCAGACCTTGTGGGGGGCCGGACTATATTTTGAAGGGGGAAAATGAGCAAATTCCTATACCCCACAAACAGAGATGCATTTTAAATAAAAGCACACATTCTACCCATGTAATAACACCAGGCAGGCCCCACAAATAACCCAGAGATGCATTTTAAATAAAAGGACACATTCTGCTCATGTAAAAACACACTGTCTGCAGGCCGGATTTAGAAGGCGATTGGGCCAGATCCAGCCCCCGGGCCTTAGTTTGCCTACCCATGCTTTAAACTAACACCTGAATTATTATTTTTAATAGTTATTTCGGTACCATCAGCCGAAGGAAGCTGCTTCATCTGATAGATTTCTGGCTGTCCTTCAATATTGGGTTATGAGCACGGGAAGCAATAGGCCTAGGTTGCCACTTATTTTGCAGACCGAGGCTCTTGTGCCTTTTAACAGCTGGACATCAGGTAGAAATCCACAGGCGAATCCTTTCCAGGCATTAAGGTGGAAAGGTCCGCCATATTGAATTCTCCCTTTCAAGGTGTTGCTCGCAGCCTAGAGCTTCCCAATGGGGACATCTGGTTGCTCCACTGTGGAAAACACAAAACTCGACTGTAATTTTTGGTCAGATTCTGCAGGGCTCCTTCCTGAGGGGGGATCAGCAGTCTTAGCCCTGCGTTTGTAGCACAAGCAGAGACCAGGTCTTAAAGCCAGAAGATGGCTAGAAATTCAACAGATTCCCATCACTGGGGTGGGGTGGGGGAGTTGCATGTGTCAACTTCCAGCCTGTTATGTGACCTGATAGGGGACTCACCACATTCCGACACATAAGAAACGCCTGCTAAATCAGGCCAATTTCCCATCTGGTCCAACATTTGACCAACTGGATGTTTGTGCGAAACCCTCAAGAAAGGACCCGGGCGACGAAAGAAGAATGGAGGATGAAGTTGATGGATTATGCAGAATTAGATAAATTGACAGGAAGGATTCGAAACCTGCAAGACCAGAGATTCTTAGAAGACTGGAGTAAATATATGAACTATTTGAAAAGTAATTGTGATGAACAGATTACGCTAGTAGGACTGGAAGAAGTTTTGTAAGGTGGATTGTTTGAAATATTACAAGGAAGACTATGAAAAGAATTATTAGTTAAGGACAATTAAATGTAATATAGAAATTAGGAAATGCAGAATAAGTGATAAAGAACGGAAAATCATCAGAGGTGTTGACGGAAGTCTAAAACATTGTATAAGGCGAGAAGATATGTTGTATGACTGTTGGAACTGATATGTTAAAAAATCAATAAAAATGTATATAAAAAGAAAAAAGAAAGGACCCGGGCGGAAGAGCAACACTCTCTCCTCCCCACCTGGCCTACCTTACAGAGTTGTTGCGATGATAAAATGGGGAGAAGGAGAAGAGCAGACTGTCTTCAGCTCCTCTTAGGAACGATGGGGTATAAATGCAATAATAAATAAAGTTATTTTTAAAATAAATAAATCTGTAGCTGGAGCATCTCAACAACACATTTGGGAAGGGAAAAACATGTTTCCGCCTGAACAATGAGAACTAGAAACTTGTTTTGGAGGAAAGCTTGGTGAGCGGAGGCTGGCTGGGTCCGATGGGAGTTGGAGTCCAGGGTGGGGAGATATGACTGAGACCAAGTACTCAGTGGCTGATACTCTTACACAGGCCTGCTTGTCAACAAGACTTAAGGGGCAGTTTTGAGGCAGCAAGAAATTCCAGGCGAGATTTTCGACATCACAGTCTCATTATCTGGCTTGGCAGGGAGGAGAGGCACGCCCAGCGGCAGGTAGGCACAAAGAAAACCATTGAGAAACCACCCGGCTCACCAAATGAGATTCCTTTCTGTCTCCCAACCCAGGGGGAGTTTCAGAGCTTTGGATTCCAAACGCAGAAGGGTACGGGCGATACTGACTGCCAACAGTTGCTGTGGGCCAGAACCATCGGGTCTGGTGACAGGCCCCTTTGCAATCCCCCTTCAGCCGATATCCCTAGAAGTAGGGGCCACCCTACGAAACGGAGGAACGGTTGATTCATGGCAGGTGTGAGAAAAAGTCTTCTTCACCCAGCAGCAAATTAACTTGCGGAACTCACAGCCACAAGGTGTGGTGTCTTCAACAGCTGTGAAAGAGGACTGGACGTATTCACAGAGGAGGCAGAGAAGCTGTGTTAAAAGCTGTTAGCCGCTGTGGTTAGGACCAGAAGTTCTGGATGATTTGGTCGTGTCTCAAAGCTGCAGTCTTTTGGTGTTCATGTTCTGTTGAACTCACAGAACCATAGAGTTGGAATAGACTCCGAGAGTCATTGAGTCCAATGCCCTGCAATGAGGGAACCTGCCCACAGCCATCCCTGGGTGGGTTCAAACCACCAACCTTCTGGTTAAAAGCCAGATGCACTGCCCATTGCACCACAGAGGACGAGTTCTTTGGGTCTTGAAAGAGGGGCAATATAACTGGCTGCTAAAGGCATTCATGGTAACGAAACATCTTACATCAGATCCGCCAAGTGTCCCTATTTCCCAGGGACAGTCCCAGATTTACAGAAGCCATTCTGGTTTCTGACTTGATCCAGGAATGTCCCCTTTTTCCTTAGGACGTCCTTATTTTCATCAAATAAATATTGGGGGGTATGGATCTATGCTACCCCTGAGCCAAGGAGATAACTATATAACCTTCAGAAGACATCCCTGTATGGGGAAGGTTTTCAATGTTGAATGTGTTTTGATATATGTTGGAAGCCAACCAGAGGGGCCCCAGAAGAGACTTTAGCCCACATTGCTTAAACATTTTGGGTGTAGTAGACCCAGTTTGAGTCACATGGAATTGAGTCAAATGGATTGATTTTTGTTGCTGTATATATTTCAGCAATCCCAAAGTTTGGAGTCAGTAGCACAGATGTTGTAAGGGTGTGATGGAACAAACCCCGTTGAAGAAGATAACGGTGGTTACCCAGAACATGTTGCTGGTTGCAAAGACCACCTTCTCGTAAGCTGCCGGCTGAGTCATGTCTTCTGCCCATTGTACTATTGGGGCGTTTGTGTGTGTATAGACCTCTCCTTCCAGTACGGAAGTGCATACCCTCCAACATTTCTCTGGTGAAAATAGGCACGTCCTATTCCATAATAATGATGATAATAATAATAATAATAATTTTATTATTTGTACCCTGCCCATCTGACTAGGTTGACTACGTTGCCCCAGCCACTCTGGGAGGCTTCCAACATATATAAAAACATAATAAAACATATAGCATTGGGAGGGGGACTTCCCTATACAGGCCTTCCATTAGATGTCTTCTAAAGGTTATTTATCCCCTTGGCTCGGGGGTCAAACCAGCTTAACTAGAACAATGGCTCCGCGTTCTGGAGGAGCTCTGGGCATATGAGTCTTCACAGGCACCATCCTCACTGCAGCAGGTCCAGGGGGCTTTCTGTAGTGGGGGCCTTGTTAGAGTGGCATAGCATGGATTGGGAAATGGATGGAGTACACATGCGAATGCAACTGCCTAACGGTACCTACAACCCCCAGGAGATCACAGCCGCAGAGACAAGGAAAGAAGAGTTGTTCCATTGTCTGGAGAGGTCGCTTCCTGGTTCGCATGGAGAAGCAGTTTTCAACAGAGCCCAAAGACGGAAGCATGCAGCTGTGTTGAGGCAGCACCGGATGTTGAAATTTTGCACCTCTAACAATTTTGCACCCATGTAGCCCCCCCACACACACCTCACTATGCCACTGCCCTGCTAGTCTGCACCCTCTCAGCAGATGCCTGATCATGCCAGCCTCTGGCATCAGCCAGCAAAGCAGGTGGTCTTCATTTAGCCAGATGGCTACAGATAAGCTTCCTTCAGCCTCATTGCACTGAATTTTCATGAGCTTTTTCTCAATCCCTAAAACCTGCCTCCTCCAAAATCACACAGGCAAGGGGGGAAGGGCGATTGCTTTCATCTAATTCAGAGGTTCTCAACCTGTGGGTCCCCAGATGTTGTTGGACTACAACTCCCATCATCCCTGAGCTCTGGCCTTGCTAGCTAGGGGTGATGGGAGTTGTAGTCCAACAACATCTGGAGACCCGCAGGTTGAGAAAGGCTGATTCTAATTCCTTTCTCTGTTGTTGTTGTTGTTTTGCCAGCTCAGCAAAAAGAAAATAAAAAATTGCCGGCCTCCTGTTCCCTCCAGGCAGAGCGACGGAGGCAGCAACGCGGAAGGCGGCAGGTGGGGCTGCCCGGCATTTTCACTCTTTCAACTTGAACAGATTTGTTCTCTTGGCACCTGCCCCGCCTTTGAATCGCCTGCCAAGTCGCTTCTTCATGCTTGGCTCCAAAGCCAGCTGCACACTCTGGCTACAAAAAAGAGAGAGCGCTTCTGTTGACTCCCCAGCTGTCCTCAGAGAAGGGGTGGGCCACGAGGTTGAGCTTGCACGTGTGGCAAAAAGAGATGGTTAAATTGGGAGGGATCTCACAAGCCTGGAAGGCACAGGAGCCTCCCCACGCTCAGGTCAACTGGACCGTAGTATCTTAGTTCACTGCTGAGAGAAACTAGAGGTTCCTCATGAGGGCTAGCAACGTGGTTAGCATGCAGAACCCCCCAAAAGGCTCCCGGAAAAATACAATAAACTGTATATCCACAACCAGTCCTACACAACCGCAAGCTCGCTATGTAGTGTTTCACAAGCTTCTCTCTGAGTCGCATAAACTATGGAACTCGTTGCCCCAGGAGGCAGTGATGGCCCGCAGCTTAGATACTGCTACTAATAATAATTTTATTAATTATATGCTGTCTATCTGGCTGGGTTGCCTCAGCCATTCCAACAGATATGGAAATGTAAGAAAACATCAAACATTAAAAGCTTCCCTATACAGGGTTCCTTCAGATGTCTTCTGAAAGTCAGATAGGTTTTTATTTCCTTGACATCTGACGGGATGGTGTTCCACAGGGCAGGTGCCACCACCGAGAAGGCCCTCTGCCTGGCTCCCTGTAACCTCACTTCTCACAGTGAGGGGACCGCCAGAAGGCCCTTGGAGCTTGACCTCAGTGTCCGGGCTGAACAATGGGAGTGGAGATGCTCCTTCAGGTATACAGTGGTACCTTGGGTTACAGACACTTCAGGTTACAGACGCTTCAGGTTACAGACTCCGCTAACCCAGAAATAGTACCTTGGGTTAAGAACTTTGCTTCAGGATGAGAACAGAAATCGCACAGCAGTGGTGTGGCGGCAGCAGGAGGCTCCATTAGCTAAAGTGGTACCTCAGGTTAAGAACAGTTTCAGGTTAAGAACGGACCACCAGAACGAATTAAATTCTTAACCCAAGGTACCACTGTATAGGGCTGAGGCCGTTTAGGCTTTCAAGGTCAGCACCAACACTCAGAATTGCACTCAGAAATATACTGGGAGCCAATGAAGGTCTTTCAGGACTGGTGTTATGTGGTCTCGGCAGCCACTCCCAGCCACCAGTCTAGCTGCCGCATTCTGGATTAGTTGTAGTTTCCGGGTCACCTTCAAAGGTAGCCCCACGTAGAGCGCATTGCAGTAGTCCAAGCGGGAGATAACCAGAGCATGCACCACTCTGGCGAGACAGTCCACAGGCAGATAGGGTCTCAGCCTGCGTTCCAGGTGGAGCTGATAAACAGCTGCCCTGGACACAGAATTGCCCTGCGCCTCCATGGACAGCTGCGAGTCCACAGTGACTTCCAGGCTGCACACCTGGTTCTTTAGGGACACAATGCCTCTGCCCTGCTTCCACAGTCAGAGGCAGAAATGCTTCTGAATACCAGTTGTTGGAAACTGCCGGAGGGGAGAGAGCTCTTGAGCTCGGATCTTGCCTGCAGGCTTCTGCTTGGTCACTTTGAGAACAGGAGGCTGGCCTAGATGGGCCACTGGCCTGATCCTGCTCTTCTTATATTCAGCTTTCCGTTTGCAATATGAGGATAACATATTAGCCTGCAGGATGTTTGCCAGGATGAAGTAGATTTAAAAAATGGAATGCTTGAACTGTGCTAGAAGTAAGGTAAAGGTAAAGGGACCCCTGACCATTAGCTCCAGTCGTGGCCGACTCTGGGGTTGCGGCGCTCATCTCGCTTTATTGGCAGAGGGAGCCGGCGTGCAGCTTCCGGGTCATGTGGCCAGCATGACTAAGCTGCTTCTGGCGAACCAGAGCAGTGCACGGAAACGCCGTTTACCTTGCCGCTGGAGTGGTACCTATTTATCTACTTGCACTTTGACGTGCTTTCAAACTGCTAGGTTGGCAGGAGCAGGGACAGAGCAACAGGAGCTCACCCTGTCGCGGGGATTCGAACCACCGACCTTCTGATCAGCAAGTCCTAGGCTCTGTGGTTTAACCCACAGCGCCACCCGTGTCCCTCGTGCTAGAAGTAGTGCTTTTTTAAAAATTGCTTCCAACCTGGGTTGCCTTGCACAAGGGCAGCTGGAGGTTCTGCTGCAACTCTGGCTCCATACCCTATTCCCTGTCTAAGCCTCTCACTCCAATCTGCATGATTCAACTCCCTCTTCCAAGAGAAGGACGATCCATAAATCTGGCGGCAGCTATCAAGACGCCACCCGGGTGTGTGTGTGTGCACTTGTTGGTCAATATCTGACAGGTTGCAAAAGGGATGTCAGAAAGGAACGAGCTCGCTTTGTTGGAGGAGCAGATAGACTGCAAAATCCTGAGCAAGTTCAAAGGGGCGATGCAGAATATTTGCTTTTTTTTCTGGAAATTAGATTAGAGACTGACATCAAGCAGCTGGACAGGATCCTGGGCTCTGGTCAAGACAGCACTCTGTCCACGCTGCCAGCAATTTTTTGAAAACGTTCCGATTTTGAGCAAAGCCAGTCCAGAATGCTTTGCTGACTGATGCCAACCATCACTGCCACTTGGGTACAGATGACTCCACTACTGGCAGCTGAATCTTATTTAACAGAAGAACAGAATAGTAGCCTGTTGGATCAGGCCAACGGCCCACTCAGTCCAGCATCCTGTTCTCAGACTGGCCAACCAGATGCCTGTGGCAGGATCTGAGCACAAGAGCAGTTTGCAGGGGAGAGAGAGATATATAAAACTTTATTCGCATTAGCCAATGGCCACAGCAACAGTAAAACATTACAGTATACGCAGAAAAGGAAATTTGATATAAAAGCACAATTTAAAGTCCTGAATCAGCAGCCAGTTAGTGGCCCTTATTTTGATTGCCCCTGCTATGCACCTAGCAACCTTTGCTGCTCATTCTGATCTGATAGAGGAAAGGACATTGTGGCAGTGGTTGAGAGCCCTGGGATGGTTAGTACGAGTGGGGTGATGATCAGGTCTTTGCTGAGAGTGCAAGACAGGAGGACGTGTGCCGCTGTTTCGGTGCTACCGTCTCCACAGGGGCAAAGACGTTTCTCAGGCAGGATCTTTTGGAATCGACCCTCAAGTACCGCAGATGGCAAAGCATCCAGTCTTGCAAGTGTAAAAGCACGTCTGTATTTTGGGATGATAAGTTTGTGCAGATATGGGGCCAGAGAATCAAAATGGAGAGGTGGAAAATGAACAGGGCAGAATTTCCTTATAGTGGCCAGGTTGTTCTAATGCTCGATATCTTTTAGACATTGACCAGTTAGACTGTTTGCTTTAGTGGGGCCCATAGTGAGTAGGTGTTGGGGGGATGGGCCACAAGAGTGAAGTTTTTGATAGACGGTTTTAAGCCAGGCACTTTTATGGGAGTCTTGAAGTACTAGGGATAGTAAACCGGGGGGAGAGCACAAGAGCAACTCTCCCCTCCAGTGGCAGAGCACAGCCGTTGTGGCTAGTCATTGATAGTGTTATGCTCCAAGAATTTCCCCAGTCCTCCTTTAAGCCGTCCTGGTTGGTGGCCATCTCTGCCTCCTGTGGAAGGGAGTTCCACAGTTCAACGATGCACTGCATGAAAAAGTACTGTATTTTTCGCTCTATAAGACGCACCAGACCATAAGATGCACCTAGTTTTTGGAGGAGGAAAACAAGGAAAAAAATATTCTGAATCTCAGAAGCCAGAACAGCAAGAGGGATAGCTGCGCAGTGAAAGCAGTGATCCCTCTTGCTGTTCTGGCTTCTGTGATAGCTGCGCAGCCTGCATTCCCTCCATAAGACGCACACACATGTTCCCTTACTTTTTAGGAGGGAAAAAGTGAGTCTTATACAGCAAAAAATACGGTACTTTATTTTACCTGTCCCGAATTTTCCAGCATTCAGCTTCATTGATTTTGGGAGCGAGGGAGAAAAGGTTTTTTTCTCTCTGCTTTCTCTGTACTGTGCATTATTTTAAAAAAAACTTTTGTTTCAACACCGGTCCTCCACTGCGGGCAGCAGGCTAGTTAAGGAGGTGAATGGCAGGCCATAGATCACACAAACACACAAACTCTGATCTCCTGGCTATTTCCCTCTGCTGGAGAGTCACTCAGAGCAGCCCGGGGGCTCCCACCTGAGAGTGGGGGAGAAATTTGGATCAGTTCACACCAAAAGGGAAACCTATCAAATCTACAGTTTCCGAAACAATATGCAAAGTGAAACCCAGCTTTCCTTCAAAATTTGCACGTATCTGAATTTTGCAATCTAGTTCTCTGGCCAATGTTAATACAATTACAGAGGTTTGGAGGAAGACCGTGAGTGGAAACAGCATACGAAAATGCAGTATATTGCCGAAAATTGCCTACAATCATATGGACATTAGTAAAAGCTATGTGCAAAAAATGTAGGAAAATTTCAAACTAAAATGCTGGTGAATTTCCATGAGGATTATTTTGTTTTTCAAATGACGAAAGTTGCAAATTTCTGCAGAAATGCGAAGAAATGAATTTAAGATTGGAAAAGGGGGAAACTGAAAGAAACTGGGCTGCTGAGAGTTGCTAGGAGGCCCTTCTATTCCCCTCAAAAGGATTTGATTCCCAGAGTTCCCTGGGAAGAGGGATTGATTGTGCTAGACACTCTGGGAATTGCTGCTCTGTGAGGGGAGTTACGGTGCAACTCTCTGCACCTTTACCAAACTACAGCTCCCAGAATTCTTTGGGGGGAGTTGCAGCTGGTTAAAGTGGCATCAAAGTGCTTTAAATGTCAGGTATAAATGTGTCCTAAGTCAATATGCCCTAAAAGAGCCTTTCTCAACCTGTGGGTCCCCAGATACTGTTGAACTACAACTCCCATCCCCCCTAGCTAGCAAGGCCAAAGCTCAGGCATGATAGGAGTTGTAGTCCAACAAGATCTGGGGACACACAGGTTGAGAACCGCTGCCCTAAAGGGACACAGCTGCCCCTTCCCTCACTCTCCCCCCCTGGGCTCGATCCGTACACCCACCCAGAGGGAGAGCGCATGGCAAGTGGAAGGAGACCTCCGTCCCCCTTGCTCGGAGAGAGCAGGCGAGGAAGACACAACAGCAAGGAACAAGACCAGCTGTGGACCCCTTGCAGAAGTGGGGGGTCCTTGACGGATACCCAGTGATGCTTCTTGCTGGCGCCTGCCCTCTCTGAGGCAGCGCAAGGGCCCCAAAGTACCCAGGCGCCCTTGTTTCATGCTCTGTCTGATCTCGTTTCAATCAGGGCAAGGAAACAACGCAAATGGAACTACAACCTGTTCCCTCTCCCCGCCAGAGCTTGCCCTGCCCCACGCCCTCTCCTGCAGCAACTTGGGAGGCATCAAACAAGTCGTCCGGGGCCCTCCCTTCTCTCTCCTCACGAGTCTTCACCCTCACACACAGCAGCCTTTTCCAAGTCAGATCACGCCAGCATTAGGTCACCCAGAAATATGAATGCTGTGCTGTTTTCCCGGTCTGGCTAAAAACCACAAAAGCTTTGCTCTGTTGTTTTTCCTCATACGTTCCAGAGGTTCCTAATTCCTTAGACATCTGTCCCTGGCCAATTGCCTGAACGGCCTCGGCCCAGTATACCTGAAGGAGTGTCTCCACCCCTATCGTTCAGCCCGGACACTGAGGTCCAGCTCCAAGAGCCTTCTGGCGGTTCCCTCACTGCGAGAAGTGAGGTTACAGGGAACCAGACAGAGGGCCTTCTCGGTAATGGCACCCACCCTGTGGAATGCCCTCCCGTCAGATGTCAAGGAAGTAAACAACTATCTGACTTTTAGAAGACATCTGAAGGCAGCCCTGTTTAGGGAAGTTTTTAATGTGTGACATTTTAATGAATTTTAAATGTTCTATCGGAAGCCACCCAGAGTGGCTGGGGAGGCCCAGCCAGATGGGCGGGGTATAAGTAATAAATTATTAATTATTATTATTATTATTATTATTATTATTATTAGAATTGTAGAGTTAGAAAGGACCACAAGGGTCATCTAGTCCAACCCCCTGCAATGCAGGAATATTTCACACAACATGGGGCTCAAACCCACCACCCTGAGATCTCATGCTCTACCAACTGACTGCCCTTTGTCGCTGCTGCTGCCCTTTGGGGAAGTCTTGTCCAAACCATTAGAGTCGCCAATTTTCAGGGTTTAAACCAGGCTTCCTCGACCTCGGCCCTCCAGAGGTTTTGAGACTACAATTCCCATCATCCCTGACCACTGGTCCTGCTAGCTAGGGATCATGGGAGTTGTAGGCCAAAAACATCTGGAGGGCCGAGGTTGAGGAAACCTGGTTAAAAACATTCTTCAGGGGCTGCAGAAAAAAAGAGCACTCCTAGATCAGATCAAGGGCTTGTCTGATACTCCAGCATCCAGATTCTTGCAGTGGCCTATCTGATGCTGATAGACAGGCTACAAGCAGAACATTAATACAATAGACCTCTCTTCACATGCAAACGCCTTCAACTGGTATTCAGAAACATATCGCGGCCCCATCCACGCCATACGTTTGAACTACAACGCCACTTTAAACAGCCGCGGCTTCCCCCAAAGCATTCTGGGAGCTTTAGTTCATTGAGGGTGCCGGGAGTTGTTTGCAGGCTCCTATGCCCCTCCCAGAACTATAATTCCCAAAGTTCCCTGCAGAGAGGGATCAACTGCACTCTGGGAATTGTAGTTCTGTCAGTGGAAAGAACAAAGACTCTTTAAATCAAAACAAAATCAGCAATGAACTAAAAACAGATGGAAACACAGGCCAGCTTTCTAAATGTATGCATAGGCTTGTCTAAAGAAAAATGTTTTAGTAGGCGCCGAAAAGAGCACAGCGGAGGCGGCTGCCTGGTGTCAAGAGTCGGGGAGTTCCAGAGTTTAGATACACTAAATGGTCCATGAGGAACGGGTATTATGGGGCACTTGTAACGGGATCAGTTCCACCCATCAAAGCAGCCACGTGGGTATATTTGGGGCAAGGCGATCTCGCAGGCAAACCTGTCCCAAGTTGTTAAGGACTTTCCATTCTAATAGCAACCCTTTGAACGTGGCCTGGTAGCAAATTGGTAACGAGTGCAGACCTCGGCACCTCCTTCAAAACACACAAGCGCTTGTGCCACCCCAGTGGTGCTGTTGCTTACAGATCTCAGTTCCTGTTCTCGGTTCACACACCTGGACCACATCAGAGGCAGCGGGACGGGGTGAGACCTTACATTCTTTGCAGGATTACGGGCTGCTCTGGCATAACCCAAGCGTGGCACGCACCTCGCCCCTTCTTGGCATGGCAATGCCCCGGGGCTGAGGCCCAGAAGGCTGACAAGGGGGTGACCTACTTGAGCCTCTTGCCTTGGGATGCTGAGAACAGTTCTGACATTTAAAGGCACCACCAGTTCCACAGGGCCATCGCAGGGGGGAAAACGACAGAACAATGAGTCTTGCACCCTTGAAGAGCAGCTGCAGATGAGCATTGTTGCTTAAATCAGGGAGCAACCAGACTTTTACCGGGGAACCAAACCAAGCCTGATCCCATAAGCTGCTGCGGTCTGAGAGGTACACCACCCTGTAGTTCCCCCTTCCGGCCAGAGCTCTGTGGTGGCGCCAGAGTCTAGCGCCACTCCAGCCCAGGGTTCAAGAGCCGCTGCGAGCCTGCCACCAAGTGGCCAGAGGAGGCAGTTGCAGGGAGGCCAGCAAGAAAGCATCTGCATTGGCCAGAGCAAGTCATGTGACCCTCTCCAACGCCCTATAAAAGCATGCTTGCCAGTGTTGCATATAGTTCCCTGTGAGAGAGAGAGCCATTGATTCATTTCAGAAAACAACAGCTGGATTAGACCAAAGGTCCAGGGGTGGGGCAGGAGCCAGATCCTTCCAGGCAATCCGCAGATGAGGCAGAGGCAGGGCAGCAGCCTTCCTCTGTCACTGTTTCTTCCCCCACCCCTGCAAACAGCAAGACTGCCCCTGCCCATGGAGGTTCAGCTTCACCGTGGACCAAAAGGGCACCAAATCAATTGTTGAACAGAGACTTCTGGAGACAGATTTCCAAGAGCTTCAAGGCACCATGTGGAAACCCTACTCCCCACTTTGGTCACCAAGATTACCATGCCACACTCAGGATCGTTCCTTTCGTTGTTGTTTAGTCGTTTTGTCGTGTCCGACTCTTGGACCCATGGACCAGAGCACGCCAGGCACTCCTGTCTTCCACTGCCTCCCACAGCTTGGTCAGACTCATGTTGCTAACTTCGAGAACACTGTCCAACCATCTCGTCCTCTGTCGTCCCCTTCTCCTTGTGCCCTCCATCTTTCCCAACATCAGGGTCTTTTCCAGGGAGTCTTCTCTTCTCATGAGGTGGCCAAAGTATTGGAGCCTCAGCTTCAGGATTTGTCCTTCCAGTGAGCACTCAGGGCTGATTTCCTTCAGAATGGATCGGTTTGATCTTCTTGCAGTCCATGGGACTCTCAAGAGTCTCCTCCAGCACCAGAATTCAAAAGCATCCATTCTTCGGCGATCAGCCTTCTTGATGGTCCAGCTCTCACTTCTATACATCGCTACTGGGAAAACCATAGCTTTAACTATATGGACCTTTGTTGGCAAGGTGATGTCTCTGCTTTTTAAGATGCTGTCTAGGTTTGTCATTGCTTTTCTCCCAAGAAGCAGGTGTCTTTTAATTTTGTAACTGCTGTCACCATCTGCAGTGATCATGGAGCCCATGGATCTGCAGTGATCGTGGATTGTTCCTAAGTATGCCATCTCACCAGACTATCTGGGTGGGAGAGATGTGAAGCAGAAGTCTCATCTTCCCTGCGTTGTTGAAAGCCCACCTCCCTCAGGCAGCCCTCCCGGTGTTGCTAGACTACAACTCCCATCATCCCAGGCCATTGGCCATGCTAGCCGGGTCTGATGGGAGTTGGAGTCCCTCAAATCTCTGGAGGACCAGCGGGGTCTCTATTCCCCGAGACACATCCCTCTCACCTCGCCTTTCCCCCCTGCTTTGGCAAGCTGCAATTTGGCAAGCTGCAATGGCAGGTGAAAGCAAAGCTTTCATAATTACTTAGAGAGGGCGGAGGATGTTTAAGGTGTTGGCAGCCATCTGCATCCCATTAAAGAAACCATCATCATTCCTCTTCTTGGAATACCAAAACACGGCCCCTCCAGCTTCCTCTCGTATTATTCGGCAGGGACGGACAGGCGAGGGAGCTTGTTAAGATGGCTTCTCAGCACAACAACAGCCTCGTTTCGAAAATAAATCGAGGGGGAGAAGGAGAAGCAGGCCTGGCCCATTCATAAAAGAAAAATAGCAGCTATAAAAAGCCTTTGAAGTCCGTCTCAACAGCTCCCGGGAGGAGGAACATCAGTTGCTTGTGTTCGTCAGTGAAAACCTTACACTTATTTGGGGCTGGCAGCAGAAGCAAGACTTCTAAGGTGGGGTGAGATTTTTACCCATCCTTTCCGGGAAAGTTATCTTTGAACTGCTCCAAAGGAAGACTTTTAAATCAAAGCACGCAGTGTTCCAATTCCCCGTCTTATCGGGATAATAGTAAAAACTTTCCAGCTCTGCCTCTCTGTAAGCGAGGCTGAGTGGTGTTGGAATAGGGCCCGGGAGAGAGACCAGGGTTCAAATCCCCACTCAGCCATGAAGCTCACTTGGTTAACTCTTGGGCCAGCCCCTGTCTCCCTCCCCATGACTTCCCCGGGGGTGTCTCCTAGGTCTCAGGTCTGGGCCCTGAAAACACAGACCCTTGTTTTCCAGGGACAAACCCAGATTTACAGAAGCCGTCCCAGTTTCTGATTTGATCCCAGAACATCCCGCTTTCCCTTAAAGGTAAAGGTAAAGGGACCCCTGACCATTAGGTCCAGTCGTGGCTGACTCTGGGGTTGCAGTGCTCATCTCGCTTTATCGGCCGGGTCATGTGGCCAACATGACTAAGCCCCTTCTGGCGAACCAGAGCAGCACACGGAAACACCGTTTACCTTCCCGCCGGAGCAGTACCTATTTATCTACTTGCACTTTGACGTGCTTTCAAACTGCTAGGTTGGCAGGAGCAACGGGAGCTCACCCCGCCGCAAGGATTCGAACCGCCAACTTTCTGATCAGCAAGCCCTAGGCTCTGTGGTTTAACCCACAGTGCCACCCGCGTGCCCCGCTTTCCCTTAGGATGTCCCTATTTACATCAGATAAATGTTGGAGGGTAAGGAGTTATGCAACCCCTGAGCCAAGGAGATAAATAACTATACAAATTTTAGAAGACATTTGAAGTCAGCCCTGTATAGGGAAGGTGTTTTTTTTTAATGTTTAATAGTTTGTTATGGTTTTTATATATGTTGGAAGCCACCCAGAGTGGCCAGGGCAACCAGTCAGATGGGCAGGGTATAAATATGATTATGATTATGGAACAGGGTGTCTCTATTTTCATTGGAGAAATGTTGGAGGGTATGCTCAGGATCTGGGAAGCTCCCGACCTGACAACCCTATCGATGGGGCATTTGAAAACTGGAGTCCAACAATATTTGGATAGCCACATGTCCCCCTCCCCTGTTGTATAGGGACCAGGATACCCAAAGAAACATCTCGCCCCTCTATTAACCCTGACCGTCTCCATGCTTGGAAAAGCCTCTCCCGTTGGCTTGGGTCCATTTCTCCCAGCTGCCTCCCAAGCACCCGACCTCTGCAGGTGCTTACCGTCAGCAAAATACCTGGCCTGAATAAATTGCCCCACCTCTTCACACCATCCCGCGTGTCTGCAGACATTCATCTCAATAACTCGCTGTCAACAAAGATTATCCAAATCTCCCGTGAAGGGGGTGAGATGCTCGCTTAATCTCCCGGACCGGACCAGTCACTCCGTGGCTGAATAGGGAGTGACTCAGAGAGCTGTTGCAATGCAATTAAAGAATAGGGACCAGCCTTGGCAAGGCGGCCCGCAAGACGGCATGTCCTTTTGGGGAACCGAGAAAGATCCCAGGCAGGGCCAGCGAGGGGCGTGGGGATAACAATGGACAGGAGTCTGCAAGTCACACCTAGGTGTGACGGGGGAGCCCAAGATGACAACAGACGTTTGAATGTGCTTTGCAAGAATCTACAGCAGCAAAGGGATGAAGGTGGATAGTTCAGAGCTTCCTTATTTTTTAGATGTGTTGTTTCACACATTAAACAGGGGCGAGGAAGCTCAGGGCCAGGGGCAAAATATTACCTCCTTGGCCTCTACATTTTGCACTTATATTTCTCCCCAGGCTCCACCTCCTCCTCCGTCACTTCCCCTCCAGGCCACACCTCTCACACAAGAGACAATGTGGCCTAATAGTTAGAGCAGGCACCCCCAAACTCAGCCCTCCAGGTGTTTTGGGACTACAACACCCATCATCCCTAGCTAACAGGACCAGTGGTCAGGGATGATGGGAGTTGTAGTCCCAAAACATCTGGAAGGCCGAGTTCAGGGGTGCCTGGGTGAGAGTGTCGGACCAGGACCTGGGAGATCAGGGTTCAAATCCCCACCCAGCCATGAAGCTCACTGGGTGACCTTGGGGCAGTCGCCATCTCTTAGCATGACCTGCCTCACAGGGTTGCGTCGTGAGGATAAAATGAGGAGGAGGAGAACCATGAACACCACTTTGAGATCCTTGGGAGATAACGGTGGTATATAAATGTAATACAGTGGTACCTCGGGTTAAGAACTTAATTCGTTCTGGAGGTCCGTTCTTAACCTGAGGTACCACTTTAGCTAATGGGGCCTCCTGCTGCTGCCTCGCTGCTGGAGCACGATTTCTGTTCTCATCCTGAAGCAAAGTTCTTAACCCGAGGTATTATTTCTGGGTTAGCGGAGTCTGTAACCTGAAGCGTCTGTAACCTGAGGTACCACTGTAATAAATAAACAAGGATTCATCTGGTCACAGCCTTTTACACTGCTTTGCCAATTTGGCCTGGAGCCAAGATTGAGGGATGCAGAAACATAATATATAATTATTGTTATTATTATTATTTGAATTTGAATTCTGGTGCTGGAGGAGACTCTTGAGAGTCCCATGGACTGCAAGAAGATCAAACCTATCCATTCTGAAGGAAATCAGCCCTGAGTGCTCACTGGAAGGACAGATCCTGAAGCTGAGACTCCAATACTTTGGCCACCTCATGAGAAGAGAAGACTCCCTGGAAAAGACCCTGATGTTGGGAAAGATGGAGGGCACAAGGAGAAGGGGACGACAGAGGACGAGATGGTTGGACAGTGTTCTCGAAGCTACCAGCATGAGTCTGACCAAACTGCGGGAGGCAGTGGAAGACAGGAGTGCCTGGCATGCTCTGGTCCAGGGGGTCACGAAGAGTCAGACACAACTAAACGACTAAACAACAACATTATTATTACTATTATTATTATTATTATGAAGAAGAAGAAGAAGAAGAAGTCATTCGGGCTATTAGGTTAGATATGCAAGGTTTTGGTATGCCCACATTTATTCTGACTCCTGAGCAAGAGCTACACAGAGGTGACAAATGCTATTACCAGACAAGGACGATTCAGTCCTTGGACTGAGCCCTTAGGGAACCAACCGGGTTGTTGAGAACCAGGTTCTCCATTCAGATCTTCTCAGTAATCTAATTAGCCTTCCTTTTCCCAATTAAACACTTCCTCCCAGGAAGTACCTTATTAGATGCGGTTGATCAAGACGCTCAGCCACTTTACAACTAATTAATTATACCTGCTGTGTCCCTCAGAACCTCTTGCTGTGACCTTCTTATACCGTAAATTCTTCTCCCAAGTTTGGTCCAAGAAACCCCCACAGTGGCATTTCCTCTCTACACCATTAAGCTGGCCGCAAGGAGGTGCTGTCAATCAGCTGTTCATTGACACCTGGAAAGCCCGGCCACTTCCCCAAGTCCTGCCAATGACCAGCTGGTCGCCAGCACTTGCAAAGCACAGTGCGATTAGATTTCAAACCGCACAGGTCACCTGACTTCACTGTAATGTTATGTGACTGGCAGGTGAACAGCCCTAACCAGCTTTCAAAGCTGGCCCCTTGGGAGTGGGAGGGCAGGTAAGGATCTAAGTCCACCAGCTGAATCTCATTCCTCACCCGATCTATTAAGTGGGATTCAGAGGTAGACTGCCTCTGAGGCTGGAGGTTCGAAAAAGCCATCATAGTAACCATTAATCAACCTCCCCTCCTTGGACCATATTATACAAGATAATAATAAGGTCATTCATTATATATACTTATTCCAAACAGCAGTAATTGTCCCCATAACATCATGACTCAGCTGAAGTTTATTGCTTTTAAAATTGGCCTATAAAGAAACATTACGCTCGTTTAATTCCCACTGGTTTTGACAAGGAAAGTTAAGCGCGCACTTCAACCCTTAACTCAATGGGATGTAAAAGGGCTTAATTTCGTCCTGATCGTGCTTCGTATATTTAAGCCTCCTCTTAGAGAACAGATCTGTTGCCCAAAGGTTTTTCTGGGAAACAAGCAAGGGTGTGCCGGTGTCAAAACAGACGGAGGCAGAATAATATTCAGCAAAAGAAAACAGGCCACAGGAAGCTCAGGGTCGGGACAGCAACTTGGCCAACAGCGCCTCCTGCTGACGAGAGAGCTATATGACGCCTGAACCATCATCTGAGATAGGTAGGTCAGATTAGGTCCCAGTGACCCATTGGGGAAGGTCACAGGCAGAGGTCATTTCTCTACCTTGCAATATGGACATCTGGGATCAAGCCTGGGATCCATGTTTATTTTATTTTTTAGTTTCCTAGCCTGCTTGCTAAAAAGGCACTATTCCAAAAGCAGTGTCCAAACGCACATCAAAACAGTAATCAAATATAATTTCAAACCACAGAATCACAGAGTTTGAAGGGCCCGCAAAGGCCCTCTAGTTCAACCCCTTGCAATGCAGAAATCTTCTGCCCAAAGTTGGCTCCCGAACCCAAAACCCTGAGATTAAGAGTCTCATGCTTTACCAACTGGGCTACCAAGCCATTTAAAAACACAGGAGGCTAATCTCTCTTTTTTTTATCCCAGGGGCCACAATGACCCTTGAACAAACTTTGGGGGGGGAGGTTCGCAAGCCAGGGGTGCCCCCCCACATTCTACACACCTTCCTCTCCCCCCACTTCCTCAGCAGATCTGTGCGGATTTGCTAAATAGAGGTTACTGACCCGTCCCCAATTTTGCATCGGGTAATTGGCATCACCTTGCCAACAAAGGTCCGTATAGTTAAAGCCATGGTTTTCCCAGTAGTGATGTATGAAAGTGAGAGCTGGACCATAAAGAAGGCTGATCGCCAAAGAATTGATGCTTTTGAATTATGGTGCTGGAGGAGACTCTTGAGAGTCCCATGGATTGCAAGAAGATCAAACCTCTCCATTCTGAAGGAAATCAGCCCTGAGTGCTCACTGGAAGGACAGATCCTGAAGCTGAGGCTCCAAGACTTTGGCCACCTCATGAGAAGAGAAGACTCCCTGGAAAAGACCCTGATGTTGGGAAAGATGGAGGGCACAAGGAGAAGGGGACGAGATGGTGGGACAGTGTTCTCAAAGCAACCAGCATGAGTTTGACCAAACTGCGGGAGGCAGTGGAAGACAGGAGTGCCTGGCGTGCTCTGGTCCAGGGGGTCATGAAGAGTCGGACACGACTAAACAACTAAACAACAACAACTGGCATCTTCCTTGGGGGCTGGGCAGGGCAGAGAGGTTTAAACACCCCAGAATGGTTGTCTACTTCATTTATTGGTTTTATTTATATTTTTGCCCCCGCCCCGCCGTATTTGAGAGGCATTATTTCGCTGGCTAGCAGCCACTCACCGATATCTTGGTGAAGATGGAAAGCAGGAGAGACAGGGATGAGAGGTATATCCGAATTCTCTCCCCGCCAAAACGCTTCTGGAGGTATTCTGGCATGGTGACAATCTGATCGGAGGAAGGGAAAGGAAGGGAAAGAATCAAACACCAGTGTTATAATTCGGGGTGGAGGAAATGGCAGCTCCATTCAGATTTTAACGTGAGCCTAGCCCAATTTTCACTTTGCATGCAAACCAAAACACAGCATAATTTGCACTTTTCCGAATTTTGTGCTGCTGTTCCCCAGCCAAATAATGTGTACAAAAAAGTACATCTTAGCAAAAAGTGTGGATAAGAATGCCTATATTGGTGGGGGGGCAGATGTTGGGTAAAGGAATACATTTTTCTTCTCTCTGGGAATGTCATTTGATATTAGGCCTCTGGCTTTTTGGAAAAACGAAATCTTGAATAATTTTTTCAGCTCCTCATATACCTCGTTCCAAATTTTCCTTACAATTTTACATCCCCACCCTGTGTGATAAAAGGTTCCCACCTCCCTCTTACATCTCCAGCATAAGTTTGACTGTTTTTTGTAAATCTTAGTCAATTTTTCCAGAGTGAGGTAACAGCAGTAAAATCATGTTCTCTTTTATCGTATAACAGGCTGTGAAATTGATATCCACCTTCCACAAGCTTTCCCAATTTTCCAATTGGATTGTATGACCAAAATTGGATTGTATGACCAAAAAGGAATTTGCACTAAAACACAGGTGAATTTCCATGGTGACAAACTCTTGCAGAAATGTGGAAAACCTGCCTCGCCGGGGAGTCGCGCTGTTTATTATCTGACAGTCCCGGGGCAGGTTACGGCAACGTAAAATACAGCATTAGAATCACGTTAAAATAAATTGTGGTGGCTTTTCACCCAGGAGCCTTGCAAGATATTTATTATTATTATTTGTTTTTTGTTTGTTTGTTTTTTTGATAGTTAGAGATATTTATTAAAGTTTTTAAGGTATAGCAAAGAAATGAAAAATAAAAAGAAACATACAAAATAAAAACAGTTAAAAACACATTAATTTTCCATAGCATATCTTCCTTACGACTTATTTCCCAGGACCTCCTCGTACCTCGCCTTTTTGTATTCCAGGTTCAGTTTGTTAGTTCAGCCAAATCCTTACCATATAAAGCTTTTACCCATTTAGTGGAACGTTGTTTTCGTATCTCTTAAAGCATTACAGCTGGAAACCACTTAGTTTCTATCCAACATCCTTCTAAGATTCATTAATTTTACAATATTTCTGTAAATAGTCTTTAAATTTCTTCCAGTCTTCTTTCACTGACTCTTCTCCCTGGTCTCGGATTCTGCCAGTCATTTCTGCCAATTCCATGTAGTCAATCACCTTCATCTGCCATTCTTCCAGAGTGGGTAAATCTTGTGTCTTCCAATACTTTGCAATGAGTATTCTTGCTGCTGTTGTGGCATACATAAAAAAGGTTCTGTCCTTCTTTGGCACCAATATTTATTATTATTATTTGAATTGCCAAGTAGAGAGAAGGCCGTGAGCCTCAGCCGCCTGGGCAGGCAGCACTGAATTAGTGCGGGAGAGGTCATAAAAAGCAGCTGTTGGAGGTGCAGGAAGGCTACACACCAAAGGACAGGACCAAACCCAGTTCTCAACTTACCCCTGAAGAGATGTAGACGGGAACAAACACCCAGGCCAATGCCAGAAGCACAAAGGTGGCCTGGAAAAAGATATAAAAACACTTAAGTGTAGTCCTACACATCGGTGCATATGTGTAAAAGAAAAGGGATTTGTGCTTCGGACATAACCACTAGCTGAAATTTCCAAAGTGGTTCAACCATCCAGTTGTTCCTTTTATCTCTTGACTCCCTACTTTAGCATTCCAATCCCCTATAATGAGAAGAACATCCTGCTTTGGTGTCATTTCTAGAAGGTGTTGTAAGTCTTCATAAAGGTAAAGGGACCCCTGACCATTAGGTCCAGTCGTGGCCGACTCTGGGGTTGCGGCGCTCATCTCGCTTTATTGGCCGAGGGAGCCGGCGTACAGCTTCCGGGTCATGTGGCCAGCATGACTAAGCTGCTTCTGGCGAACCAGAGCAGTGCATGGAAACGCCATTTACCTTCCCGCCGGAGTGGTACCTATTTATCTATTTGCACTTCACGCTTTCGAACTGCTAGGTTGGCAGGAGCTGGGACCGAGCAACGGGAGTTCACCCCGTCGCGGGGATTCGAACCGCCAACCTTCTGATCTGGAAGCCCTAGGCTCTGTGGTTTAACCCACAGCGCCATCTGCGTCCCGTAAGTCTTCATAGAATTGGTCAATTTCAGTTTCTTCAGCACCGGTAGTATATTAATAGTGAAACACAATTAAGAAGTATATTAATAGTGAAATAATTATGAAGCTCTAACTGTATGTAGGTTTTATTTTATTTGTTTTTTATCTTATATTTTGGAATTGTACATCCAGGGTTTTTTCCCCTTGAAATTTTCTGGGGGACCCCCAAGAGAGTGGAGTCCTAAGCTATAGCTTGTTCAGCTTATACGTAAATCCGGCACTACTCACATTCCATTCGAAGCCGGCCACTGCTACCCCTCCTGCAGCCGCCGTGCCGGCCAGTCCAATGAAAAGGCTCGATCCTTCGCTGCTGGCAAAGAGCGAGGCACCGATCTGCAGGCCAAAAGCAGCCAATATTATTATTATTATTATTATTATTATTATTATTATTATACCAAACAAATTGCAAAAACCCTAAGCGAATTACAAAAAAATAACAATAAAGCATTAAAATTATCGATTGGAAAGAGTTAAACATCAGGTATTTAAACGTACCTCCCAAAGCAGCAGTAGTTAAAATGAAAATTTGTGTAACTTTTCAATAGGCTTGTGAAACAAAAATGTTTTAACAGGGTGCCGGAAAGAAAGAGGACAGAGAAGAGTTTGGACTGAGCGCAGGGCCATTTTTATGCGCCTTCCGGGGTGCAAAGATCTGCCCAGAGCCCCCAAATTTAGTTAATTTTGCATGAATGGCACCGTTGAAAATGACAAGCGCCGTTGTTGAGTCTGGAAAATGTTGCTGTTGTGAATGAAAAGCACCACCGCTGGCGCAGCACGTCTTCGGTAAATGAGCGCACAAAGTCGAAAGTCCTTTAGTGAAACAGTAGGTATACATTTTGGTAATACCTAGGTATATCTGTATTTTGTTTTTCTAGCTTGATCAAATTATTTATTATTTCATAACAGGTAGATAGTTAAGAGCTTAGACGGCTTCAGCGGCAGGCGCTGGGCACCCCCCAGAATTTGCACCCCCAGGTAAAGATGGCCCTGACTGAGCAGGCACACAGGTCACCTGGTCCATTCATTTATTGTACAGTGGTACCTCGGGTTACATACGCTTCAGGTTACAGACGCTTCAGGTTACAGACTCCGCTAACCCAGAAATTGTACCTTGGGTTAAGAACTTTGCTTCAGGATGAGAACAGAAATCGCGCGGCGGCGGCGGGAGGCCCCATTAGCTAAAGTGGTGCTTCAGGTTAAGAACAGTTTCAGGTTAAGAACAGACCTCCGGAACGATTTAAGTACATAACCAGAGGTATCACTGTATTTATATACCACTTTTTTTCCTCCAAGGATCTCTCAGTTGGTAAAGCATTAGACTCTTCATCTCAAGGTTGTGGGTTCGAGTCCCACGTTGGGAAAAGATTCCTGCATCGCAACCGGTTGGTATGTAGAACCCTTGTGGTCCCTTCCAACTCTTCCCGTTCTCATTTAATCCCCCACAACCTTGTGAGGTAGGTTAGGCCGAGAGGCAGGGACTGGCCCACGGCTGAGTGGGGATTTGAACCCTGGTCTCTCAGGTCCCAGTCGAACACTCCAACTAACAACTGCATGGTATTGGTATTGGCATTAGTACTGCAGCAGTTGGCTTGTGAGATGCGGGTGGCGCTGTGGGTTAAACCACAGAGCCTAGGACTTGCCGATCAGAAGGTCGGCGGTTCGAATCCCCACGACAGGGTGAGCTCCCGTTGCTCGGTCCCAGCTCCTGCCAACCTAGCAGTTCGAAAGCACGTCTAAGTGCAAGTAGATAAATAGGTACCACTCTGGCGGGAAGGTAAAAGGCGTTTCCGTGTGCTGCTCTGGTTCTCCAGAAGCGGCTTAGTCATGCTGGCCACATGACCCGGAAGCTGTCTGCAGACAAAGCCACTCCCGACCTAAGGAGGGGGGGTTGCGGGCTCACGCCCCCGTCTACAATCTCGCGGGGCTGGCGGCAGCCCCGCGGGAGTCAGGGATTCCCCAGTCTCATTCATATTCATCACCCCCGGACCAGCTAATCAGCTGCCGGTAGGGGCGGGTTTACCTAGGTGCTCTTAAGGTCGGGGCAGCCCTGGCTCGCTCCTTTTCCTTCTCTACAGCAGCAGCGGCTCTCTCAGCCTATAGAGCGAGATGAGCGCTGCAACCCCAGAATCGTCCACGACTGGACCTAACGGTCAGGGGTACCTTTAACTTTACCTAGTTGGCTTGTACCCAGCGGTAGTCCTACTCTGAGTAGACCCACTGAAATTAATGCATGTGGGTCACTTAGAGCTATTATTTCCAATGGGTCTGCTTTGGATGAAAGTGACTTTCCAAACATGCATCTAGAAATATAAATTAGCATGTGCAAATTTTATGCAGATCTGCATGTTCTTGTGCCCTATTTTTTTTGGGGGGGGGGGACGACACTTGCTCTTTTCCCAACAATGCATGTAAGTCACCGCCCTCTGTGAGGCTTGGATGAAACCTTGTGGATCCCCAAAATCAAACAGGCAGTTGCATCTACTTACCGGCCACCAGACTATGTTCCTCCCAGCCAGGAAGTATCCACTTAAAGTGTTTCTGTTTGCCCTGCAGGAAGACTGGACAGGCAAAGAGACAACTAAGCAGGGGGTGGGTGACAGACGAACCGTGCCTAGAGCATGGAAACCAGACAGAGATTTCCTCCTGCCCCACAATATAGCCCCCAAGTATCAGAAAGACCACCTCCTTCCCTATAGAGCAGTGGTTCTCAACCTGTGGGTCCCCAGATGTTGTTGGACTACAACTCCCATCATCCCTGAGCTCTGGCCTTGCTAGCTAGGGATGATGGGAGTTGTAGTTCAACAACATCTGGGGACCCACAGGTTGAGAAAGGCTGCTATAGAGTCTCCTGGGTCTTTAGATCGGCAGAGGGCGCCCTCTTCATATTTCCACCACCCTAAGAAGTTGGGTAGGGGGTGGCCAGGTACAGGGCCTTCTCTGTGGCAGCCCCTAAATTGTGGAAATCCCTCCCCACAGAGGCATGCCTGGCTCCTTCCCTATATGGTTCGCATCATACTCTGAAGATACGCCTCTTTTCCCTGGTCTTTCACAGTTGGGCTGCGTATTTCTCAGACCCACCCTCTTTTGAACATAGGAAGCTGCCCCACTCCTAGTAGGAACATTGGCCCATCTAACTCCTATATTGTTTACACTGACTGGCAGCAGCTCTCTGGGAATTCAAAGTGGGCGGAGGGGGGGTGCATTCCTAGCCCTAGATGCCATGGGTTGAAGCTGGAACTCTTTGCAAGCTGCAGTTGGTTCCTAAAAAGTTGTGTTTAAATTGCTTTGACCCACCCTGGGACCTTTGGGTGCAGGCAATAAACAAAATTCTGATTCAGAAAGATGATAATAATTATTCCAGGCAGACATTTTCGAGACAGACACCAAAGGAGGGTGCAAAGCAGAGGTGCAGCCAGCTGAGAGGGGGCTTAGAGGGTCGGATTTAGCCACCTAGGCCTGGGGTTCGAAATCTCAGCAAAAGATTGTTGGAATCTGTTGCAAACAACACCCAACTAGATGGACTGATGTTCTGACTCGGTGCAAAGCAGATTCCTATTTAATTTCGCCCTTTATTCAAAACCAGGAGGACTAGAATCTTACTTTATTTTTAGAGACAGGATGGGTAATGATAACCATAATAATACTCCCTCTAATTTCTGACATTCAGGCGTGAGCGCTCAGTAAAAATGGCACCAGTTACGTGCAACAGGGAGATATCGGCAGGTTCGGCAGAGCATCTAGATTTGCAGAAATGCAAACAAATTCTGGTAGCGGGGGAACTAAGGGGGGTGGGGAGAAAACAGCCCAATACGGCTGAGCATGTTCTGTGCCCAGGCAGCAGAATCCAAACTGCTTCTTTTAAAAAGATGGCATCCCCCGAATGCTCAGTGCCATTGGTCAACTGAAGCCGCCGCATAGTCGATCAGGCCGTTAAACCGATTATTTGCCCACCTTACCCATATCCCCACTGCCAAATTCAAAAGGAAATACGCCACGACGACGATCACATCAGTAACGCTGAAGTGGGGCGAAGGAGTGGGCATTTCAGCTGGAGGAAAGTCTTCTGCGGACATCGTGCCTGGACCCAGGAACAGAGAGAGAGGGGCCAGCCGCTTTCAAGAGTCAGGGAATTGATCATTAAACAGCCTGGGGGTAGGCCGTTTGTGATTCGACAAGCAGTACGTGTGGGTGAGCGGTCTTGGCCCTGGGGCAGAGTCTGCCCCCTTTCTCAGCAGATACAAATGAACTGAGGGTTAATCAGAGCTACGGGGGTGGGTGGGCTGCTAAATTTGCAAATTTGAATGCTGGCTGGCATTTTTGTTCCAACGAAGTTGAGTGGACGTTGCAAAAAAACCCAGACCAATGGGCATAGCTCAGGACACACGGCCCACCTTCGCCCCCCATGATTGAGGGGCCCCAGGGCTGCACGACCTGCTCACACTCGGGTGTTTTAGGATCATTCTTCAAAATGCTAAGGTGCGCCCTTCTGAACCATGTGCCGCTGTAGAACTGAAAAAAACATCTCTGATCCCTCCTACGGCCACAGCCACAGACAAACCCTGCCAGAGTAAAACAGTGGCGCTTTCTCGGTTACGTTGGGATGATGGGAAACACTGGAGGGGACTGGGGGTCTCCTTCACATAAATCCAACGTGAAACCAACAGGACTATCCAGCTGAAGGTATTTGACCCATCCATGACTGTCCAGGGAAGGATAGATCTTGTCGTTTTCAGTTTCTCATTTTTCCAGTCTTAAGCTCAGTCTTTAGCACATCTGTGACTTTTTTTTTTAAGCAAAAAAATAAATAAATGCCCTCATGAAACTCACCCCCGTTCTAGGTCAAATTTCTCCTAGTATGCATTTTGGCGTGCAATTTCCCCCGATACACACAAAGCAACTTCTCATGATATATAGCATTTTTGTAGGATACATTCACTAATATGTGGGTTTTTCAGCACATTTTGGCTGGTGAACTGCGCTGCAAAATTCAGAGAAGGGCGAATGTTGAAGGATAGCTGTGTTTCAGTTCCTGCATCGTTTTTAGAAAAGATGAATTAGATGGGTTTTGCCTTAAATGCTAACTGAATCAAGTTTCTCCCCATCCTACCCCCCCCCCACACACACACTCCACAGGTCCTTGCTTGGCAGAACCTGCACCTTGACATTTTTGTGCAATTCTCCCTTCAAATGTCTGTCCCCTCACAGGCCAACTTGTCCGCCCTTCCTCCTAAACATTGACACTCTTTTGTTAATGTGTCAGCCTTTTCGTTAGCTAGCGGCATTGTTTAATGAGCGGCTTCCGTTAAAGCCTAACCCAGGAACGCTGTTCCTGAAGCCTGTTCTGCGTTCAAGGCAGGGGCAGCTGAAGAGATATCAAATTGCAACCTGACGCTCTCGAGGTGGGGATTTCGCCCGTCAATGTTGCTCACGTGTGAGCTGGTTTAAGGAGGTTTGTTTCTGCAGAGTGCCCAGTTGAACAGCGTATTAGGAGGCGTGGGAATGGAAGTTTGCGAGCAAGGCTAAAAAGATTTCAGAAGGGTGAGATGAAGCCCACTGAAGCCCACTGCTGCCCTTTTGCAAGGTGGGAAAAGCCTTGCAAAAACGTCGAAACGAGTTTTGTGGGGGTTTTTGAGAGGGGGAGACTGAAGGAGCGCAGAAAGCTGCCGGCACGCACACACTCATCACCCGGAATATTGTTCCGCTGACAAAAAGAGCACAACCGCCGAACAAATATTTCCTAAGAAGCTCACACAAAAACAAAGTCATTTATTCTTCTCATTGCAGAAAATAAATACCAGTGCATACTCCATATGCTTTTCCTATAAAAGCACTTCTACAAAAAATGTCAACTGAACTGCGTACAACAGTACAACTTTTTTTTTTCTTTTTTGGCTTGTCAGATGCGAACTTTATACAGTAGCTTTTTTTATATATTAAAAAGAAAAAGATAAAAGAATCGTATGTAATTAACCCTTCAAAGCACTTGCAAGCAAGCTGATTCGGGGAGGAAAGGAATGTGAACACGTAGGAGCCGTGACCCTTTTCTCCAAAGTAGAGGGTGTGTGTGTGTGTGTGTGTGTGTGTGTGTGTGAATTTGTACCCTTAGAGCTCCATCTCCCGGGAAGTTCTCCTGCGCGAACCGCATTGAAATGACCAGGAGAGGCAGGAGACTGAGCATGCTGTTGTTCCAGTCCACGACTGCCATTTCCGTGTCCTCTGTCTCCCACAGGACGCAAGGCTACAGTTTTCGCTTACAGGCAGACGAGGATAACCTGTTCTATGGGAACAGGCCCTGCGGGTCTCTCACCAGGGGAGTCATGGCCCAGGGGGATAGGGCTTCTCTTTCAAAACAACGCAGTTGGGACCCCTGGTCACTCAAACCCTCAATAGACGAGGGTGATCTCCTGCACAGCCCCCAACGCATTTCAAGGAGGCTCAATAACTTCTCAAAAAGGACCGTGTCCTTAACCAACGGTGCAGCTAAACGTAACAGACTAGATTTTTGTTCTCCCCCCCCCCCATAAAAGTCTTTTTGCAAAAAAAGAAGAAAAAAGTTCTGGAAATTTCATCTACTAAATTTAAGTCATGGGGAAGGAAAGCAACTAAACAAAGTGGGTTCCATTGAAGGACAAAGTTTAAGCCACGATGCTTCACAGCTCGGTTTTCTGTGTAGATGTCCAGTTTGGCCACTGAAAATATTTTTCCTCTTCTTCTCCTCCTCAAAGCCTTCCAAGGAACCAGTCAGTCATCCAGGCCTATATTCCTGAAAAGGTACGACATGGACTCCCCGTTGTGGATTCTGCGGATGGCCTCCGAAAGGATCATGCTGATGTCCACAGTCTTAATTTTGGGGCACTGGAGCTTTTGGATCTCGTGAGGAATTGTGTTGGTGACCACAACCTGGGAAGAGAGGCAAAGAGAGTGAGGGGGGAGGTTGGAAATTAAGAAGGTGGCAGGAAGAGTCGCAGCCACAAACACCTTGGGATCACTTCTAAACAAAGCTGCAAAAGAGAGAGTGGTACATCTTCCTTGTAGCTTGTTGCTGGCAGTTCGAAAGCACACCAGTGCAAGCAGATAAATGGGTACCACTGCAGCAGGAAGGTAAGCAGCATTTCCGTGTGCTCTGGTTTCCGTCACGGTGTTCTGTTGCGCCAGAAGCAGTTTAGTCATGCTGGCCACATGACCCAGAAAGCTGTCTGCGGGCAAACGCCAGCTCCCTCAACCTGAAAGCGAGATGAGCGCCACACCTCATAGTCGCCTTTGACTGGACTTAACCGTCCAGGAGTCCTTCACCTTTACCTTTTTAGTACTGGATTTAAAATTAGAAACAGGAAAGTTTTTCAGCTGATCCCATTTTGCTTCATGTTGGGAGTCAATCAAATCAAATCTTTATTACGGTCATAGACCAGCATACGTACAGTCATTTAAAATGATGAGGCCGGAGGAACATTGCCCAGCTGTGAGTGTGAAGACCACTCCCTGCAAGGCCCTTTCCACCTGGCCTAGGGGGCAAGGCCCACACTCACCAGCCCTACTGAAGAGGCTCCTCATGAGGCCAGAGGAACATCGCTTGGCTAATGTTTTATTGATTTAATATGCTGTAAACCGCTTTGAGATTTTTATTAAATGAATAAAGCGGTATAGAAATTTTATAAACAAATAAAATCTGCAGGACGTTTTGGAAAGCTAAAAATTATTAAAACAGGAGGTATATATAGGACTTGCCGATCAGAAGGTCAGCGGTTCGAATCCCCACGACGGGGTGAGCTCCCGGTGCTCGGTCCCAGCTCCTGCCAACCTAGCAGTTCGAAAGCATGTCAAAGTGCAAGTAGATAAATAGGTACCGCTCCGGTGGGAAGGTAAACGGTGTTTCCGTGCACTGCTCTGGTTCGCTAGAAGCGGCTTAGTCATGCTGGCCACATGACCCGGAAGCTGTACGCCGGCTCCCTTGGCCAGTAAAGCGAGATGAGCACTGCAACCCCAGAGTCAGCCACCACTGGACCTAATGGTCAGAGGTCCCTTTACCTTTATATATAAAAGACTATAAGAATTGTGTTGGGAGTAAGGAAGGAAGAGGAGGGGCCAGAGAGACCATGTGAGATGCTGAATAGACTTGGACCAGGGTGACCTGTGTTCAAATCCCCTACTCAGCCACTGTGACCTCACAGCAGCCACACTCAGCCAGACCTATGTCTTGGGGATCTTGTAGGACTTAACAGCTTCCTTCTGGCCCCATCTGATCCGAGCAGCCTGCTGGACCTGGCTTCCTGGCCCATCTAGTCCAGCATCCTGTTCTCAGAGTGGCCAACCAGACGCCCGTGGAAAACCCACAAGTAGGATCCAAGCACAAGAGCATCTCTTCCTCCTGTGGCTTCCAGCAGCTGATATTCGGAAGCATTGCTGCCTCTTGGCTGTGGAGGGAAAGCGCAGTAATCCTGGCTACAAGCCACAATACCCCTTATTCCTCCAGGAATTTGTCTTAATGCTCTTTTTTAAAAAAAATAAAAATTGGAACTTTATTTACAACATAACCCACACACACACACCCCAATACAGAAATCCACCCTCATTAAATGTGAACATAACATACAGTGAGCATAACATACAACAATACAAACCAGCAAATAAAAGACTTCCTTTATCCTTTATCTGGCATCCTTATTAACTTCTTATAAGCTGTTTCCTTTATGAATAATTATTAAGGTTTTTCTAATTAGAACTTACATATCCACAAAGTCTCCTGCAGACATTAATCGAAACAAGTCCAGATATGTATTTTAGGGCACTGTTTTGTGAAGTATTCTCTGCATTTTCCCCATGCTTTTTGAAACTCTTGTCTAGTGTGATCTCTAATTGCCTCTGTTAATCTGGCCAGTTCAATATACTCTAACAGTTTGTCTTGCCTTTCCTTTTTCGTTGGCACAGTTTCTTTTTTCCAGTTTTTAGCAATTAATGCTCTTAATGCTCTTTTGAAGTCATCCAAAATGGTAGCCGCCACTACTTCTTCCTGTGGCAGCACGTTCCAAAGGTTAACTATGTGCTGACCTTTAAGGGCAGGATGCAAGAATCAGAA